TAAAAATGTAATGATTATTGCTTTGACATTATACAATTCTTCATAAAATTTTGGCAAGTCGAGGCCTCGCTCATAAAATTGCAAAATAAAGTTAAACATAACTTCAATGCAAGGGTCATTTTTAAGTGCTTCAGTAAAAAATAATTTCATTCGCTTGTTTTACGAATAAATATATTAAATATCGAGAATGCGAATTGCATATGTTACGTGTTGTTAGGTGAGGTAACCCATACCTTTTCTCTCACTTAGCAACATAACTGATATGATTGTTAACGCTAAGTAGACATCTATTAAACTGTCTATACCTTAGGGCCTTGTTAGATGAGCTGAGTTTATAATTACTGTTTCCAATTTATTATTCAAAAGAAGAAGAAATAAAAAAATTAACCGATCAAAGCATTTGCAGCATTAATACTATTCCAGTATTAGTTGTAATTACGGTTCTACACTTAACGGTGCCTTCTCCCCCACTCCGCTGAAAATATTCCTGCCGGAGCGTGCACAAGTCATGATACTCCAATTTGACAAGAGGGATGACAAATTGTTTTAAATGATTTTACCAGCTCAAAAATAAATGATTTGTATGATCAGCTATCGCGTGACTGGATGATATGAAAAGTGGTAATATGATCTATTCATGTAATTGTATTATCCTTTTATCAACAATTCCTGCTATCACTTTTTGTCTACCCCCCCCCCCCCCCCCCCCCCCCCCCCCCCCCCCCCACCCACTTGCCATTAGGGTAGGAGGTACTGTAGTTACGTCCTTAAGGAACTAACTCCAGAACACCTTAGCTTAGACAATCGTCTTCAAGATTACATAAGAGAGTTAACGTTATGAATAACAGGAATATCTACACGGAGTGCAAGTTCTCGTGGCAGAAGTATCTCCATTGTTACAGGGGTTCCCCATCAGTGAGAGCAGGTCGGCTCTGTTGATAGTTGACAAATATATAAAAAGATATCGTGGTCGTGTTGATAATTCACCGAGCTATGTACTACAATGATCGGAGTTCAAATCCATGCCCACATAACACTATTGTCCTTTGGGAAGACACCAATTTTCATTTGTGTATCTCCAACACGGTGAAAAAATGATTCCAGAAAACCTTAGACAATCGTCTTCAAGATTAAATAAGCCGCGTTCAGACGGGGTTTTACTAGTCGGCTTAAGTTAATCCCTGCAGCAGACCAAACTGCGATTCACCTCTTAGACTTAGGGCTGGGCACATGTGGGGTGTGTAGTCGAGTAGTTTAGGCACTTGACTGGATATTCGAAGGTTGTGATTTCAAGCCCTGATCCGACATTATAGTGTCCTTTGGTGAGACAGTAATATACTTTTGCCACTCTTTGTCCGGATGTTAAATGGGTTCCGGTAGAAAGGAATTCATGCAATGTTATATAAAGCACCTATAATCATATGTCACGCTCCATCAGCCGAGTGATATTGGAGGATATGAGCGCTGTGAAACGAACTATATTCTATACTTCATCTAAAAAAGCGAAAAAGTCTCCCAAACGATGTATATCAAAATAATCATTGACAATTTTCAATCCTATGTATTAGTTGACACCAAACAATCTGATGCTTTTGCAATAAACATTTTGGAGACTTTGCGAGCAGTCCACCTTTTTTGAGACTTGCGGTATATATCTTAGATTCACATACCCATTTAATCTCTCGACTTGATCTCTTTCTACATATCCCTCTCTGTGTCTTTCTGACACGCACACATAAACTCACAAGCACACCCACATCCATATATCTTCCCCATTCTTAGATTGTCTGATAAAAAACAAAACAAAATTTCATTTCCAGAATCAATCTCGCAGCTTACTTCTTTAATAATAAGCTGTACAAGTATTCACTCTAATGCTTGATCTCTCTCTCTCTCTCTCTCTCTCTCATATTGACTTTTTGCTATTTGTTTTATTGCTGCGATTATCCAGAATCAATCTGTACAATATATTATTCCCTTTACCAGTACAAAAGAGCTTTCGAGGTCTTCAATGTTTGTCTCGGTCCCCTTCATCCGAAATCACAGGAGGCTCGGCAATGCCAAAAAGAGCTGTCATAAAGATCTTTATGCACTGGTCCACCTCCTGCGTGACCGGAGTAGTATATAGCACGGTGGTATTAATTATTATGAACATAGTAACCATGATCACACTATTAATGAGGCAGAGTAAGGGGAAAAGAGACAAAATAGTATAGACGCGGAGTAAGAGAGGAGCTAGGGGTAAAGAGAGCTAGAGAGGGGGATAGAGAGGGAAGAGAGAGAGAGAGAGAAAAGGGGGGGGGGGGGGGAGAGAGAGAAGGGTATGGGAGAGAGAGAGATGGGGGGGAAGGAGAGAGAAAGATAGACGCGAAGAGAGAGAGAGAGAGAGTGAGAGAGTGGGAGATATGAATTGATATCAAATTGCTTTTATATGTTTCTCAAAACTTGATGTATTCCAAAACAAAAGAATACATTAGAAATAAAACAATAGATACAGTAAAAAAATAAAAAACAATAAAATACATCAGGAAATAAATGTTTGAAAATCGCATCCAATTTGTATAAATTATCATTATTAATTACATCAAAATAACTATTTTGTGTTAGAAAAAAGTGTCATATGAATAATGAGGTTCAAAATTCAAAAAGTTAGGTCTGACTATTTTTGTAATGATTCTAGATTCCTGTATATTTCCAGATTTGATATTCATGAATGCGTAATTTGCGTATTCATAATTTATGCAGATTAACCTATGCATCTTCAAATATCATAAATGAAACCTCATAAATTTGAGATGAAAAAACATTTATTCAATACTTTTTCAAGATTCTTCACAAGTCTACAGACAAATATGTAGAGTTTTCTGTAAAATGCATAAAACTAGCATTTTGTATACTTAATTAAGCTATAACGACAAAAAATTTGCATATTAGGAAAAAACTAATTATACGAACGTGTTCCTTACGTAAATATCTACAAACCTGCAAATTTCCGTGTTCATCGGACATTCAACGGCCGAGATCTTAGGGGGGGGGGGCTCCCAGTCCCCCGCAGTCAGTGAGGTGCTCAAAATAGCCCAGTACAGTTAGGGTTAATATTATTATGATGAAGATGATGATGATGATGATGATGATGATGATGATGATGGCAGAGGCGGCGCTCCCATGGGAGCACAGTGCCCCCACTTTTTCAAATACCCCAAAAGTGCCCCTTTTTACATAGGAAGAGTACCCATTTTAATTTGAAAAGTGCCCCTATTATTTTTTTAACCTATAATAAGTGCCCCTTTTATTTTGACACGTGCACCTTCTCCTTCCATTTTCCTTTGCAAAAAGTGTCCATTTTCCATTCTCATAAGTGCCCTTTTTAATCCCTAGTAAGTGCCCCTTGTTAGATACGAGAAGTGCTCCTTTTCACTTGTAATAAGTGCCCCCTTCACCTCTGATAAACTTTGAGAGGTGCCCCCATTTACTATGACAAGTGCCCCTTCTCCTTTGTAAGAGTCTCCCTTCCCCTTGTGAATAACTACCCCTGTTAACTCCGATAAGCGCACCTTTTATTTTCACATTTGCCCCCTTTCCTTTCTAATAAGTGCCATTTTTCCTTATAAGTGCCCCATTAAAAAAAAGCTCCTTCCCCCTTTTCACCTATGAAAAGTGTCTATTTTCATTTTCATATAAGTACATCTATTCATATCTAGTCAGTGCCCCTTTTCAGGTGCGATAAGCGCCCCTTTTCGTGTCTGATATTTTTCATTTTATCAATGAGACTTAGATCCCTTTCTAATAAGGGATCTATTCCCTTTTTATGAATGCCCCTTTTCACCTCATATAAAAGCCCCCTTCAAAATCTGATGGGTGCCCCATTTCCGTCGACAAAATGCCCATTTACCATTCATATGTGCTTCATTTTCACCTCTGCCTGATTACCCTTTGTACTTTGACACGTACTCCTCTTTATTCTAATAGGTGTCTTATCCCCCCCCCCCCCCACTCAGTGTTATTAAGGGTACGCGTATGCATGTTCCCTCCCTCCTTTTGAAAACACCCCCCTAAGTCCGGTGTGTAAAGTCAATATGGGCCAGATTTTTGTGTACTACGAGCCAGACTTTGGTGCATGAAAATTACCCTTTACCGGACATTTTACTCCGACCCCGGAGTGTGTGTGTGTGTGGGGGGGGGGGGGGGCGGGTGTCTTATCCCTTTCGATAAGTTTTCCCTATTCCTCTCATCATCAAACGTGCCCCAAATTTAAAGCTCGCTCGCTACACTCATTCGCATTTGTAGATATTATAATTATGTTACTTATCAAAGGTCTTTTCAGTCTTCCGTTATGAGAATGTGCTTATAACCCTATCAGGATTGTTTTTCCCCCTCCTCTTTATAAGATGTAGTTTTTAGCACTCCGACCTCACAAATGTTTCCTCGCTAGCTTTGCTCGCTAGCAAATGAATATTCAGACCATCACACCCAACCTTATGTATAAAGTGAAACAAATATTGAAAGCATCCCAGAAAATGTAATCGCTATAAATATAGGGGTATATAACAATGTCTAAAAAATAGTATATTTTCGCTTTGAGATCTCCCTTTTCTCTCCAGAAAGTGCCCTTTTTTGTTGTTGCCCCCCGCCCCCCCCCCCCCCCACAAGTCCCTCCGCCGCGCCCCTGGATGATGATGCTGATGATGCTGGTGATGGTGTTGAGTTTGGTGTTGAGGATGATGAACGCATGTGTACGACTATGAGTGCGCGTGTGTGTTTTTTTACAGTTATGAAAAACAAGATGTAGAAAATATTCTTATATTCAGGTCATGTTTCACATTATTGTAATTTAATTCGTGTAAAATTAGTTATAACAGTAATACATGTAAAAATAAATAAATACAAAGATAAATATACAAATACAATAGTAATATATGTTATTAATTAGCATGCCAGATTATAAATAAAGACCTATTTAAAAGAATATTTATGAATCAAACTGTTGTTTTTCCCCATAACATCTTAAATAAGGCCAAGTTGCGTAAGCACACAAATGTGTTTCGGAAATCCGACCGGGTGTGTGGATTTGTTACGTGACGAAATAAACGACGGCTTATAAAGCAGATAAATAAGGAAATGTTCCCAATTTTCACACCCAGATGCATGCAGTTATCTGCTGTTGGAAAGACCTTAATTACTAGGACCTCTTCTTTTCTTTGGTGAGTATATAGCAGTAAGAATCGCTTTCGAAAACTGTTCGGGCATAATTATAAAGATCCTGCAGCTGCAGCTCCAGCTCCCGTGCTCTCGCCGGGCTAGTACCCGCTGCAAAGATGGGTAGCAGCCGCTGACGGAACATCGTCCAGTACCAATGCAGTACATCATAGACTACATCATAACAACATGTATTTTAGGCAGTATACCTACCACTTCTTTTATTACAAAAAACAGGATTAGAATTTATTTCCAGACTTCTTCTTCTTCTTCTTCTTCATCTTCTCCTTCTCCTTCTCCTCGGCTTCTTATTAAAGTAGGCTGTACGCCTACTTGTTAGAAGCAACCATAACTCACTCACCTAACTTGGCCTTGAGGGTAATTCGTCCTCCAGGTCCGGATAGGTGCTTGATACTTGGTTACTGTCAGTGCTGAAGAGGTAGAATTCTCCCGCCGCACACGTATATGTACTTGTCGGCACGAGAGGATCTGTGTGCAGCTAGCTCAGCTGTGTTCCAGAGTGCAATGCCGCCCTCTAGTGGTGAGGGCGGCACCTGTCGTCTGCTAGCTCTGGCTGCTCTGCTCTGCTTTACATATTATATTTATGGCCTACTACATTCCCCCCCGTTTTAAAAAATAAGTCCCATTTCCAAAAAGTAGTCCCAGGGAGAGCCCAACCCAATTAATCCCTAATTAACCCCTAATTCCACTTGCGTCACAGGCTGTGACCAAGGCCCAAATGTTTATTTAAAAAACACAGGCCAAACTACCCTACAAAAAACTCGGTAAAACATCAAAAACGGGGAAAAACCCAAATACTAAAAACCCAAAACACCTTAACCATAACAATTAACAGAAAAAGTGTAAAAATTATGTCGCCAGTAACCGTATCCCTTTTTAATATAAAAATGGACAAGGCAACCCAACCAAAATAATAAATGCCAAAAGGAAAACTCCCAGGCGCATTGCAAGCCGGCAAGGTACCGGGGCCTTAAATCAATGTAATTTATGCCCCCTGACTCCAATGGCCGTTCACCCAGGATAACCGATATAAAACTTCCAGGTCCGCCCTGGGTTCAATGACGCTGCGCGCGGCATCCAGGGATCCGTTCCCTAGAGGGTGCCACTGATAGCTACAGTGACGCCCAATGCAGGGTGTAAGTTAACACCCCGCGCGGGGTATCAGGGGTCAGCCACCTGACACACCCAACTCTGAAAAGCAGGGGACATTTCCATCGCCCCTTGAATACCCCGCCGAGCATGCAGTTTACCTACTTGCTCTGATAAAAATGGAGGCCATTTCAGTCGGTGGAATCCAAGAGCTCGTATGCCGACTCCGACTATACGTTGGCCATCACCTCGGTTACCTCACCAAGGATAAAAGTGTGGAGAATCTATATCTCCATGCACACCAGGAATCTATTCGTAGGGGCAGCCCCAAAAGCGACTCGCTGGTCGGGGAGAAATACCCCGAAATCGGGAGGAACGCCCGAAATATAAATGCGGATACTCCTTCCGCGCCTGTGCGCCCGACCCAATGTCTAAGGCTACCTTGAGGCAGACCTCGGGACCACCCGGGCCTAGCTGCCTCCTACTGCAGAGCTCTTCCCGCAGCCATTCGTGGTGTTTCCACGACCCGATCAAATCGGCCTAGGCGGTAATACCCCGCCCATTGGTCCGATGGATCAATCTCCCTACGAAGAACTGGAACACGCGCCACTGGGGCACGATCGAGGGGCGGCATGTTAAGCGAACACCCGGAAAGTGCCTCGGGAGATTTCCAAGTCCTCGCAGTGATGATCCCGAGCCTCACGCTCGGAATTGAGGGGACATTGAATTCTAAAATTCTAAAATTCTAAATTCTAAAATGCCATGTGACGAGTCCTAACCCCTCCCCTCGTAATGATAGGGATGTTCTCTCCCATCCCTATCTTATCAGGCGTTATTACATGGCGGGTTGAACAACAACTTAATCGTCCGACCCGCCAAAATTGTCCTCGGGGGTTTCAAGGAATAGGTTTCTCTTCCCCAACGGAGTAGTCTTCACAGATGCCTGCGTTCCACCTTGAGCTGCCATGAGTTTCCCCAGGCTCCTCACCAACCCGGACACATGGCCTTCTAGCTCAGATATCCGAAGCTCTAGTCCGGATAGTCGGGCATCCGTGGTTCGCGGGGTGATCTCCACCTCTCGAATTTCAGGCCCCCTAGTGCCTTTATCCGATTCCCGCATTTCCGCGTTGGCCCGAGACCCACGGCCGTACATAGCCCCGTGGGCGTGTTGAAGCCAGCGGATGGCCTCCACTGCCTCCTCCACGGTAGAGGGGCGCTGGTTTAATGCCTGGTAACCAGCATCCTTATCCACACACCCTTGGCACATTCGCAGCACCGTCTGCCGCTGTACATATGCCTCAGGTACCTTGGGAAACGCCCGAGATGACAACCGGTGAAGCCGGTCCGCCCATTCCAAGAGGGGTTCATCGGCCCCCTGCTTAGCGGTGTTAAACTCGAGCAGGACGGCTTCGGGAGGTTCCCGATACCCGAATCTGCCCTCTAGATGGCGCACCATCCCTAAATACCCTACCCCCCGGGTCTCGCTCTTGCGTCATGTCGAAGAAATCGCTTGCCGACCCATCCAAACACCAGCATAGCTGGTTTAAACGCTGCGGGTAGTCCCATTCGCGGGCATCCGCAAATGCGCTGAATTTGCGGAAAAACGCCCGCCAATTCCCCCGCCCGTCAAACACTACAGACTTTGGCATCGGCTGATATGAACCCTTGCCCCGCTCCCATGCCTGCGTGTACGCAGACGGTCGGCTAAATGCCTCTTCCCTGTCTCGATGCGGCTCCATGTGGGGCCGGCGGTAGCGTTCCCCGCCCCCGCCTCGATAGAATTCACTCTCCTCGGGAACCGGCCCGCTCGGTACGTCCTGGTAGGCCCTACGCGGGGCATGGCTCCCCGCCGAAATGTGGCGGTTTCTAAACACTTGGGGTCGGGGGGTATCCCCCTCCCCCCACAACTGAGCATCGCCGCCCTTGTTCTCAGTCCGAGCTGCCGGGCGAGGGCGCTGGCGCGCCTCTTCTGCTCCATTCGGGGGAGGGTATCGGTCGTGGGAATACACCGGTGCCCCACGCTCCTCATCGCTGCCTTCACCCGGGGTTTCTGCTGGCGTGCTGCCCACATCCCCCGTCTCGGACAACGGCCGAAAACCACCCGGCCGAACGGGGGAATCCCCCGCGGCCTCCCTCGGGCGGAAGTCCAAACTCCCCTGGAGGACTTTGACCTCCTCGTAGTCAGGAGACGCCTCCAACAGCTCTGGAGTGACTTCGCCACACTGCGCCCGGAGTCCTAACAGACAGGCTATGCGTGCCGGCGTCGCTCCGGGAATGGCGAGCAGGTCCTCGAATGAACAATAGTTCAATGGAACCTTGGCCATACTAACGCAGTATTAAAAACTTGGTGCGGGTCTCCACAACCAAAAGCCGAGACTCCGGCTTCAACTGAGTTCACCCGACTGGTAGATAATTTCTACCAGTAGGCCTACTAGTTCCACTTGGGTAAGTACCCCTTGCTTGTATGCCTCGATCACGAGAAGGAGGGTCTGTATAAGCCCCTGAACCTCTATTACAAAGGACTCCGTTTCCTCGGAAATAGGCATGGATTTATTCTTAGAAACCGGCACTGCCCGGTGCTCCAAGACTATTTCAACGATACGTATCGGAAATTGGAAAATACGGATTCACCCCCGTATTGTGAAATAGGGAGAGATTATGAGAATTATTTATTCACAAATCCACCCACTCTCCCTTGAAAATGAAAATGAAGGGAAACACGCCCCCTTACCAGAACTCCGCCTAAAAAGACAGATTTAAATACACTTAAACCAGATCCAGGTCTAATCGACCAAGATCTTTGGTAATTGTAAACGACTAAAGGGGAACACACTCCCACTCTCAGTCTGACCTGCGTTGTTGGCTTATTTTATTTTATTTATCTTTTAGCCAATAGCCCCCTGCCGGCAGGAGCAGGCAGGTGAGCTACACGCCAGGCCCACTAACACGCAAAACTCACAGTCACTATCACCTCACAACTCCGAAAAATTGCACAAGGTATGAGGTGAATTTGAAACAAAGGAATATAAAATGGTGCCTCAAACAACACCACCCAGTGGCACTTACCTTATTTTCCACGGAAAAAAAGGCACTGTAATCCACTGTCGATCCCTGCAAACACCCAAAATCGTTATTTCACTGGACGTTCTAACCTCGTGCACAACTTTCGAAGGCGAGGCAATGCAGAAAAGGGAATTCCTTTTTCCGCAATAACCCTCCACGGCGCACCAAGCAAAAATATAACCCCGGGCTCACGCGGCCTCGAGCTGTGCTGGTGAATGGGAAATCCCCAAATCACCGCGGAGTAATCAATTCCAAAGCGACGCCATATTCAAATCGCAAGTGGGATAGAAGCCCCAACTTGCAAAAACGAACAATCAAACAACAAAAAATACAATTATAGCACTGGCATGGCTGCCTAAATGCTCACACACCCCCACATTCCCCCTCTCATGGAAAAAGGCACCGAACTTCGCCGAATCCCTCGGCCCGTCGCGATTCCCTCCGAAGGGGGGGGGGGGGGGGGGTCACTCACAATCACATCAGCAATATTACTAACAATATACAAATAATCCAAATACCCAGCACATACTACAAATCCCCCAATATCCCATCTCCCGGAAGAAGGCCCCGAACTTCACTGAATCCATCAGCCCTTCTCGGATTCTTCCCAGGGAGGGGGGAGGGCACTCACACCATTCGTCCATCACAATTCATAGCATTCACGAATAGGACAAACATCGCTGAATATGACGTCAGCTTCGGCTCGCATTCGGGAATTCCCAAAATGCATTTGTGTACATGGATACATGAAACAATATTACCTACAACACTAGTATCCCTACTAGATGTACATACAGTACGAAACCCACCCGACCGGGGAGGAGAGCACCGAACTTCGCCGAATCCATCAGCCCTTCTCGGCATCCCTCCCCGACTGGGCACAATACCGACCACGGTTACAACGAGTGCCAGCCGGAACTACGCGCGGTCCACCCCACTACCATCGCCCGGAAACTAGGTTTCCCCTACAATGCGCAGCTAGGTTTCCCCCGCGCTTTTCCCGCCGGCGCGGCCAGACTAGGCAAGGGGTCCCCGTTCCGTTAGAGAAAACACACAACAGAACAAGAGACAAAATCTCCCCAAAACGGTGCATCCCGAGGTCCTAGTTGTCCGTGACGCCAATAAAGTAGGCTGTACGCCTACTTGTTAGAAGCAACCATAACTCACTCACCTAACTTGGCCTTGAGGGTAATTCGTCCTCCAGGTCCGGATAGGTGCTTGATACTTGGTTACTGTCAGTGCTGAAGAGGTAGAATTCTCCCGCCGCACACGTATATGTACTTGTCGGCACGAGAGGATCTGTGTGCAGCTAGCTCAGCTGTGTTCCAGAGTGCAATGCCGCCCTCTAGTGGTGAGGGCGGCACCTGTCGTCTGCTAGCTCTGGCTGCTCTGCTCTGCTTTACATATTATATTTATGGCCTACTACATTATTCTCCTCCTCCTTATCTTCGTCTTCTTCTTCTCCTCTTCTTTGGCTGTCTTTGTCTTCTTCTTCTTCTCCTCTACGACGTCTTCTTCTTCTCTTCTACGTCTTCTTCTTCTCTTCTATCCTACTTCTTAGTTCCTCTTCTTCTTCTTCTTCTTTTCACGATCAACTTAATTATATAGGCCTAGATCTAGTCTAGAATTATGATTATTATTTTTATTAGGCCTTTACTTAGACTTGAGTCTGAAAGCTAGAGTAGACCTCTAGATCTAGGCCTAAATAAAATCTAAATCTATTATTATTAAATAATAATAATTATTGATAGATCTATCATTATTTGTATTAATATTACTATTATTGTTGTTATTATTAGGTCTTTCATCATTTCTAATTGTTATTCTTGCTCTTATCGTTACTAATTCATCAATGTTACAGCGCAATGTACAGTATCTAGACTACAGACTAGACCTACAGTAGATCTACTCTCTAACTCATTACTCAGATTTTTTTTGTTATCATCTTTAATATTACTACTCCCATTATCATCTTTCTCATCGACGTCAAGTGCCTTACATTACCAGACTTCTGAAACAAATCCTTTTATTTTTACTTTTTTTGTTGTTGCCTGACACGATCTGGATCGGTTCATGGACTGTACATCAATACGTCTATGCTGGTACTCGTCAAAAGCCTTTTCAGCAACTAAACAAGGATATTGTGGTGTGGTGTCTCTCATAGTGGTCATGATTGATTAGTGCATAGTGCGTATATACAAGTTGTGCGAGTAAAAACAGTTCCTCCTATGATTTAGGCACTGATGGCTCCCTTGAACTTCTCCACAGAGGGCAGTTCAATGAAGTTGGTAGGGAGCTCATCCCAGTTCCGGAGTGTTCTTGGGAAGAAACTTTGCCTGTAGCTGTCAGAGTTGGAGCTGGGTCTCATGAATCTGTGTCGGTGTTGCTGACGTGTTGAACGGAGTCTTGTTTGGATGTAGTCTGGAATTGGTACTGCGACTAGGTGGTTGATGGCTTTGTAAAGCATGGTTAATCGGGCTTGCCTGCATCTCTCCTCTAAGGGTTGGAGTGCTAGATCTTCTCTCATTTTGGTGACGCTGGCATCTCGTTGGTAGTTTCCGCATATGAAGCGTACTGCCCTACTTTGGATTTTCTCAAGCTGGTCAATCTGATTTTGTCTGTATGGATCCCAGACGACGGAGGCATATTCTAGCTGGGAGCGTACCAAGGAGATGTAGGCATGTGTTAGAGGTAGAAAGTCTTCAAGGAACTCCTGTGAAGCAGCGACAAAACTGAAACAAAATAGCATGGAGCACTGATATTTAAGATTATGCACAAATTTCACTCGTACTGTACATGTATGGTATTGTGGCGTAACCGGGCTCTGCCGGGGTAGCGTTCTGCCTTGCAGTCTGTCAAAACCCGGTTCACGCTCTCGACAATCATTCATCGACTATATCTCTCAGTGGGCTCTCACAAAAGTATATTGTGTAAGAAATAACGTGGACTAGCTCTCATTTTACTCACTCCCGCAATCACTGAATGTCTGACAGGACTAAAGAAACAACACTTGCACAGTATCTGCAGTTCAAGTAACTTTACTCGTTCCTGGTAACGGACCTGTCGCAATGACAGCCCGACGCTGACTCACAGATCACAACTATATAGAACCTGCCCCAACGGCAGCTAAGCGCTGACTCACTGACATCTCACGATGTCCACATATATATTTCACAATTTACTATAACGCCCTCTATGTCCTACTAAATTACTGAGCTCGTTATGCTACAGTATAAAAAGTACCATTTTGATGCTTGTTGTATGTAATTACTGCTTTTCAAATATTTCTAGGGTTTACAGTTCAGCTATTGTGAGAACAATGAGTGACCATATGGACAAGACGGCTCAAAGCTTCAGGGAACCGGTGAGTAACTGGTTAACCAATTTCACTCCCTTTTTTTTAAATGGTTGTGCTGGTCTGTGTTTTCTCTCTCTCTCTCTCTAGGCCTCTCGTCATCGGCTCGTGATTGCCAAATAACCCGCTATTTCAACTATCCCAATCGCAAACAATCCAGCTAATTTGCGTCTTCATCAGCCTGCAGTTGCAATTAGCAGGATATTTGGTCAGTATGATGATCATCCCAAGATATATTGGGCTAGTTTGCAAAATATCCCGCTATTTGGCAAAATATCCCACTATTTGTCAGGTACGTCTTTACCAGCCCGAAGACTTGCACTATGCGCGAATGCTGAGTAAAATATCTCGAGCTAATTTCTCGAGCTCGAGTTTTGAGTTTTGAGCTGATGAAGACGCGATTTGTAACCTTGGGCTTATTTCCCAAATCAGAAATAGCGGGCTATTTGGCAATCTCGAGCTGATGAGGACATACCTTCTGTGAGCTGCGCTGTGAAATGTGACTTCATTCCATGGAGATGAGAATGGTTTCAGTATGAAACAATTAAAAAGAATAATTTTCTCTACCCCCCCCCCCCCCCCCCACCATCATTAGTGATTCTGAATGGAAAGATCTGCACTGCCTCCCTACCAACACTCCTGTCACTTGCATTTTGCCACCAAAAAGAAACTGAGTTGTTTTATTAATCATTTTGTTCCCTTCCCCATGCCCCCAATATCTAGTGTTACAGAATTTATGATCTACCCCTCCCCCCCCCCCCTCCATCATTTCTGTCCTTGTCTCAGGTCACTGGCATACTTTGTAAATTCTCCATTTTTAAAAATTGGATTTGATTAAAATAGAAATAGGCCAAAGCGCTTAGAGACATCGTACATGTAGATGTATTAAGCGCTATATAAAACCGGAATTTTATTATTATTATCAGTCAAAGCGTTAGAAACAATCTGAAAATATAATCATTTTGATTTATCCTATCATTGATATTAAAAAATCCTCTTTCATGTTTTGTATCATATTCAATTTGTATTTTTGTGTATATATTTTGTTTCCATTTTTGCACTAGTGCACCTTGTGCATTAATTTTGAGTGGATTTGGAACTTTACAAAGTTTGTCTATTATTATTTTATTATTATTATTATTATTGATTGTGTTTTGTTCACTGAATCATGCTGTTTACTTCTTTTTCAGGGTATATGCGAAGCCGAAGTAGCGGCCATCAGTCAGGCATCTGAGACGGTCAAGGTACTAACGCTCAAGGTCGATGACCCCACATTCACTTTCAAGGCTGGCCAATGGTAAGAAATGGTTATTGATGATGTTCCTTTTGTAAGTCTTCATTGTGAGATGATAAGATTTCTGTGTAACACGTAATGGGTAGCCCTTATGATCAGTGGCGTCACTTCATAGTCAAAGTGGTATTGTACGAGCGTTAGCAGAGTCGATATTGACCCCTATTTACAGACCTTCAACAACAGTTTCCACTAAATATTACACTTTTTTGCCTAAAAACAGGAACAAATTGAAATAGGCCCTAAATGTTACTCTATTTTGGGCTTATCAAAACAACTTCACAAATAGAACTCTACCGTATCACTCATGGAATTTACCTTTTTCATATTTTTCTTTTTGATTAGAGAGTTCATCTTTTAAATGTATTACCCTTTTGTGTGACCTTCTTGTTCTTTAAACAAAAGAGCACCCTTCAAATCTAGGAACACTGAAAGTTCACCAACCTCTGCAAAAGTTATGCCTTTTCTCATGATAAATTTAACTATCATACCTAGGCTACACAAAGATAATATGAAGTTAAAACCACCGGGTCCTCACGAGGGTTGATGTTGATTCTGTCATGGAAAAGAACTAAAGTAATTCAATGAACTAGGGTTATAGTATTATTTCAGAAAAGTTCTGAAAAGAAAGAACATGTGCTCACTGCTCAATGTTCGAGACTATACTCTGTTCCTCGTTTGTAGACGGTACTATGTTCTTTGCTGTGCTCATACAATGTATGAACTACTCCCTCATGGTCTTACCGCAAAATATTATTTAAAATCTTCATGATATAAAGATTCACAGCATTTACGTGTCTCTTTATTTTCTGTTTGAAATGTTCTAAATTGTTAATGGATACATATGCCAATTTTTATGGAAGAGAACTTAATTTGAAACTCTCATCATGTAGCCAATTTGAAGATCTTAAAGGCATTGTTTTACAATGATTCCAGTTTTACAAATCTGAGATGCACGGCCCTACATGTTATCAGTGTATGTGAATGTGATATGGTGTAATATTGAAGCCCTACAAAAATTGCACTTAAAATTGATCATGAAGTGCCTCAAAAAAGTAAAACTCTTTGAGTGACCAATTTTACCAACTCATTTCCCCCAATAGTTTCATAAAAACCGTTGGGAAAACGGATTTTGAAGATTTGATTTCCAATCATAAATATCTTGATAATCAGACAGGCAATCGGCTTGTAAAAGTCATGGGATATCCTGACTGACCTAAAGGTTTATAATTATATGAATGCAGCATGCGGTAAATCCAGAATTCCGTTTAGAATCTGAGGCAAAGATATCCAATCCTTTAAAGCTTACCGGTATTTTCTTTTTAAAATTCCTGCATCTAGGGTTGACTTTTTCATTGAGGGTATAGATATCTTCACTGGGTATTCCATGTACTCCAGTCCTACCCAGCTCAAAGAGACACACACAATAGACTTGGCTGTTAAACTCAGTGACTACGCTCCCACAATTTGGGTGCATAATCAGGTAAATCAACACCTAGATATGATTTAAAAGCCAGGGGGGTTTGTGCTAATAAGGCAACAGCAAATGCATAATTGTCTGCAGCACAGATTCTATTTGGCACTGATAGAACAGTCAAGGTGGTTGAGCCAAGCCAAAATCAGCTTTTAAATAACTTGCATGACAATTCTTTCCTTTCATATTTTATTTTATATTGATTTATATTATAAACTATATTATATTTTATTTTATTTAAAATGGTAGTCAATGACCCTGAGAGAATTCAGACCCTGTGTTGCAACTAAGAAGTGTATAGGATTTTAATATACAAGATAAGATAAAATCATGTGTGTGTGGAGGAGATGAATTTTCATCTGCTGTTATCTCAAAGAGCATTAAAGAGAAGGTTGAGTTCTGGGTAGAGATGAAACATAATTTGTGACCGTTTTCATTGTTATTTATGCAAGTGTAGACGAGCATCAGAGAAAAAAATGTTCAGTGAAAAGCATGGCTCTGTAAATGCCTTCATATTTTAAATATGACATGTAACAGCTTAAAAATGTGGGCCTCATTTTTATGCCACATGTTTGTGTAGTCCCATATACATCTTTCTGTGTACAGTGCTTGTTACTTTTACCAAGACTGGGCAAAATTTCTCATTTTGATGATTCAAGAACCTTGCAGTACACACCAATACTTACAGTACATGTACATGTATATGCTACATGAATCAACTTTTTCTGATCGATTCCACACCGTTTCTTTCACAATGCAATCACTTGACCAGAACTCAACTTTATCTTTAATACCCTTTTGATTCTCAGCACATGTTCTTGCATGCAATCCATTGCAGCTAACAGAACCGGGGAAAAAATACTTTAAACATTTCGGGGGCTACTTTTCAAGCTTGCTTGTATGAAAACAACACTCTTTATTTTGTTTTGCATTGAACTCTATGCAATTTTGGGGGCTCTTTTATGACTTTCGGGGGCTAATTCGCCCTGAGCCCCCGTGTATTTTTTCCCCTGTGACAGAAGAAGAAAACACTCAACGTATTTATAAGCAAAGGCGTATAAAGGGACTGCATGCTATAACTGATAACTATGAGATGTACGCATGGGTTTGGTTATTCAGGCTAGGGTTTCACCATTCGGTACGACATCAGTGGCAATAGGCATCATATTTTAATTTGCTTTTACTTTTTTCTCACTCACAACACTGTTTACTATTGCAACCTTGTCTTCATACCATACTTGCAATCAAAATCAGTTCACAGCAATAACAAGGTTCTAACTTCATTAAGCTTGAAAAAAATTAATTTGTTGAAATAACTTAATAAACATTAACCAATTGACCATGTTTATTGAACTTCATTTTGTTTTATTATTTTAGAGGCTGCGATGATGAATGTGTATTCTTGCAAATAATGCTTTTTAGGTTCTGTATTGCCAATTTGGGAGATACAGCTCCTTTTTTTGCATGGACTAAGCACCAAAGGGTTCACATTGAAATGAATCAATATAAAGGAATACATATTGGATTATTGGTCTTTACATTTCACTTCCAATTTTCCTGTTGCATTCAGATCAAGAGGTGTCCTAAAGCCTTTTTTAAAGTACCTAAAATGTTTTGCTTTAATTTCTTTGATTTACATGTATTTATTTAAATGCAAGCAACTCTGCACTTGAAAATCTAAAATAACCTGCATAAATTTTGCATCTTTAAATCGTGTTAATGAAACAAAAACATGCTTTAAAAATTGCTTTTTTTTCTTCCTGAATAACCTTTTGTTTTCTTTTTTTTTCTGATAAATTTATTTTGTTAAACAGCATTATACTCTTTATTTATGTTCAACAGATGAATACTGTACCATTATTATCCTCCATTTCTTTTTCTTTTTTTGTGTCATGACCCAAAATTGTATTTTGTTATTATATGTATTTACATGTATCTGTTTTGTTTAAACAGGGCAGCCATCTCAGTAGTAATACTGTTTTCCTGAAAGGCCCTGTACAAATTAAAGCTTACAAATTCAGAGGAAATCAAACAAAATTGAAATACAAAACATATCATGATTTATTTATTTATTTATTTATTTTTTTTATATATCCTGATATAAACATGAAAAATAGATAGTTTTCCAGCTTATACAATATAATTTTAGTAAATAAATATTAATTAATTTACATATTTGTAATTTAAGTATACTTCACCAGTCGCTAACATATTAAAACCCTTTCTTTTCTCCCAAACTATGCTCTAATAATGCATAATTACTCCTTGTTTTCATCTCCATTGTTTTTCGAAGGTGGGTACGACCATACCATTTGCCATCAACTTGTATTAACTTTGATTTTGCTCATTTGCAACAAATTTCATCTGCTTTTAATTCCTATTTCCATTTTGAAAATGTGCAGAGCAATCTAACAGACATTTAAAAATCATATTTTAAATCACTAAACCATGATTTCATTTTTACTTTCGTTCATCTTTCTTTTAAAATCTACCAGGGTTGATATTTTCATGCCGGGGGTTTCTACAGTGGGTGGGTTTTCAATGAGCTCAGCACCAAGACCCTTACGTGAAAAGGGCCATGTGGGACTGGCAGTGAAATACAGTGCACATCCCCCTGCCCACTGGGTCCATAAACAGGTAATTTTCCCAACAATTTAGATTAGTATTTAGATTAGGATTTAGATGCACATTTATGTCGACCACTGGGGAAAACTGTTTACATATACACTGTACTTTACTGTTCAACTGTACGGTAGGTAAGTTATTCCCCATTAGAAAGAAATGGGGGGGGGGGGGCACTTTTTTAATTATGATAAGTGTTGTGGTCCAGTGGATAAGTCGTCAGACTGTGGATCACAGGGTCTGTGGTTCAAGTCCTCTAACAGCACTGATGTCCTTTGGCAAGACATTATTCTACATTTGCTACTCTCCACCCAGATGTTAAATGGGTACCGGTAGGAAGGAATTCCTTGAATGCTGTGAGCACCGAAATCGTAACCTAGCAGAGCTGGGGTAATATTGACGCGCCTCAAGCACCTTGCATGGTGGATATGTCGCTATATAAATATCCAATATATTAGATAGGGATACTTTTCCATTTCATGCAACATTTTCCAGTAATTAAAAAGGAACTTAAAAAGGGAATTTAGAAAAATAAAATTCAAACAAATGAATGCATCTCTTGCTTTTCTTACTATTTTATTTTGTTCATATTTCATTGTACATGGTATAATAATGGGAACCCTGCAAATACGCTAACAAACTAAACACATCATGCAAATAGAGGCATGTCTCATGCTTCAGCTGGACTAATATACATGTATGCAAATCGCATTCTGACTATAGAGATATAATTATTTGTAACAGGTCAATTAAATAATTTGTATCAAGGCACTTCATGAAGATGTATGTATTAAATTTGGTTACATTATAATTATGACCTATTTGCTAGCTTACCATTGAATAACAATTTGTACGGGGTCAATGGAATAAATTGTATTGAGGTACTTCACAAAGATATGTACCATTGAATTTGGTTACATTACATAATTTTCTATTGCATATCTGACTATTGAATAACAATCATTCGTATAAAAGGGGTCAATGGAATAACTTGTATCGCGGTACTTCACAAAGATGTACACATTGAATTTGGTTACATTACATAATTTTCTATTGCATATCTGACTATTGAATAGCAAATCATTCGTATAAAAGGGGTCAATGGAATAATTTGTATTGAGGCACTTTGCAAAGATGAAATTTGGTTACATTCGTAAGTTTTTCTATTGCATTTCTGTAATTTTGCTCATGATTCATTTCATGACACATTGACCTCATCCTCATTTTGTTGTTCCAGTGTATCGTGGGGTCAAAGGTCAAGGTCAGAGCAGGAGGTGACAAACTTGTCTTTGACCCTCAGCCCGGTGACCCCTCATGGAACGTTCTACTCATCTCAGGGGGGATCGGTATCAATCCCCTCATGTCGTTGATGCATCATGCAGCAGACCTGCGTGATCAGAGGAAGGGGAACCCTGAGGGATACACCCCTGGCAAAATGGAACTGCTCTTCAGTGCTTCCTCCAAGAGTGAGCTCATATTCAAGGTTTGTATGATTACATATTGTTATCATTAAAGCTCCTCCAAAGTGTTGGGAGCCCCAAAATTTCATTTAAATTGTATCATAATGTGAAAGAGAATGCCTGTTCATAACAACCTCTTTTTTTTTGTTTTCTCTTGAACGATGCTTCTCTTGTGTTTTGAAAACTTGTATTCAGATTTCAGAGGTCCCTTGTGTATAAAGATCCATGTATGTAACTCCATTGGGTGGTTTTTCTGTACTGGTAGTTATAGGCCTGAATTCACAAAGGAGGTTTAAATTTAACCCATGGTTTAAATCTTCATTTACATAACCCATTGTCTAAACTGAGCGCAAAATAAGCGGGACACAGTCAGAGGTCCAATATTAGACGCGCGCAACACAAGGTACACTTATTTTGCGCTAATTTTTAAACCATGGGTTATGTGAATGATGGTTTAAACCATGAGTAATGTTAAACCTTACACTGGCTACCCATTCACTCTCGCATTTTATTCAAAATATTGTTGTTAGCTTATGAATGTTTTTATGATTTTGCGCCTCCTTATTTGATAGAGATGTTAACATTGTACACACCTTCTAGAAATCTTTGTTCTACATGTAATAAAAAAAAATTGTTTGTTATTCCACCAGTGATGACCAGGTCATATGGTGAACGCAGCTTCGCTCACACTGCCTCAACTTTATGGAACAATCTCCCGGAACATCTAAAAAACATTGACTGCATTGTTAAGTTTAAGATTGCTTTAAAGACGCACTTATTTAACATTTAATTCATCCATTTTGTCTGTTACCCAGTACACCTTGTCTTTGTATTCTGTTGTGTTTTTCTCTAGAGCGCTTAGGGACATGTTTTATTACTATGTGTTATGCACTATACAAGAACGGTTAATTATTAACCTCCTTTGTGAATTTGGGCCATAATGTTTAGGTGTTATAATCAATAATTGCTTTGACAAATTCTTTTCATTTGTTTACAGGACACCATTGATGACTTGACATCGAAGCATTCTCCAAACATCGCTGCTAAGTTTTTTGTGACCAAAGAGTCGGCTGAAGATTCATCAATATCAAGTAAGCCCAAGTCTGTAATCGATAGAAGTATTCTTTTACACACGTATGCTGTAAGATGAGAACTTTTGCACAAGCCTGTTTGTTAATTTTGGGAGAGATGCAGATTTGCAAAAGTTTCATTCAGGGAAAAGGATAACACAATAACACAAAACGAGGACATTTGCAATTCGCAAAAGTTTCTCGCCATGATTTTTTTGTTCATAATAAATATTTAAAAACAATTTATGGAAGTTGATGGTTCCACATCGTGCACAGTAGACCTTTTTTTACTAATTTTATGCTTACTTCTTGTAAAAATGTTTCCCTTGACAACTCAAAATCTTTCCAGAGACCTCCTAGACATAGCAACAGTTATGTGTGCAAAGTGGATTTCATGTATAGAGATGCCATTATTTACAGCCGTTGAATTCAATAGTTAGTAACCTGGGATTCTAAAAGAAACATGCATGAATTAAAATACATAAGTAAAAAGTTCTATGATCATACATTTAAAAAAGTGGTTAAACAAAGTTAAAATATAATCACTATTAATTCTGTAGAATTGTGTGGTACAGTGGCATATCTAGAAGGGTACATTGGATGTATACTTCCTCTGACAACCCCCATGGTATACATGTTTAGTGTGTCTCCTCTCCATTTCTTTCAACCATCATTGCATGCACGTGACATGTTTTTTCAGGCTCTGTTTCAAATCCTTGATTTACGACTGTATCCTAGAGTAATTGATTGGGATTTGAAGGGAAATTGGATGTTTTATCTTGTTAATCTCTCTATTAAAACAAGTATTCATGGTCCTTCACTCCTGCCCTCCTTTCTCTTCTCCCTCTCTCTCTTTATATAATACCTGCTCTCTCTCTCTCCCCACCCTCTCTCTCTCTCTTTAATCTTTTACAAGATGTGTCCCAGCTACCCTTGAAATAAGAGAAACTTTGAAAATGCTCCCGTTCGAACTTAACTAGAATACAGAGGTTGAAATTTGTAGCTTGTAAAATGTAAAGGATCATGTTTTCAGTGCTTTTACAGTATTCACAGTGTTTTAATTGGCTTTGGAAAAAAGAATTAAACTCAATCATTATATTCCTTCCTATATTGTTATGTCCTCATACAGATCGAAGGATAGATGCTAGTGACATCAAGGCAGCTATAGAGAGGTTAGGAGGTCCTCTGAGATGCTTCGTCTGTGGTCCTCCTACTATGATAGCTGACATGGAGGGGTTGCTAAGCAACGCGGGTATCCCTCCATCAGATATCTTCTGTGAGAAGTGGTGGTAACGGGAGTTGATTATCGATGCATTGATTGGAATGGTCATAGGAATGATGAAAATGAAATTCATTTAGAAAAGAAATGAATAGATCGGGCATTTACTAAAAAAGTTGTTTACACGGGACTGCACTACTTGTGGCTACTTGCGCCCTCTATATAGCAAACAATGCCTAAGCGGTACCCATTGGTCCCCCATGATCCCCTTTATCTTATGTTAAATGAGAGCTGATTTGATGAGATAACCACCTGTCGGTGACCACTCAGGCAGGTCTAATCCCTCCTGGCAAATCTAGTGCAGATAGGCTATAAAGTCTCTTGGAATGATCTGCATTGAATGATGATGTTGGTGATGACTTCTTGTATACTGCCAGTATCTGCCTCTGATGGGCACTTGCTCTAGAATGTCTCACAAATTCAACGTATTAGAAAGCAAAGCCGAAGTGTGCTGTGTCGATGCAAGACCACAATCACTAACTCTTATATAGTGCAGATGAGAACTTAACAGTACTCGATCCACCAGGTGGTTTAATCTAGACATCTAGTAGGCCTACATTATTTTTGTTTATTTTAAGTATTTTCTATTCTCTATTTTCCTTTAGAAATTTTCAGTGAAAATTGAATTTAAGACAAAAATTTACTGAAAAGAACCTTTCATTGGACTTACCGGTAATAGCTTTTGGTGTATCCAAATTTGACGGTCTGAGAAATTTAGTATATTTACATGTAGGTGTTAAAAAATATATATAAAAATAAGCAAAGATATAACATTTTTTCACTTATTTTTGTTGTTTAATGTCAGTTTAATAACACTAGGTGTTAATCATGCTACACTTAGTAATTTAATGTGATCAGTGTCCGCTTGAATAGAAGCCATTATATCACTTTTGGCTTGTTATTGCTATGGCTTTTTTTGTACTTAGAGAGAATAATATTAGTCATTTTCATGTCTCTTTCATTCTTGCCAAGTTATTTTAATATTTGTGTAATCATTTTGTTCGATTAAGGATGTTCTTTGAATTCATCCCTGCTTCTTTCCGCTGTCTTGCAGATTTAGACAAGCATTATTTTAAGTCAAGAATTGCTTTGAAATGTATCAAAATTTACTAGTCAAAATTTGCTATTTACATAAAGTAAGTAAATGAGTATACCGAAAATTTTACAACGTTCAAGCCCTACATAACACTAAAGAGGTTCATCTGAATGGTGATGTAACTTGAAAATTAGTTCTTTCTTCACAATCTGCAGCAAAATGACCTGTTTTGTTAAGCTTTCTTTTGCTGTGTTGCAAGCTTCTTCAGACCAATGTCGTAGCTGGTTCTGTTGCCGATGCAGTACCGATTGTGAAGAAATAATTAGTTTCAAGCCCTATATACCCGAGGAGTGTTTTACAGGACTAAGATCGACTTAAGTTGGAATTGAACTATGGCAGGCTGTTCATGCCACTGGTTGCTCTCACCATGGTCTCTTGAGCTTGAGGGACGTACAAATCGTTGCAACTTTTTTCCACAATGAACTATCAAAAAATGTAAATTCTGTAGATTTGTACGTCCCTTGAGAGACCAATGCCAGGAATGGTGAGAGCAACCAGTGGCATGAATGGCATGCCATAGTTCAATTCCAATTTAAGTTGATCTTAGTATTTGTGAAACACCCCCCCCCCCCCCCCCCCCCCCCAGGTCATAGTGATTTTTCTTGACATTCCATTCTCTGTTGATTGCTTCATGAATGTCAAAATTAACATATAAAATTACCATCTAAACACATTACCAGTAGTTAAAATCAATTTTTAAAGAGAAGGTTGACTTACGGGAAGAGGTGAAAAGTAATTTGTGAGCTTTATTATTCTATTATGCAAGTGTGGAAGAACATCAGAGTAAAAATGTCCCCTGAAAAGCATGTCTCTTCAAATGCCTTATTATTCTAAATATGGCATATAACATCATACAAATCAGGACAGATTTTTATGCCACATGTTTGTGTAGTCCCATATACATCTTGCTGTGTACAGTACTTACCAAGACTGGGCTAAATTTCTTAATATTTTGATGATTCCAGAACCTTGCAGTACACACCAATACTCATTATATGCTAGATGATCAACCTTTCTGATCGATTCCATGTTTCTTACACAATGCAATCGCATGACCAGAACTCAACTTTATCTTTAAAGTATACCTGCATGATGAAAAAGGGACTACCTCAAAATTGAAAGATCGCCTGCATATGGGAGTTGTTCACCTTGTCCAATACGCCTTGTGAACATTATTCATGTGGAGTTGTCGCATTACAAATACTCTATAGTATTATTTAATTCGACCAATCTATATTAAGTACTTGCAGCAATAGCACAGGGAATAATTTTCCTCAAATTTTTTGATTAGCAATTTCAGCTGATGGATAAATATTTCAAATGAAATTCTGTACATTTCTATGGAAGAAAACTGCTACACAAAAGATATTTTGTATAGCAGTCATGCAAAAATGGATAGCAAATTGCGATGCGATACCAGGAAAATTATTCCCTGTAGGATGCTATTTGATAAAGCCGTTGTAGCTATGCAGGTTCTGATTACTTCAGATATTATAGATGAATGCACTCATATTGCTAGATGTTATATTTTAGTCAGCAGATTCAGTCTTTATTTTGGAATTTAATGTCATGATTGTAATCTGGATATTGCTCATCCATATGGTGTAAAATTCATTCAGTCTTTCCTCCCCTTTATCTCATTTTCCCTCCCCCTTCTCTCTCTACCTCTTTCCCTACTTCTCTCAGTCTCCTTTTCAGCTCTCCCTCACTCCTATTTCCCCCTCCCAGCCTAACTTTTCTTTCTTCCTTCCCTGTATATGTATATGTACTATGGAAATATCAAAGAAGAAAGGCATTTGTGATAAAATACAAGTAATATATAGATTTGTTATAATAAATGTATGTTATATAATCTTAATTCTGATCATCCTCTGTCCATCATATAGAATTGAGCTTTCACTTGTGTGAGCGTGAGAGTGTGAAACAAAGAGGATCATTCAACAATACATTTGCAGGTACAGTCAGACCTGCTTTAGTGATCACCTGTCTACAAAGACCACCTGTCTACAAAGACCACCTGTCTACAAAGGCAACATTTGTCGTTTCCCTTGAAAATGGTTTCTCGTTGAATCATGTACTAAAGGAACTTGTCTCCCAAGACCACCTATTTACAAAGGCCACTATTTGTGTTTCCCTTGGGCGGTCGCTATAGACAGGTTTGACTGTATTAAGGGGCTTTTCCAAATGTCATTGTCTAGGCTTATTGTGTAAAGTTTGAAAGATATAAGGTACTCTTGTGAAAGTATAAAAATAATAATGTCCAGATTAGGATCATGAGAAATTTTATTTCAAGTATTCAACAGATTCAAGACATTTCTTGGTTTATTTTTTATCCAAACAATGAAAACACCCACACTCTCATGTCATATGATGAGAGTGAAATGGTGCAAATATTTAAATCATGTAACTCATAAGTTACAAAACAAGCAGGATTCATTAATATTACAATGCTAATGTTGAATACCAATTAAGCCATAATTAGAATAATTGGCACAATGTACATGTATATTTGGATTATGACATCTCAATTGTATGATACACATTGTAGATTTTAAGTGAACTAATTATACCATTCCAAATGTGTGGATTTCACATATGGGATAAAGGAAGCATTAAGTGATCTTTGTGCATTTAGCAAGGAAATGAAGAACAGGAAATGGACCTTGAAATCACTGTAGATTGCTTTTAAAGACCACAAGGAAGGAAAGAGGCTGAATAGAAATAGGAAGAGGAAAAGATAGAGAGAGAGAGATAAACAGAAAAAGAAGGGAGAGGGGGGGGGGGGATTGGGTACAGATACAGAGACGGATAGGGTATGGTTGAGAGAGAGAAGGAAAAAAGATGGAGATTAAGAATGATACAGGAGAGAGAGAGAGCAAGACAGATGTACATGTAGGAAGACGGTAAAGTATGCAAGCAAGAGAGAGATAATGAAAAGGACAGATAAGTGAAGGAAGAGAAGCAGAGAAGAATGATACAAGAGAGAGAGAGAGACAGAGAAAACAAGTCGGTGAAAGAATGTGCGAGAGAAAGTAAGACTGCTGAAGGAGAGAGACAGAGAAGAAAGACAGATAAATAATGATACAAGAGAGAGAGAGAAAGAGAGAGCACACCATATGTAGGAAGATATGGGTAAAGAATGTGTGTGTGAGAGAGAGAGAGAGAGAGAGAGAGAGAGAGAGAGATAATGAGAAAGACAGACATGTGAAGGGAGAGATTCTGAAAGAATGATATCGATAAGGAATGATAAAAGAGAGAGAGAGAGAGAGAGAGAGAGATAAATGACATTGTGTAACTGAACACTATGGTGAAAACAACTTTTAAATGTAAGATCACAAGGTATGATGCCATTTGAATTGTCAATATATTTCAAGCACAAATAATATAAAACAAAGGATTAGAATGAATTATGCAATATTTACCAGGCGCGGATCCAGGATTTCTTAGGGGAGGGGGCCCAACTTTTTATTTTTTTTTGCTCCCGAAAATTTGAAAATCGCGCCGGCCGAAAAGTCGCTCAGTGGGGGGGGGGGGGGGGGGGGGTACAGAGCACAATTTTTTTTTTTTTTTTTTTTTTTTTTTTTTTTTTTTTTGCTCCCGAAAATTTGAAAAACGCGCCGGCCAAAAATTCGCTCAGTGGGGGGGGGGGGGGGGGGGGGGGGGGGGGGGGGGGGGGGGGGGGTAGTGAGCACATTTTTTTTTTTTTTGAGACCCTCAAAAAAAAATTCAATTTGCACCCCCCCCTTGAGCGCCAGGGGGGGGGGCCCAACCCCCAAAAAAGGTAAAAATCACGTGATTTTACATGATTTTTTTCTCAAGGGGGGGGGCCCGGGCCCCCCGGGCCCCCCCCCTGGATCCGCCACTGATATTTACAAGTGCTGATATTCTAAAACCATACAAAAGTGGAAAGAACCAGAAAGTGATAATAATGGAAATCTCCTCTTAATTAAACAGTGTCAGTGACATAAGTGTCTAGACATTGTATAACTTGTTAAGGAAACATTACACCATTTCCTTGATGTCTTATATCTCTGCTAACATTCATTGCTTATCTAATAAAAAGTAATGGTTGAACTTAGGGCATGCTCAATTAAGGTCAACTTTAAAACCGGTACATTGTATACAGAATTTGTAATGAAGTTTAAACCAGTGTAAATTGTTATTTTGGAGCCAGAAGGGCATTAACTCTGTATGAAATGGCGAGTTAATGCTCCTTCTGCCTCTAAACAGACGTAATATGCCAATGAGTATTATTTAACCAGCTGCGCATAGATAATGAAATAATGATCGGAATTGGATCAATACAGATCGAGTTTCAGGATTGGTTTACATGTACAATTAACAAAAGTGGACAAATAGGATTCAGTGCATATAGGCCTACATCTCAGACTGGAAGTTGCAAACAGTGTAAATAAATTTTAATACAATTTATACATGTACCATGTAGCCACCAAAAAATTAGAAGAGAAAAATCTTTAAACAAATTTTAAAAATCCATTATTTTGCGATTGAGCATGCTCGATCACCATTTGGGAACCACATATGAAGATATTTCTCCCATCTAATGGACTAGGGTAGTTTGAGTGTCTGGGAAAGGAGCTTGAGATGGGATAACAATCTTTCTTTCTTCTCAAGCAAGTTCTCCTCCAGTGCTCTGGCATCTTCCAGCAGCTTGTCAACATGATCGGAGCTCAACACCTCAAACTGATCACTCTCCCTAAAAAAAAGATGCAACAAATATGATAATGGTTTAAAAAGTTTTATTTTCACATCTGATTTTTTTTTTAAACAGAGGCCAATGGCCTATCAAGGTTATTTGCAAAGATAATAACATTTTCATAAAATGTTTCTTAAATATACTAAAAACAAAATTGAAATATAAAGATGAAAATGACACAGAACATCTTGAATAGGAAAGACAACTAAACTAATTCTGGAAGAATGAGGTAGAACATAGGATGAGAGGAGCATATTAAAATGGAGACAGGAGAAAGGAAAGATGAAGAGAGATGAAGATACAGAGAGAAAGATAGAGAGAGAGAGAGAGAGAGAGAGAGAGAGGAGAGAGAGAGAGAGAGAGAGAGAGAGAAGGGAAAATAGAAAGAGGGAGAGACAGAGAAAAAAAGAGAGATAAAAACAATGCAAGAAAAAAATGAAAGTAGCAAGAGTTAAAATAAGGAGGAGGACAGAGGAAAAACCCAGAAAGGACAAGAAAAAATAGGTAGAAAGAAAGATGAGGGGAGAGAGAGAGAGGAAGAAGGGGGATATATATATAATTCTAAAAGGGGAGAAAGGGAGGGGGCAAGTGGAATAAACATATTGAAAGTTACAATGTTTGGGTAATGATATAAATAATTCATTCAATAGTTATAAATAAGCAATGAGAAAAAGTCTTTTAAAAGATTATGATTAAGAAAGAAGAAGCAGGCGGATGGGGAAAACAACTGCAACATTGATAAATTGACTCCAAAGTCGTCACAAGTAGTTCAGGAAATAAGAGAGGAAATAATCGAGGTAATGAGGAGAAATAGGAGAATGTAAGTGATAAGAGAGGATCAAGTACTCAGCCAAATAAGATTACTCAACTAATGGTACTGGAACAGATTTAGCTGTATTACTTGCTGAAGCAAATTTAATTGAAAGTTATCCTGAAACAAAAGACTTAAATCCACTTACATGAAGACTTGAGTCCACTGCATGCATTCCATCTTAACTGCTCTGTCGATTTCTGAAAAGTAGAAGAAGAAAAAGAGAGCAAATAACACATTTAAAAGGCAGAAAAGGAGAAAAGGAGAGCACAAAATTAGATCAGAATTTTGCTTCAAGTTAAAAATCTTATTTGAATATACTCCTCAAATATGATTGAATATTGTTTTGACAAAATATTGTTTAATCATCTGCTTGAAGAGTGGAAAATGAAAAAATGTGTTTTCAAATTGTGTATATTGATTTACATGGAACATATAGTCTGGTAAATAAATGAAGAATGTACATTTAACTAATGAAATTAGCATATGGATTTGTGAACTGTCACAATTATCTTTCATAATGAAAAAAAATTGTTATTAAAGTCTTAGATCTACTATGAATTTTAAAGGGCTGAACAGATTTATTTTGTAAAAGATCTGAAAAAAGTTGGAAAAAGATATAGGGGTCTAGTTTAGATCTAGATCTAGACAGACTCTAGGCTACTTTAGGGCCTACAGGGTAGGATCTACCCAAAAATGAAATAAAATCTTTGCATTCTGTACCTGTCATCACTGCATCAATTGGTTCAAGACTTGAAGCCATCTTGCTTTCTGAGCACTCTGATGCATCAACTCCAGGATCAGGTCTGGGTCCATCTTTCTGGACTATCTCATCAAGATGTGGACTTCTTTCTCTCTGTCTCACATAAGCCTTCATAAGATCATCTGCAGGATCTTCAAAGCTGGTACTACTACTAGCAGAGGCCGCAAGTGGGTCTTCAAATATGGAACATGTAGATCTAGGTCCTTCTGCTTGGGAGGGTAAAATATCACCAGATTTGGTGAAATTAGGTTGATCATCATTGGCTCCACCTCGAGTTGGAAGGACAGCTTGATCCATTTTTATTTGGTCTGGACTTGGTTCTGAAAATTAAAATGCATGACAAAGACTAATAAAATATAGATCTAGTCTAGATTCTCTAGGACTAGATCTAGGGTCTATCTAAGATTTTTAATAAATGCTATCGCATTTTAAGCGTAAAATTAATGTTAACTGTAGCCTACACTTATAAAGTTATAGGCTACAGATCATCATGATCAATCATCAAACTCAAACTTCAATTTAAGGCCCAGCCAGGGACCAAGTCCAAGCAAGGCACCGACTTAATTAGACTAGACCTAGGTCTAGGGCTAGGCAGGGAAGCTAAAACTAAAAGTAGACTTCTAGATCTAACTTTTGTTAGACATAAATAAACGTCTGGTATGGGTTATTCTTGAATAAACTTGACATTTGTCAACCTTCCCCATGTCAGAGGAGCCAGATGTAATCTCAGCGGAACAACCGTCGATATTTAGAGACTGAAGCTTTTGGTCTAGGCTACTCTAGGATTAGGAAGCTAGTTTGTGCAAGCCAAGGCCAATGACAAGGGATACCGCCGATGTGGCAGCCACTTCTTCCCGCAGCTCCGGTAGGCGGTAGGCCTAGGCCGTGGGACGACACAATTTTCGGCTGCAATAAAAAGCAAAGTTGACTTTATATATTTCTTCAGACCAAACATTAAATCTGTATTAACTTAGGCGTTTTAGGCCTCATCAGATTATTCCACTTGACCAAATATCATTGGGGGAAAAAGGGAAAAGGAAATAAGAATGTCTCAGCTCACCAAAACAGAAGATACCCACCGGCTCCACTTTTAATTATTTGCAGCTAGACTAGATTAATTACTAAACTTGTATAGCTCGCGCGCGCATGCGCAATGAAGGAAGGGCACATTAGATCTTAGATCCCCGTTTTTAAAAATTAAAACAACAAAAACAATTGTTTTATCAATAACAAAATAATGCTAGAATTCTATAACAAATTTGCTTTCAGCCAATCAAATGACCCGATTTCAGTAGATTATAACATTTTTGTAACTTGTTTTTGATAACAAGTTTTATGGAACAGGGCTAAGGTCTCATACATCTGTATTAGCGAAAATAAACACACAAAAAAGGAGAGAAAAAAAGAACAGCAAAAACTTGTTTCGGGGGGGGGGGGGGAGGCGGCGACATATTAGACCCAAGGCATACTAATAGTTCCAGTATAAATATCTTTGACATTGTTTACTATGATGCGAGCGAGCTAGCGACCAGGCGAGATTTTGCTTTTTTGTTTGTTTAAAGCAATGATGATCGTTGCATATTAAACTTGCATTCCTTAACTCTATAGAACAGAGCCTACAAAATGTGTTGCAAGTTTTTCGCAACCCGTTTTATTCACCATATATTTTGTAATCCCAAAACATTCTGGGAATATACCTATACAACGCCTGAAACTTTTCGGGGAACGTATATCCCCCCCCCCCCCGATCACTGTTCCTGACTCCAAGAATTACAGAGTGGGCGACAAAACCACCTCTACCTGTTTGTTGGTAAAATGTACTATTGTACTTTCGGTTCTAGGACAATTTCCCCCTGGACAATCACCCCCTGAGCCGAGGACAACCACCTCCGAGCAGGCACGTAGCCACGGGGGGGGGGGGGGGGGGGTAGGGCACGGGGCACGTGCTCCCTAAAATTTCCAAGATCGGTTGAACTTTTTTTAGACCCTTTTTTGACCTCGATCGATTATATGTAGGTGCCCCCCCCCCCTCCCCCAAACATCGAACTCTGGCTACGTGCCTGCCTCCGAGGGCGATTACCCCCGGAAATAGGACAACAATCTGCTTTTATCAAAACCAAATAATTATCAGGGTAGAGTTCCCCTTGAATGAACAGGGATCTGTCTTTTGGGGGCGGAGGGCAGGGGGGGGGTAATTGTTCTCGGGGTGGTTTTCCTCGGATATCCCGGGGGGGGGTGATTTTCCAGGGGTGATTGTCTAGGGTGTAATTGTCCTAATCATATACGTGTTTTTTCACATGAAGATCGTCACGGTGACACGGTCACTCAGTTTAGAACAATTGTGCTAAAACCATCCTGTCGATATACGTATGATAATAGCGACCTGTATTTTAATCAACAGGGTATATGAAACGCTGAAACGGATGGCTCAAGACTGAGGAATTTAATTGGAGAGACACTTGATATAAAATTTCGATTTAGTGACTGAACCTGTCATAAACTGACAGATCACTATTGATGATGATTTTAATCTATTAACACGTTTTGCTAGATCATGCTCATCCAGTACACGACTTATGTTAATATTAACATAAGTCGTGTACTGGATGAGCATGCTTATATGCACTGTGCGTTAAGCTGGAGTGTTTCAATTTCATCGATAATTTCCCCAAACATCATAGTATGACTCGATGGTTTCGATAATGGATGAAAAAGATATGCTTTCCGTCGAAGCATGACACAGCATGGTGTATCCGGTTTTCGTAACAGGCGTAACACCACTCATCCCTACACCTCACATCCCTATACACACCCACACCCACAACAACTCCCCCGTTAGCAGTGGCGTAGACAGGTTCGTACACCTGGGGGGGGGGGATGACTCAGGGGCGGATCTAGCTTTTTGCTAAGGGGGGGGGGGTTGACCAATAATGACGATGCAGAGCATCGTCCACGAGCCGCGAAGCGGCGAGCCGATTTTTTTGGGGGTGTTTATTTGAACCCGGTAAGTGATGTTTTCCTGGCATCTATTAACACAATGGAGACCATAAAAAGCAGTGCATGATAACGTCTTTTTAAATCAAGTAACAGTTAAATACACAGTTATATCCAGTGTTATCATGTGTTTGGTTAAGTTACCAGATGAGTTGAATATCTTCTCACAATATTTGCACTTGAAAGGGTTTCTCTCCAGCGTGCGTTCTTTTTCTTTCTTTTTTTCTTTTTTTTTTTCTTTTTTTTTCCATTTTTCTTTTTGTTTGTTTTTTGGGCCGCCCAAGGGGGGGGGGGTTAACCCCCTAAACCCCCCCCCCCCCCCGTAGATCCGCGCCTGTTTAATCTTGTGGTTATCTTGTGGTTTCCAAACCACAAGATAACCACAAAATACTTGTAAGATTTTCTTTTTTTTACCGTCTGAATTGGCTTTCACCGTGTGAATGCGGCTAATAACAATAAACACAATTACAATAATGATGAGGATTATTATTATCATCATCATAATTATTATTATTATTAATATTATAATTGTTATCATTATTATTAGTACTATTATTATCATCATTATGACTTATTAAGTAAGCAAATATCATTCCCCAAAACCTGGGGGGATGATTGTACATGCCATCCCCCCACCTTGTGAGGTGGGGGGATGCATCCCCCTCATCCCCCCGTTGTCTACGCCCCTGCCCGTTAGTAAGCCAAGTACACAGTCAATACATCCTGCAAGTGGGTACCGTATCCAGATATTTATCGTGGCACCCCTCCCTCCTTCACAGGTCGTTCAGAAGGGTTCCGCCCTATACCTATTATTGTTTTCAATTCGAAACTATGGAGGAGCTACTCAACAATAGTATCTCTAATCCATGTTTTTATATTTTTGTATCACCTTATTTTTTAATTGAATTTAGGCACAGAGATTATTATAAATAAAAAGAAGTTTTGTAGCTACCTATCTCTGTTTCAATCGAAAAACGATTGATGATGAAGTAGCCTATTATGATTCTCTTCATAATCCCCTGTCATCTCCTCTACCTTCATCCCATCCCCTCCCCATCCCTTCCCCATTCCCTTCCCACACTCTCCCCACTACTCCGGTCTCCGGCCTCATCTTCTACCCATCCCCGTCATCACCACTTAACCCTCTTTACCATCTTCTCATTTCTCCACATCACCTCCCCATTCATGCACACTTCACAGTAATACGGATTGACTGCGATACCATAGCAGATGTATCAAACGAAATCTGAATCTGAAATCTGAAATCTGAAATCTGAAATCTGTATCCTGTTTTGGTTTTCTTCCCCTTCAATCTGTCCCTATTTTCCCTCTCTCTTTGTTTAAATCACAATCCCGCGAGAGAAAAAAATCCCTCGCCTTGGAAACTGTCCAATTATAAAAAGGGAAGATCAAACTTGCGGGGAATACCCTCCTCTGGTACCCAACGTTCAGTAAGCGCAAATCTCCCTTCCGTTTATTTTTAGAATATCCGTCCGATAACGATGCGTTAGAAGGAAGTTCATGCGGACATATTGATTGGAATATTATCGAGACATCAGACACTCATTCATGCATATCAGGTCCTAGTCAAGCATGACCCCAGATAGGGCAGAGCTTGTTTATATACCGTCATTCGTTGATTGCTCGTGCATTTACCAAAGAAAAATATTCCTTCGACCTCCCTTCATTTCAATGTATCCTACAGCTCCATATAGCGCTGATACGAACCATAATATTTCTCTGACGGTGCTGACAATAATCATTTTATAATCATTTGAGTTGATGGACTTGAAGCTGGTGTATTTTATGATTCATTGAGGACTCTATTCATGCTCTGGTCGTGCTGGACACACCTACATTTTTTGAAGTAAAATCGGAATTTAGGAAACGAACCACGCAACCAAGAAGTGAGTATAAAGGTCATTAATACTTCATTTTGGTATGATTATGAGGGCACGTAATTAAGTTTTTGAAACAGTCCGAATCCATTGACCAAGCTTTTTGTACAATCATGCGAATTAAAATATCATGACGTTTGGTATTCTCAGTGGCGTATGCAGACTTAACAATAAAAAAGGGAGGGGGATTGAAATTTGATGGGAGCAAAGAGACATTGGGGGGCTTGCTTTTTCGTTGGGGCACAAGGAAATACGATTTTTTTTCTTCTTTCTTTTCTTCCAGTGGTGGTGGTAGTTGAAAGAAGCATAAAAAAACATTGTCACTTTGTTTTCCACCGCGTCAATTTTTTGACGGTTCAGATTACATATTATGAGTGAAAACATGGACAATAATGAATGAATTTGTTTTTCTGAAAAGTTCCGTTTTGGCAACATACAAGTTTATACTCAATGGTCGAAATTGTTTTTTAGAGCGGATAAAATCCTACATCTGGGGGCGAAATTGTCATTTATCAGGGGGCAAAATGACCTTCTAGAGCCCAAATTGCCATATTCCGTTACTAAGAGTGGCCAGTCAGGAGGGGGGAAAGTTGTCATTTTCGAGGGGCAAAGTACCCTTCTTCAAATTGGTTTCCATCCCTGGCAAGCAGGGCGTGGCCTTACTATATAGTGCGTATTTTTTTCCACTGTGTCATTTTTTTACGATTCATTTTACATGTTATGAGTGTGAACATTGACAATAATGAATGAATTTGGTTACCTCAAGTGTTCCATCGGGAAACATGTATTTTTACCCTCAAGGGAGTGAAAGTGCACTTCTGGAGCAGATACATTCCTATCTAGTTACATAGAGCGCCCCGTCAGGGGCGACATTTTCATTTTTCTAATGGGACAAAGGTGCCCTTCTAGAACCAAATTTGCCCTATTCGGTGGCCTGTCAGGGATGACATTATCATTTTAAAGTGGCGGAGAGTGCCCTTCTATAGACAGGAAAGTGCCCCGTCATGGTCGAAAAACTCTCAGAGCCATTGTCGAGCCAATATCGCGTTAGTTCAATGCAAAAGTTTCCCCGTCGGGGTAAAACAAAATCAACTACTAGTAACGCGTGGCCACAATCATACGGAGTGACTTTTGTAACAATTCTGCTTATAAGATGAACACTTTGAAGAAGAAAAAAATCATCACTGGATTTCTAACCAATCACCATGGATCTTATATGAGTGGACGGGGAATTTCATCTTCTTTCCAAAACCGTTCACCCCTCTGCGACATGACATCGACTTATCCTGTCACGTCCGGGTAAACAACGCGGGGTAGCAAATTTTCAGTCAAATATCTGTTCTTTCCATAGACAATAATTATTGCCATCGAATGCCCAAGTTTGAAAGAAAAATGATCACTGGTTTTGTGACTTTACTTAATGAACATACATGATCATGAGGCTAGAATAATGAACTTTGAGAATCTGTTCACCCCTTTTGCGGTGATTACCCGTTTTAAAGATACATGTGTTTTAGTGGGGAAAACGTGTTAAAAACATGATGATTTACGTGGTAAAGCCTGTGGGCGTTTCCGGGCGAGCAGATGCGCGCTAGTTTTCATTATGGAAAATTGCCTAATGTGGTACTATATAAAGTGCCCCGTCATGGTCGAAAAATAATTTATCAATTCTAGGAAAGTGCCTCTCTAAAAAACAATACTGCGTTATTTCCAGCTGCCCCGTTGGGGGCGAAATAATATTTATCAAGGGGACGAAAGTGCACTTCTACTGAGCCAAAATTGCTCCTTTTTGGTTACTCAAAGGGAGGGTTGAGTTCTGGGAAGGGTCAGAAAGTTCAAATAATCGAATTGAGAATTTTTATTAAAGTATTATAAGATAAAAACATGAAAAATTACAATGTTTAAGAAATCCCTTTCGAAAGATTCAACCTAAAACTGCACATGTGCTATTTGACTGTAATTATTTTACCATCAATCACAAACTAATTGTAAATAGTCATTAATTGTTTTACTCCTGACATTAAATTTACTTTTAACTATTTTTAATAATTTTAAAACTAATGTACATGTATATCGCTGTAGAACATGTATTAATGTTATATTGACATCGTCATTGTACATTCATATATCTTTTGTTTCAATGTTTTCAACGGTCGTGAATAAATAAATTCAGATTCAAATTCAAACACTGTTTTGGGGGTGAGAAAACACAGCAGTAAATAACAATTTTCCAAAAAATAATATTGATGAATCTTTGTGTAATTACAAATAGTTTGAAACATAAATTTGAAAATTTCCTGACCCTCTCCAGAACTCAACACCCCTCCCCTTAAAGGATAGCCCACGCAAAGACAAGATTAATTTTTATTGTAAAATACTTTAATCAAATAGCTTTGCACGCAGTCATGAAATTATTACTTTTCATTTATTAACAAAAATACTAATTACCAACGTTAATTGTTTTTTTCAGGTATCCTTGTAACTTTTTTTATCAAATCGATGCAAATTCTTCTTTAAAACATGTTTTGCATTTTAATTTGTTCAGCGGGACAGAGCAAAGGGGGTGTTTAACCCCCAAAACACCCCCTGCGTGCCGGACTTCAGCTTTTCTCCAAAATCGGGAAGTGACTATGAGGAATAAGTTTTCTTTTGTTCAATGTAATCTGATGTAGACCAAGGGTCGAATACGTGCATGCCGCTGTTTTCGGTGTGAATCGTACACCACAACCATAACTCAATAGCCCATTCGACAATTTTGAATTAGAAATAATGGCAAAGCTATTTGAGCCTTTTGAAGTCAATCTTTTGTGTCCCCCAAAATATGATTGAGTCATCCCGTTATTCAGACATTTCTGAATAGTTTTCAAGGTTCCGGACTTCCAGTGCACTCTAATGCTCTCTCTGAATATGTCAATTTTCTATGAAAAACCACAAACCGAACAAACATTAACATCAACGCATAATCCTGGGATTTGGCAATGTTTTTGCTGCTTACGATGGTGCTGCTGGAGGAGGGGGGGGGGGGCTGTTTTGAGTTTATTGGAAAGCTAGTCTATGAGTAGGCCTACCAACCTATGAAAGAGTTATAGATTGAAACAATTGGTATATAGAATTTAAAAATGAGTATTTCATAATACCGTTTCATTTAAATAGGAGTAATAGAGGGGGAAGAGGGCTGCAGTCTCTCTCCCCGAACAATGTTTGAAACTTTATATTATTTTCTGCAACTTCGTAAACGGGCATCTTATTGGGGCAACTTTTATTTTATCTCTTATTTCGTCTATTTTAATGACAAAATATAAACTTGAAAATTTGCCCCCCCCCCCCCCCCCCCCCCCCCACGCGCCCAATAAAATTGCGTCCGTTCCTCTATGTAACCGATCAAAATAACGACAAACTATCAGAAATATTTACAACATTATGTAAATATTATATCCCTTCCTTGCATGATAAAACGTGTGTAATGTAATGCGGAAAATTATAAAATTATAATTAATCAATTGCTTGCTCAATACATGAGTATGTAATATAAGTAGAAGGAAGGAAGGATGTGGTGGTAGTAGTGGTGGTGGTTGTGGTGGTGGTTTCGTTAATAACCCTTGATTTGTTAATGTTAATGTTTGGAACAATATCAGAACCATGTATATGCTAGCTAAATTTAATTTTAAAAAGTTTTCAATAGACTAAAGAGCTTCCTTGTTTTTACAATTGAAATTGCATTTCAGTGATCGAAGAATGATGATAATATACTTGCAGTTAGATAATGATTCTTCATCTTTTTATCTAATACGTCCCGGCCATGAGACGGCTTTTGGTGACCTTATCATAACTAATTAAAAAGGAAGAATAACGGTCTGATGACAAAAACAGAATAATTGCTACGTCGAAAGATTGACTGAACTTGTGTAATGTTTGCAAGTTTTTGATATAGAATTAAAATAGATTTGTACATTAACACCTTTTATTTGCATTGCCTCCAGAAACACATAAATCACTTTCAAAGGCTAAGAACCATTCGGTTGAAAGAGAATACCACCACCGGAATGTTGGCTCAGTCAGTAGAGCGTCCGCCTCACAACCGGGAGGTCGTGGGTTCGAACCCCGGCCGCGTCATACCAAAAGACGTTAAAAGATAAAAGATGGGAGTTGTTGCTACCTTGTTTGGCGTTCAACAATAAGAGATAGGGCAACGTCGATCTGGCGCTGCTCAGTGGCTGCCGGGCTCACGATCAATTGGGCAAAAAGAATTTCCGTTTCGGTTTAATAAAATTTGGTGTGGACTTATTAGGCTATTATTATTATTATTATTATTACCCTTACCTTACCGTTCATCATTGTATTGATTATGTTACTTTAGATCAAATCTAGAGCGAGTTGACCAAAATTACCTTTTTCTTTTGTTTTACAGGAATGGCCTTTTAATGGAAAATAAGCGAGGGATTTGATACATTATATTGTGCCCGGAGAGTCGACTTTGTCATACGCTGATAACTTTGGAGATTGGAACTCAAGACTCGTCAAGATGGATTTAGAACATGACGTCATAGGAGAGGTTGGGTGCCATCTAACATGGCCAGAACTTCTTAAGATCACTCAAGAACAACTCGAAAAGTCATGGATGTCACTTGAATCGCGGAAAGTAGAATTCTCCGAGCTGCCGACCTATTTTTGCTCTATTAAAAATCTGCAGGGATTCATATTGTATTCACTTAATGACCAGAAGAAAGCGGAGGAAAAGTTCGATGAAGTCTTGGAGCTGGACTCTGAAAACATCGTTGCTACTGGCAACTTGGCAGTTCTCTATAAACGCCAGTCGAAATTGAAACACTATCACGAATTCATTCAGAAGTTGCAGACACTGGTGTCCAACCGAGAACCCGTGCATCTAGCTCGCGCGTACGCTGATCGTGCCCACGCGATTCGACACTTTGAACAGGACGTACGACCCTTCAGTTACACGGCTTTTATCAAGAAGGCAGTAGAAATTGGAGCCGAGACCGACGTCCCGGAAAAGGCCGAATGGATTTTCGACTACGGCCTTGCTCTCTACCGTCGAGACAGTCAGCTGGTTGCAGGACAAGCAGCTATGGCTGTTACAGAACCCAGCTTCAAGGAAGCCACCGTGTGCCTCGCTTCGGTGACAGAAATGGCAGATGCCCCACGATCCTACCGCGCCCTCTCTTGGGTGTTTATGGGCATCCTTCTGCGGACAAAGCCATCAAGATCCCTTGGCCAAGCCTTGCTTGATACTGTTCATCTCCATTCATATACCTCGATGGATTGTTACGAGCAGGCGTTATCACTGCAACCAGACCACCACATCGTCTTAAGGAGAGTTGCCTCTGAACTGACCCTGATGAAACAGTACGACCGCGCAGAAAAAATGTTTCACAAGTCGATTGAAAAGGAACCTTCCTGGTTCGGACATCGCCATCTAGGATTGTTGTACCTAGCAATGTACGAGGATATCTATGGTAAGGAACAGAAGGTAACTTCGGAACGACCACTTGGTCTACTCGCAAAGGCTCAAGAACAGTTTGAGACAGCCCTGAAATTCAAACAAGTGCACGCAGATCACTCGGACCTAGGCTACATCTCTTTTCTCAGAGGTGACTACGACAAAGCCGTGCAGGAGTTCAGTCTCGCAGTACGGTCCAACCATGATGACAACTTCGACATCGCCCAAACACATTCTCGATGGGCACAGTGCCTCCGGAAAATGGGCGAAGAAGAGGGCGCCCTAGTGCAGTTTGCAGAAGTTAAGAAAGCTCAAGGGAGACTGCAGAAGCAGGTCTCGATCCTACAAAATATCTTCACCCACAATCATGGCATCAATTGCTGCGGTTTTGAATGCGACCTGTCACGATTTGACTACTGCTCTTCCGAACGACCAGGATTTGTGAACATCTTATCCGAGAACCAGTGTGCTTACGTCAGTCCTATATCACCCGTATTCCTTCGTCAGCCTAGCCCTTACAAATTCGATTTCTTCGTCAGTTTCTCTCACATCGATCACAAATGGACTGTCTCGTTTGTGAAGAAGCTGGAGAAAGATTTCAACGTCCGCGGTTGTATCCGCTACCGTGATTACGCGTACGGTGCGACCATCGCAGAGAACATTGCGGAGAACATCGACGAGTCGTATCGTACCATCCTGATCTTGTCGCCAGACTCTCTCAGAGACCACTGGTGTCGTTATGAGCTCCAGAGAGCACATATGGAATCCTTGAAGCGACGATGCATCGTACCTGTTATGCTGCGTACGTGTAAACTGCCCCGAGAAGTAGAGAACCTAACCCACATCAAGTGTAACCGGGGACAGTTCGTCCTGGATGATTGGTACAGGCTTCAGGACACTCTTCGCCAGGATGAGAAGAAGACGAAGATAGACTTGAGCAGTTGACTATCGGCACCAGAGCCTGAGAGAGAGACTAAGGTTCCAAAGTGCATTCAAAAGCTGCCTCTCAAACTAAAAAAGACAATACGCCATCATTTCATATCGTAGACAAATCACCCGTCAGAAGTTTACATGGTGGATTTTCTTTAACAATAATTATTCGTGTATTTCTGGACATCATTATGGTATCATTATGCTAATTGAAATAAACATCATTACTATGGTCATAGCCGAGCGGACAAAATAATATCATGGTTACGTAGCGCTCTAGCATATCGGATACCCATTTACACCTTGGTGGAAAGTGGCAAAAGTGAATTAATGAATTGCCATTAAAGGACGTTAATACCGAGGCAGGATTTGAACCAAAAATGTCCTGATTGAGAGACCAGGGGAGTATTTTACAAAGGCTAAGATCGACTTAAAGTTGGACTTAACTAAGGTAGACCATTCATGCCACTGGTTGCTCTCATCATTGGTCTCTTAATTATGATCTTTAGATAATATTTTTCCTACAACAATGGACTATCAAAAAATGTAAATTCTGTAGATTTGTGACCATGACCAGGAAATGCCAGTGAGTGAAAATAGTGGCACGAACAGCCTGCCATTGTTAAGTCCAACTTAAAGTAGATCTTGGTCTTTGTGAAACACTCCCCAGGAAATGAACGACTTCACAACCGGCACCCCACTAGGGGGTTAAGAGGGTATGCACACACTCTATGCCGAAATCCTGGATTGGTAAATTTATAAAACTGTGTATTTATTGTGTATTTCCGGATGTTCAAGAAAGTGGGCCGTCTGGTCTAACCATTGTCTACTAATGTTTTCAATGTATGCTTATAACAAGATATATTTAGCTGGTTTAGGTTATCTTTTTAAGGTTAGCATACAATATTGTGAAGGTGCAAGTGGATGAGTATTTTCATGGAATCACTGGATATATGAAACTTGTTTTAAATGGAAAAGGGAGATGGCTTGTATTCGTAGTTTTGGGGTAGTTTTTTTTTGTAGTCTCATCAGCGCCTTTGATTATATTGGCGCTTTATAAATTCCAGGATTTGATTGGATTGGATATTCGCCCTTCTCTTGTGAAGCGATATAATTCAGAGTACACCCAGAAGAAAAAAAAGGTCTTGAAAAGAATAGGTATACTTAAATGGTGTGATTATCTCAGGGGGGTAATAAACCATGTTGTTGTTGTTAACTCCGTTTTTGTTTGTGTTCATCTGCTTAATTCGCACTCTTCTGCTAAGAAATTAGTAAAACTATATGCTTACAGGGAGATGGGAGGGCCAGGGAGGATACTGAAGTACTAATATTCAGGCAACGTTCGCCTTAAAAGTTATATTCGGGCGAGCAACGAAGAGGTCTATTTGTAATTTTCAAAAATGTATTCTACTAGTAAAGGCACACAAAGGCAAAGAAATTACATTCAACGTATTTACACACAGTGTAGCGGAGGCTCTTCGTCATGTACATGTCTTAAAATAATCTTTGTTCGCTCACTAATTGATTTCTTGTAAAAAAAAAAGATAGCAACAAAAAACACCATTCTAATAGTTACTTCACAAAACAACTTGCCGTTTAGCATCATGCAAAGTAAACAGCACGGACTGGTCATGGTTGGGGGAGGAGGGAGGGTGGGGGGGGGGGGTGGGAGAGTTTTCCCCTCGCGGGCTGCTCGATATTTTTGGCTTAATGGCCGCGGTCAAATCGAAATTTGAGTCCCAGCCCCCGGCTCCCCCTCTTAATTTTGTTGCTTTATGGATCCAAAACCCCTACCAATGTAATTAATATATGCCATGATATAACTTGTCATGAAGTGGGATGTACTGAATATGTCGTAACAATTTACGATGAGGCTCTATTTTTGAAAAATATTTATTCATTCACTCAAGAATACTTGTAAAAATAAATAGCATCTTTTACTTGATTACCTGAATTTGCAGATAATATTGCAATGATCCATGCACAGACAAAATTATAATTATCTTATGTATAGCATCTTGAACTTGAAATATATATTTATGCGTGAACAGCGTGTATCATGTACTCTGCAGCTAAACATAGTATTCTCGTTTGATAGATGAATACAATACCTTCAAAATGGCATATTCCATGAATATAGAGTTTACGCGAAGTTTCGTTTACTACTGACCTGGAAACATGTTTTCAACTTCCCAAGTACAGATTTTTATTTATAAAAAAAGGTATACACTCTACAAAATAAAATCTACAAATTACCATTTAAAAAGGGCCGAGGAGTGAGCACTTTGAATCCAATGTGCAAAATATTGTTAGTTTGTTTTCATTTCCGTGATCGAATAAAACATGACCAACATATAATGGAATTTAAGTTTCAACTACGCCAGATAGCCCTTTTCAACTGTAAATACAGAGAACAACCGTTCTTCCATCGGTCCTTATACAAAATATGATGCTTTAAATCTACAAATGTAACATAGGATACAAAAGTACTATTTAGAAAAATGGTCTCTCCTCTGATATTTTAAATGGTGATTTAACACTTTGATATTAACGTGTGTAGGTGGTAAATACTATATTCGTGGTAAATCATATTTCTTTTTCAAACGAATGCAGACCTGATTTCTAGGGGGATTTTTCTCAAAGTAAAGCCCATTTTTTCGGGTGTTTGCCATGCAAACACACGAAATATTTTGAAATTGTGACTCATGTTTAGGGATCATTTTGTTAAAAAATAGGATCCATGTTTAGGGATTTTTTTGTGGACAAGTGACCCATTATATATGGCGGCACACCCCCGTATGTCTCAATATGTGAGTACCCCCGGGGTGTTGTTTTCTTCAAGATATCCGTATTGTGATATGAGTCACGTACCGATTGTGCACATTCATCCGTGACTGTTTCCATTAATAGTTGTTTTGTATCATTCCAATGTTTTTTTAATGTTTTTTTATTTGTTTATTACCGTGAATGTACATTTGAGTTTTAAGCATGTACCCACGCCTTCATCCGTGACTGTTGCCATCAGTAGATTTGTATCATTAATCGTGAATGTACATTTGAGTTTTAAGCATACCCTCTGTAAGCTGTGCTTTCGGGACTATAAAGTCTACACCTCTTTGAATCTTAATAAGTTTCTTTGTATGTACATGTATTAGTGAAGGTGCAGGTAAAGGGAAATAAAAATATTACTTTATCTACGACAGCGTTTGTAGATGCACTTTCTTGTTGTAGATGCAGAGCTAGTTAAGTTATTCACTGAAGATTATACTATGTATAATCAAATGTATTATGTGTAGTGGTGTATAGCTATCGAATGGCATAGAGAGAGAGAGAGAGAGAGAGAGAGAGAGAGAGAGACATGTAGAGAGTGAGAGAGATACAGACATAAAGGCAGAAATAGACAGAGAAAGAGAGACAGACATAGAGTGAGATAGAAAGAGATACAGAGACATACATGAGAGAGAGAGAGAGAGAGAGAGAGAGAGAGACAGAGAGACAGAAAGAGACAGACAGACATGTAGAGAGAGTGTGTGTGAGAGAAAGAGAGACATACAGAGAGAGAGAGAGAGAGAGAGAGAGAGAGAGAGAGAGAGAGAGAGAGAGAAAGAGACAGACATGTAGAGAGAGTGTGTGAAAGAGATACATACAGACAGAAAGGCAGAGAGAGAGAGAGAGAGAGAGAGAGAAAGAGAGAGAGAGAATTAAAATTGTAAACAAAGGTCAACCGATCGGTAAAGTAACTGGTTTTAATAAGGCCATTCAGCTTCCTGTATTTCTAAATATGACCACATTGAGACAAAAAACACAGAAGTGAATCGTGTGTATTCATGAACAGCAATTGAGGAAGAAAATCATCAATATCCTGTCAAGGGAAGGTTTCATATTTCTGACGTCCGTCTTTACTCTCACTTTCGAGATTATTCACCAACTGAAATTACAGAACCATATTCTACTATAGGCACAACTGAAATTTAAAATTGCATTTCTATTAGGTACTTCAATTAGTTAATTATATCTGTATATATGTTTATTATGTTACATTTCAATGCTGTAACTGTTTTGTATTTGTAAAATTGCCACAACCAGCTGCAAAGATATGTTTAGATATAAATCTTAATAATGAGAATAGTGGAGTCTTGTATAGCGCTCACGTCTGGCACTTTGCCACTCCTCGCGCTCTATTATTAACCTGCCATTACAGCGTTCGAGCGTTCACATCCTTAATCTTGAAATCTTGGATGGGCAAATATAGTCTTTAATATTATCATATAGGCGTGTGTTGTAGGTTACTCTTCTTAATAGGGACTCTTAGATTTGCGTGGACTGATACGTGTGACGTCCATTCAAGGCAGTGCATTAATAGGACGTCGATCGTAGCCATCCCCATTGTCTTCGTGCGAATCTAAAAGTCCCTATTGTCAGAGAGAGGATGACAATGTGTATCATAGAGTATATCCTTAAAGATAAAGTTGAGTTGTGAAAGAAACGGTGTGGAATTGATTAGAAAAGGTTGATCAAATAGCATATAAGTATTGGTGTGTACTGCAAGGTTCTGGAATCATCAAAATGATAAGAAATTTGGCCCAGTCTTGGTTAACTTACAAGCACTGTACACAGAAAGATGTATATGGAACGATGTATAATTGTCAGTGAACAGAGCAGCTGAAGGGCACCGGGCCCCATCTGTCAGAGCTGAGGATTGGAATGGGTTATACAAATATTGCAAAATTATTTACTTTACTTTATCAAAGAGAACTGTTGCTGAGCTAGCGCCATGAGCGTCCCTGGACGGTGTGTGCGCTCTATAAGTTTACACTATTATTATTATGGGACTACACGAACATGTGGCGTAAAAATCTGTCCAGATTTGTATGTTGTTACATGCCATATTTAGAATATGAAAGCATTTGAAGAGCCATGCTTTTCAGGGAAACAATTTCTGGATGTTCTTCCACACTTGCATAATAACAATGATAACGCTCACAAAATATTTTTGACCTCTTCCCAATACTCAACATTCCCTTTAAGTTATTTTGGCAGAGTCATAATACCCAGATAACTACATATACAAATATTCAAGCACATAGATTTGATTGCTGACAGTTAACAAGGGAATGTTATTGCTTTATTACGATTCTTCTATCAATAAACCATACACCACAACAGCTGTAAAACAATACTAGTAAATCATTCATGTATATTATATGGCAAATGATTTTCAACAAATGAAATATCTTAACAGATATTAATACAAATAATAACCATCAGCCACTTTCATATCTGATCAACTTTTAAAGCCTGATATTCATTAATGAATAAATGAGGACTAAACAGAGCTGGCATTTTTCTTCAATAAAAATATATAAGAATTATATAATATTCATCAGACACAGTACATCAAATCTAATCTTCCCCTAACAATTCAATTTAATTCACCCTTAAAAAAAAAACCCATACAATTAAAGTTAGTGACAGAAATCTGCAATTATATTTTAGTTTGACAACCTATGACTGAATCATGGCTTGAAATTGGACTTTAATAAAGGTATTCTGCACAGAGAATACTTAGTTGATGTTAGAGGTGGGATAGTCTTAAATATGCCACGATTAGAACTCATAATACATTATCATTTTCACATCAATGACAAAATAGAATACCAAGAATAAATACAACACTTTTTGACTTAAATCTAGTTCTGCCAATTCTTAACAAAACTTTTCCTTCTTCAAAATACCAGAATAAAACCCATAATCCTCTTCTGTTAAACATCAGTGTTCTCAAAGATCTACTTCACATCTGCAGATTTGGATTTTATCCGAAATTCATCATACCAATTCAACAAACATTGTTGAAGCTATTTTCATTTGCGATGTATTACAATACAACTATGCGTACAGTATCAGAAACTCGTTGCAACATTGAATACACAATTTCAAGCCAAATGCATTTCTATTTAGACCATCTTATACATGCTGGTCCTCAAGAAAGACATCTAGATATCACACCAGTATCTAATACCATGTATACAGTAAACAACTGTTAATAAATGAATCTATCGACTATGGAATACTGTCCTATATAGAGAGTTACTGGTTTTATACGTTATGTCCATCCTATCCATTGGGAACTCATTAAGACAATATAACATATAAGTCTCTCTGGAGCAACAAGGGCGTTAACTCATATACAATAACATAATAATCAACATCCTTTTAGCGCTGACCGGACAATGTATGCATTTGGAATCATGTGCAATCTTTTCTTTTTTTCCTATGACAATCTATTTAAAGTGGTTCAGTTAAAATGACAACATTAACGCTTTATGCATACATTAACCCTGAAATGTAAATAACCCTTTCAATTCTTCATAACAAAAATGGAGTCCACTTTATTTATTACACTCATATTGCAATACTAATGGTTTCTATGTCTATTCAGTACCTGCATGTTATGACTCGATAGGAAAGCATTTAAGCCGGACTACTTCTAGCTTGGGGCTCTAATGTAGTGATAAAAACAAACATTTTCAAAACATTTTCAAAACATTTTTTTAGAAACATATATAATTGTTGTTTCATTGCACATGAAGCTCAGTACAGGTTGTGAAAGTGAAAGTCATCATAAATAAAGAAAAGAACTGGCTAGTAAAAATGTACCACAAAATCCTCATAGACAGAAAAGGGTCAGAGTACTTTCTTTACATCCCCTTCTTTGCTCGTTGCAAATAAAATTCCCCTCTACCAAACTTAGTTAACTGGCATAATCAATACATCATCTAATGTGAAATCAAATCATAAAAATGAATCACAACTGAGTTGACAAGATCGATTTTTCACAAACTGTGATTTTGTTGTTGTGCATTACATGTATGATGTCTCAAAAAAGCAAAATAAATTTTATAGTCATATTAAATACCAATTAACAATCCAACATTGACATACAAAACATCCACACATCTCCAATTCAAATAGTAACGAGAATATTTTACGACACGAAACCTAAACTTGAAGCCGTAAAAAAATATTATTTCAAAAGAAAAAAACTGCCATCATACGGTTCAAACACATCATTATTGAAAGCTTTTAAGCAGATTTAGTGATATTAAATGTGCTTTTTATTACCACTTCAGTGCAGGAATCAATCTTATCTAAACCCCTTTCATGTTTATATAACCATAACGACAATTAATCTAATTAGGGCTCATTACATTAAACGAAAGTTTGGGGATACTTTTCGCTAGACCTAAAAAAAACATCCCAATTTTGTTTCATAGAGCTTGAATTTTACTATAATACTTCAAATGAAGATTCAATATTTCTACATCATTAGTAATAAACACCACTGCCATTACTTGATAAAATAACTTTGGTTGAACAATATCGTATTCCTCATAACTTTCATACATTTCAATTGTAGAATTTTTGTCAATTTATATCTGGCAAATGTACCGGGTACTAAAAAGATAAATTAGGTTTCACAAACATAACTTTAAAGGTAAAGATCAGTTCTGGTTATGCGATTGCAATGTGAAAGAAATGTTGTGGAATCGATCAGAAAAGGTTGATCATCTAGCATATAAGTATTGGTGGGTACTGCAAGGTTCTGGAATCATCAAAATTATAAATAATTTGGCCCAGTCTTGGTAAAGTTACAAAGCACTGTACACAGAAAGATGTATATGGGACTACGCAACACATGCACAATATCTATCAGGTCCAGATATATATAATAATTTACCAAATATATCAATTAGTAGGCGGTTTCCCGGCAAAATTTGTATCATTACGTGTTAGTCAAAACATATTCTTTCACATGATTGGTAATGAGAGCTTCCATTTCATTTTTTGTGAGGGGGCGTTTCCAAAACTGATCTTTACCTTTAATACAAACATTGAAAGTGAATGATCAATCATACATCCTGTCCTCAAGTACAAATAGCTCAGTCATGTCTAAGACAGATTTTAGTTGACACCATTTTCCAGTAATAACTTATTACACAAAAATAAGACTGACTCCACTATCTGGTACATTCATACAAGACAAAACTATTTTGGAAGTTTGTAGGACCTACCATCTTGTGGATGCAACACTGAATAAAGGGACATACATGTAGCTTTGGTCTTAGACATTGGATGACATTGACTCAGTGAGTCTCCCCTAAACAGTAGGTGCTAGTAGTAAGACTGATAAGGCTAAAGACTCAAGGATGTAGGGCTGATCAAAGGGACATACATGTAGCTTTGGTCTAGGACATTGGATGACATCAACTCAGTGGGTCTCTCTCTCTCTCAGACAGTAGGGTGTGCCTCTGGGAGTACGTAAGAGATGTCGTCCCATGGGTGGCGGTAGAGACCTTGCTTCAGTCGCTTCTGATCCAGATAATGACCTGTTATAAAAACAAACAAACAGAATGAGCGAATGAAACACTAGTGAGACCCACATATGTACGATCATGTTTGTCAGATTACAGTGAATAGACCAGTTCACGGTTAGCACATTACTGCAATGACCCCGAATATCCACAGATCTTCGAAACATGAAGAGGTCCCACTTTGTACATTTTGAAATAATCACTCCTACAGCGATGGAGGTGCTATATAAATATCCTTTGTTTCCCCTTTTCAAAGAATCCTTTTCGAAGAATACTTCCACCTGTGTGTCATGGAGTGCACTGAATGTGCATGAATGAATAATGTTACATAACTTTCATGAGCACGTATCCAGTATTTCGTCTCCGTGTATTTCAAAATTTGTTCTGCAATGACCTTTATCTGCTCATGCTCAGACTGCAACCGTGAACTGGCTTATTGTCACTGTTTAATCAAGTGTTAGTTGTCACCTGCGCCTGCGAGGAGGGGGGAGGGGGACAAACTTAAATCACTATTACCCTAGAAACTCTCCTTCCAGTATTAAAGAGTCTTTATTCTGTGTCCCCCAAACTATGACAAATCTTACAGGGAAAGATCATTTCCATATGTAACCAATGTTTTATAGAATAACTTGCCGGATTACCTAAGAAATATAGAAACAAACATAGAAAAAGTTCAGAAGCATTAAAGCATATTCATTGCAAAATCACAATTATGAACCAAGTGCATGATTCCCACTCCTTCTGTAATCAGGGATGCCCGCTAGAATTGATCAGAGGGCCTGAAAATCACCTAGAATGACCTAGTTTGTACACAAAATAGCCTAAACTATGGCCTGAAAATAACTTGCCAGGGTCAGAATTCAGGCAATTGCCTGAAAATTGGCATCCCTGTGTAATATGTCAGTAGTATATTTCAATTAAATATGAATTTGAATTGTATAACTCACCAATGAAGCCCATGCTACGTCCAAGGACAAAGAGACCATTCAGGACTCCTATCTCAACATACTCATTGGCTTCCTCACTGAAAAGAAAATAAAACAAAGCATATCATGATAATAATATAATAATATTGGGTTCTTGTATAGCGCTCAAATCTGTCAGACTTGACACTCCTGGCGCTCCTGATTATTACCCTGGCTTTAGCACGGCTGCCATTACGGCGCTCTAGCATTTCAAGGAATTAACTCCTGCCAGGCACCGATTAACATCACCTGGGTTGAGTGTGGCAAATGTAGATCAATGTCTTGCCAAAAAGACATTGGTGCCGCGGCGGGATTCGAACCGCGGACCTTGTGATCCACAGTCCGGTGACGTATCAATTCGACCAAGACACCTCTACATATGGGATATTGTGAACATTGATATAAGAGCTTCACTGTTTAGAGCATACCACATCCTACACATTCAAACTCACAATGTGTCCCATGCAACTGGGGAGTGTTTCCCAAAGACTAAGATTGGCTTTTATAAGTTGGACTTGAACTATGGCAGGGCCCACTGGTTTTCTCACCATTCCTGGCATTGGTCTCTCAAGGGACGTACAAATCGTGGTTACAAATCCACATTTGTTTTTTCAACATTGAACTATCAAAAAATGTAACTTCCCCCCCTCCACGATTTTTCTGATTGTTCAGGAACGCATATGGGTGGCACCCCGCCACTGGCTGACTTTTTTTTCTCTCGAGTCTTGCGCAAATTTTAAAAGAATTTTTTTTGAAAATCGGCCATATGATTACAAGGTCACGTGACCTTTTGTCTTTGCATGTCAGCCCGAAAATCGCTCATTTTCGTGATTTGTGTACAAAACCTATGGAAAAGTCATTTTTCCTAATAATAGATCAAACATGTGTTATTGGGTCTTGTTTAAAGTTTAGGTGGTTGTTTTGGGAGTCAAAATAGTTGAATTGTAGTTAAAATGAAATAAAACAACAAACACAATAAAATACATAAGTTAAAAAAACAATGAAATACATAAGAAATTATAAAAACAAGAGATAACATAATGAATAAGCTGGCTCTTCCAAAACTTTGTGTTGTATTATTGTTCCGAATGGTCTAATGAATATATGTAGTGAAAAAGAATGCTTAAATATGAATAATATATGATTTATGGTTAAAAATATGATTTTTATGACCTTATTTGCATAAATTACCATAATTATGCAATGAGTGAATTTTTCACAAATTGAAATTATCATAGTATTCTATACACTTCACTTGACATGTGTAAAAAATTTCGTGGAGATCGGCCGCTTCACGGCCGAGATCTTATTGAGGGGGGGGGGCACAATACCCCCCCCCCCCCCGGCCGTACTAAGACCTCAAGTAGCCCGGCCTTTTTAGGGTTAATAATCTTTGTGAAGCACTCCCCAGATATATCTTATTTTCACATATTTCATCCAAAAATGAAGAATCCCTCGATATGACCATTGAATTATGGTGCTTTCTTGTATCACTCCAATAGTCATATCCCAAGAGGTTTCATTGAATGGAAGTTAATTGAATTTATTTGTTTTCCACATTTCCATAAAAAATTACAAAACAATATTACTCGATATACATAATAATTCTCCAACACATTAATGACATAATGAAAATTATGGAGAACAAAAATAAACGAAAATGAAAGCAGAAATACATAATAACATCAGACTACATACAAATTAATGTCAATATGGGGGATTATGAAAAGTGATTGTACAAATATAACTGCAAGTATTATAATGAAATGTGGATCTTAACTGGATGGCATTCAGCCAGTATCGCTGTTGACATGAACATGTTCAGTCTACCGCAAAAATAGCATTTCCTCCCTCAATCTATCTAAAGTGTGACATGCTTATTTAGTATCACTGTCCAGGATGTTTCTGTCAAGGATGTAACCGCAAGTATGACCCCAAACAAAGCAGCTCGTACTACCATGTACCATGTTTCATTATATATTGCATGTAAACTTATACAACAGCAACTGAAACATATGATACCGATACAGTGTACACGTACACAATACTTGACCCAGTAGTAAAAGTGAAGGTAACTCACTCATAGCATCCCCTATTTCAATTATATACAAATAGTATTATATCCTGCATCAACAATGTATTGCTTTTTGATTGGTTGAGGCTTCTTCACATCACCAGCAATATTTCAACTATTTTAAGGTGGCTCTGACAAAAAAAGTATTTGAGAGTTGAAAAAAAAAAAATATATAATAATTTAATTATAATTTTTTTTTGGATACAGGATAAAAAATAAATATACCCTGTTTTCTTTTCAGGTACATGTACTGGTTAAAACTACGGGCAAGAGGTGACTCATTGAAGTCACCTCTTGCGCATAGTTTTAACCAGTACCTCCGAAGACAGTGTATATTCATATACTATACACTATTCATACCCTCAGGGAACGACATTTCTACGAGTCAATAATCCTATGATGTAGATTGAATTTGTTGATGATTTATGAAGAAAATAAGCAATTTATGGTAAATTAATTTCTTATCGGCCAAAATAAATACATTATAACGCTTGCCTAAAACAATGATCAGATCTACACTTACATACTGTCTTGATTTGTTAAATTATTTTTACATTCATCCATCCACCCATCCATTCATTCATTCATTCATTAAATCATTTATCTACTTGTTGTTGTTGTTGTTGTTGTTGTTTTGTTTTTTGGGGGAGGGGGGGAGGGACCTCATGACAAAATATCAAGTTTTAGGGATATTATTATTTCGATTTGCTAGTCGAACCAATTTCAATGTTGCTAATTTGCAGACTACACACACTGACTACTGTACCCCCAATGTTATTACTTACGCTGTGAATGCTCCGCAGTTCCTGAAGAGATCCACCATAGCCACACCGATCACACCGTCCACATTCAGGATCAGGTTGGGTTTCTAGACAAACAAAGAAAAAATAGCAAAACAACTTCAGGGAATAGTATAAGAGTAATAAGAGCGCTTAATACAGTTGTTGCCTAAGCGCACTATTGTCTGTCTACAAATTACCAACCAAAAATTAAATAAACAAACAAATTATAAATCTGTTCTTTATTCAATAAATCATGCAATAATAAAATCTTGTTTCAGTTGCTGTTATTGTTATTGGTAGTGGTTATACTGCTGTTGCTTTTGCTGTTGTTGGTAGTGGTTGTTTAGGAGGTGGCGGATGTGAGGTGCGGAGGGGGAGGGGTCAATAAATATCTAGAATGACAGATTTTCTTTGAAGACTCTGTATTAAATAATTATGTAACTCCATTTTAGCTCATTACAATAATGTTTCATGTAGTAGTCCTATATTCGTTTCCATATTTCTTAACAAACTCTCTTTTTACTAAATCCTAATTTGGTATCTATTTCTCATTTTCACTTATTTTTGTCTTGGTTCAATAACAACGACCCCCTGGATAACCAACCCCAAACCTACTGCCAGGCAGATATCTGCTGAGAAACAACTACAATGTATCACTGGATATTTATCTACCCCCCCCCCCCCCCGAACAAAATACATTACAATTATAAAATGCTCTTTCTTAAGATGGTTTGTCTATTTTACCTAAATTACATCACATCATTTTTCGTTGGATAGGACATAATTTCATTAATCCTATGTAGTGCACAGAATGGTACACAAATACAATTATTTTTAGATGTAATAAATATAGACTGTACTACTACACTGGGGAAAACCCAATACAGGAAACAGTATTGTCATAGTTCTTAAAAATCACTACCATCTCAAACCCCTTAGAGATGTCTCTTAACAGAAAAAGAAGAAGAAAAAAAAAACTGATACAAAGTGTAGATGTCAGAGTCTATATTTACAATGTGAAGAACAATGAAATAATGGAAACTTGCTATTAAGGAAAACACCTAAGTATTCATGAAAGCGTACGTGACAAACCACTCGCTATTAATTGTTTTTTTATAAGCCTCCATCAAGGGCATTTACTTTCACCATAGGCATAGTAAGGGTCCAGCAACTGAAGGGGTACTGGTATGGTAGAGAGGGGGAGAGGGGAGGGGGGCAATGGACTGACTAGGAGGATGACATTAAGGGGTGAGGGGGAGGGTGTGAGAGGGGACGCATCATCTTCTTTTGATTTCACATTGCCTCCCCCTACCTCCTTCCTTGCTTTCCACTCCCATTTCTCTCCTTTTTGATCTTTCGATGGGGAGGGGGAGGCATGCTCTCTTTTCACATTGCCTTCCCCCTCCCTCCCTTTCCTCTTCTCCCCCCCCCCCCCTTTCTCTCCTTTTTGATCTTTCGATGGGGAGGGGGAAGCATGCTCTCTTTTCACATTGCCTCCCCCTCCCTCCCTTTCCTCTTCTCTCCCCCCCCCCCCTTCTCTCCTTTTTGATCTTTCGATGGGGAGGGGGAGGCATGCTCTCTTTTCACATTGCCTTCCCCCTCCCTCCCTTTCCTCTTCTCCCCCCCCCCCCTTCTCTCCTTTTTGATCTTTCGATGGGGAGGGGGAAGCATGCTCTCTTTTCACATTGCCTTCCCCCTCCCTCCCATTCCTCTTCTCCCCCCCCCCCCTTTCTCTCCTTTTTGATCTTTCGATGGGGAGGGGGAGGCATGCTCTCTTTTCAAATTGCCTCCCCCTCCCTCCCTTTCCTCTTCTCCCCCCCCCCCCCCCCCTTCTCTCCTTTTTGATCTTTCGATGGGGAGGGGGAGGCATGCTCTCTTTTCACATTGCCTTCCCCCTCCCTCCCTTTCCTCTTCTCCCCCGCCCCACCCACCCCCCCCCCTTTTCTCTTCTTTTTGATCTTTCAATGAGGAGGGGGAAGCGTGCTCTTCTGGGAATTCATCCCACAGCTTAACTCAGGTATGAATCGAGAGCTACATAACTACCACTTAAAGAGAAGGTTGAGTTCTTGGAGGAGGTGAAAAATAATTTGTGAGCGTTATCCTTGTATTATGCAAGTGTGGAAGAACATAAGAGAAAAAAGTTCCCTGAAAAGCATGGCTCCTCAAATGCCTTAATATTCTAAATATGGCATGTTACATCATAAAAATCGGGACAGATTTTTATGCCACATGTTTGTGTAGTCCCATACACATCTTTCTATGTACAGTGCTTGTAACTTAACCAAGACTGGACCAGATTTCTTATCATTTTGATGATTCCAGAACCATGCAGTACACACCAATACTTATATGCTAGATGATTAACCTTTTCTGATCGATTCCACGACGTTTCTTTCACAATGCCATCGCATGACCAGAACTCAACTTTATCTTTAACACTTAAGATCTCTCTCTCTACTGTCAGGTTAACTAAACATGGTTAATCACTTAATAATAGCTCCTTGGAATTCATCTGAAAGAGATATTCCAACTAAAATCAAGCTACAATGAAATGAGCAAGAATTATTCCGGATGAGGCCGGAAATTCCTTCTTGCTCAAGTATTACTTGTTTGTTTATTAGGTTTGCTTTTTTTTTCATTTTGAAATAGTCTAATTCAGAACAACTTAAACACAATGCAATATGATACAAATATATGCTATTTTTTCCATCATCATCATTTTTTAAATTCCACTTTCACACTACGATGACACTACCACCCTCCACTTTACCTTGTCTCAGGTATCCTCCTCATTTAGATAACCTGATTACTTTCTTTCTTCACAATATCTTCCTGTGAAATCCTTGATCCTCCTTTCCCTCTTATATCATCCACTTCCAGGTCCCACGCTCTTTTCAGAATTCAATCAGCTCCCTTTCTCATCATATGACCCATCCATCTAAATCCAGTTCTCTTTACCACTTCGCCCACAGTTTCTGCCAGACTCAACCTTTTCATGAGCTCACTTGAATCCTTTCTATCGGACAGTTTCACACCACACATCTCCTATATCACAACTCTTTCTGTCCGCCTCAAGATACCTTCTTCTACTGTCTTCACATTCCAACTTTCTACACAATATATTGATTGATTGATTGCCAATTTGCTAACCTTAGCTGTAGTGATCTTCTCCACCTCCAGAGCGTAGTTAAGAAGCGGACAGACTGGGAAGTTCTTCGTTACGTAGTCCCTCAATATCTCTACCCTCTGGTCAGGGTTGTTCAGCTGGAGGAAGAAGAAAAGGACAGACAAAAAAAAAATAGTTATATAAGGTCTATAAAAAAAGATTTATTGCCTTTTGCGACCGACCCAAAAATCTTGAAATCTACGGTCGGCTTTTAGAAAAAATATTTATTAAAGCATTCAAAACTATAAAATATCAGCCCAAAGAGGGAATAAAAGAAAAAAAGAAAAGATTTCTGACCGACCGACCCATCTTTTGGCACCTAAAGGGCAATACAACATCTTTTATTTTTAGGCCTAAGGGGCCTGGCCGTAATACTCCTAGGGAGCGGGGCATGTGCACTTGCATGTGTGGAGTTGAAATTGAATCCAACGACCGCAATGATAATAAGAACAATGTAAAGCGCTTAGAAATGTATTTTTAAGCGCTATACAAATGTGAATATCATTATTAATTTACAATCTTTTGTTTTACATCATGATCACGATGAAAAATGTAGCATGACAGTCTGTTATTGTATTAAAGCTAAAATTGAGCTCTGGTATGGGCAATCGTATTTTGAGAGAAAATTGCTATGATTTATTCTGGATTGTTTATCCTGCAGTAAATTATTTGTTTGAACCAGTGATATAAAAACAAACGCACAAAAGCTTACTTGGCATCATCTTCAATAAAAACCACAACTCGCATTTGAACATAGTGACCTGTGTTAAGTACATGGTGTCAGGCCTACTTAACCGGATTTCCGTATCTTTATATGCTCATTACTCAGCCACAATACATTTTCTACCAAAATCATTTGGCACATGTCACTTATTTGTAAGTGTAAGTTTCATTGGATTTTGTGAGAAATTATTTTCTATATTTACCAGAACTCAAGTTTATCTTTAAGACATTGTATTCAACTTTTGTCTTTAACAATGGCAATTCATGCCATACACCATAAAAAATTCCCACTAATTGTTACTTTGAGTGGTTAAGGGTCGTTTCAAGTGTAATGAAGCCTACTGCACTTCACATTTATATAGGTTATATTTCATATCATATAACACACAGATAAGTGAGAATGCCTAGGACCTTTGTTACGTGCTGTTATTTCTAATCCCGCATGCCAATTATCTAAAGCCCCTCTAAAGTTTGGTTTTCTGTGAACAACAAAAAACCAAAATTATATATTCTTTTATCAATATTTGTCTTCAAACATATTTGGGGGGGGGGGAATCTTTGCAGAAGCATGTCTTAAATGACATCCTCTTTCACATTATGATACAATCTAAGTGGAATTTTGCAAATCTTTGGTGAATTTGGGGCTCCCAGCACTTCATTTCATTTCATTTTTATTTTTTCATTTCCAACAAAATACAATACATAATAACGAATACAATGTAAAATGTATACAAAAAATAGATACATTTGTAATAAACAAATCTTAATAATAATTCAACATTTTAGTAAGACAAAAAATGAATTTTAAAATTTAACTGCATTTACATTTTGAGGAAATGGAGAGGTCCACTGAAAAGCAAAGCTTGTAAATTGTGGACCCCTCAGATAAAAATGAGTGTGAACAAAATATTGAATACATAATCAATGAAAGAAGAATAGTGGCCAACAGAGATCATTTATTAAAACACGTAATGATTGTAAACAAGAAGACGTAACAAATTACATGACGAAGAATGAACAGAAATAAGAAGAAGGAAAAAAAAAAGGGATAAAATGTGGGCTGCGTTTGGAGGGAAGGAGAGGAGCACTTTAGAGGGGCTTTAGGACCCTTTCATGACAATCATTCCACATGTTGTGGTTTGGTTCAATAACTTTGGATTCAGAGCACTCACAAAATATGCCAGATGCCTGAGTAGAAAAGGCAAAAGTTTCAGCACACACTGTATCCATCTTTGTTTCTCGACTATATTGGTTTGATGGCAGGAATTAACAAACAAAAAATACTAAGCTTTAAAAACATTAAAATTGGCAATATGATGAGAGATCCAAAATCCTTGTTTGTGATCAAAATTGGCAATTTGCTCAACTTTTTTTACAAGCGCAAATGATTCTGCGCACACTGCTTTGTATTTTTTTCTTCAGAGATGTAACATTTTATTTTGACTATGTAGCTGCGGTAAAAGAATTATTTTGCAAATTTAAAGAACAAAGATGTGATCAAATTAGCCTAAAAATAAATCCTGTACTGAAAGGGTTGAAAAAAAAACACACACAAAAAAAAGACACTGGTTTACTGTAGCATACACGCATGTGAAGGAGGCTGGCTATAAGGGTAAAGGAAGCTGCCGACTGCTCAAGAAGAAGAAAAAATATATATATATATATATATATACACACATATTATGTGAGTGCATATATACGTAAATTTGAATTAAAAACAAATTCTTTATAGTATTCGGCATTAATGGTCATAAACTGACTGACTTGCCTAATTAAACAACAACAACAACTCACCGATTTGACCCGATGTCCGATTCCCATGATGAGTTTGTGGTCGGTACGCATCTTGTTGACGAACTCCATTGGAATGAGATTGGTATCGTATGCCTCACTGAACTGCTTGGCTGCAGCATCCAATGCACCTCCAAAACGATCTCCCTACAATCAATCAAAAAAAGAAGTTTGATAAAGCGCCTTTTCCTTGCGATTACAAAGCGCAGCACACACCGCGCCACGATGTTTGGGCCACTTATAAACACAAGTTAGTCACCTCTCAGAGATCAGTTAAGTATATGTAGCCTGGTAATAAAGTAATTTTTAGCAGAATAGATGTGGTTTAGTAATTTCTTGAAGTGGTCAACAGATGAGGCCATCTGCACAGCAGTAGGTAGCTGGTTCTACAAATAACAATTCATTATTGCAGGGATGAGACAGAGAAATTCCCAATAGGAGGAAGATTGAATGGGGTCCAGGGGAAACACCCCTGGCAGAGGTTACGAGGGTAAAAGGGGCCGTACAACAAAAATTTGAATATATATTTACGTAAAAGGACACGTTTTCCATGCATTAAAATTCTAAATTTGATAATTATTTGTTACCCCATCCTGCTTAAAGGAACTTTATAACATTGTTCAGATGAGAGTACTTGTTATTGAACCTTAATGCTCCGAATCACTTTTCATCTTCCAGATGGTTATATCAAGTCCATACAATCAATTTTAAAAAAAAATGTCTTTAAACTTGTTATAGATCTGCCGATGAAGTGGGAGAACGCTGAGACAACAAAATTTGATGAGGTATAGTTGTCGGCATGAATTCTAAACTTAATACATGTATCCGCAGATTACTTAGCAATTCTCTTCAGTATATACATCACTTACGATTGTAAGTAGACCTGATGTGAGTGATGAGACAAGATCCTTGCCTGCCCTAGCAGTGACGATGGTATTATGAGCTCCTGATACAGCAGGACCATGATCAGCTGTTACGATCAAACACATCTCAATGAACTTGGTTGCGTAGGGTGGTAATCTGGTTCAGACAAACAAAAAAAATCTCTCTCAATTAAAAAAATAGAAAATCACCAACCTAAGCAGAAAACACGCAACACAAATTAAGCGTACCTTGCCTAGCACACGTCTAATATTGGACCTCTGACTCTGTCACGTTTATTTTGCGCTAATTTTAGACCATGGGTTATGTAATTGAAGATTTAAACGTTGGGTTGAAATTAAACCTCCTTTGTGAATTCGGGACAAAGAGTTTACATTAAGAATTCCTCAATGATAGAGATCGTCTTTGCCATGGCAATAAGACTTTAACTAGAATGATCATCTCTGAATTCAGAACCATGAAACAATTAACAAGTTACTAAACACAGCATGAACATAATAATGTTTTTATTTTATCAATATAGCGCTTAATACACAGTGCTTCAACGATGTCTCTAAGTGCTTTACAGATATATTATTACCCTGGTCATCTCCACTCCCTGGGGAGTATTCCAGCCAGGCACCATTTTACAGACACTCACAATGCTGAGGATGCTACATTAACATTTAGCACCTGGGCGGAGGGTGGCAAATATACAAATAAAACACATCATTGAGGGCATTAGTAAGAATTACCCACACGAGGTAAGGTACCAAGTGTCGGTAATTTTACTAATGCCAAAACAAAATGATGTGTATTATTTGTTTTATAAGATTATGTTTCATTTGTTTTATAAAATGATGTTTTCTAACATGATTTTGGGTCATTACCCCAATTACGCGCAATTACGCGTTAGGCAAAATAAATGCCTGGTCACATGTACGCTTTCAACAAATCATTTGATTAGGATCCACGTCATCATCTAAAAACGACCGACGTACAACGATCACTCTCTGTATATCACACTCACCTTCTCTGGAACCATAGAAGTGAAAGCACACCACCCATACCAATGTTTTGCTCAAAGATCTCGGTGATAGGCATCCCAGCGTAGATCAGCTCTGTTCCTCTCTCGTCTACGATGCTAGTCATGAAGGACGCAGGTTTACGGATCAAACCAAGCTCCTTAAGATCAAAAATAAAATATGAAGATGTCAAGGGGAGTGTTTCACAAAGACTATGATCGACTTTAAGTAGGACTTAACTATGGCAGGCTGTTCATGCCACTGTTTGCTCTCATTATTCCTGGCATTGGTCTCTCCAGGGGCGTAAACTTAAGTTTACAATGTATGTCGTTACTTAAGTCCAACTTAAAGTAGAGCTTAGTCTTTATGAAACACCCCCTAGGTATTAGATGCTCATCATTACTAACATATATATATATATATATATAACAAATCATGATTATAACATATGGGTATTGGAATGAATGGGTGAATGTGGGTGTATGTTTTGACTTTATTGCTATTGCCTGTTCATTAATTTCATTCAAATTTCATTTACATTCAATTATTTCTTTATATTATTTTGTACAGGGCACCACCTCAGAAGCTATGTAATCTAAGGGGTTCCCTCGAAAGAATATTTTGCATGTATTCATTATGTTACTACCTGTATTATGTTTTGAAGCCTATCTGCACTAGTTTCAGCGAGGAGGGATTAGAGTTCCCTGCATAGTCATTGACAGGTGGTTATCTCATCAAATCAGCTCTCAGTTAATATAAGAAAAAAATGACGGGGGACCAATGGGTACTGCTTAGGCATTGTTTGCTTTATAGAGGGCGCAAATAGCTACAAGTAGTGCAGTCCTGCTTTAATGGAAAAATAAATTGGAATTAAAAAGATGTACTTACCCTAGCCCAGTTGTAATCCATAGGGACGGTTGGTGGTGGTTGTTCCTCCTTAGGTGTGATAACACCTTGAGATACAAGACCTTGGAAGATCTCCCTGCATTGGTCATATGGAAGAACAAAAGGAGGCTTAATGATACACTCAAACCTGTCTATACCTACCACACAAGGGAAACACAAATAGTGGCCATTGTAGACAGGTTTGCGGTCATTGTGTGGGCATTTTTGGTGGCCAGCGGAATAGAACAGGTTCTTAACTACATGAAATTTCACGGGGATTTTAAGTGGTCGTTACAGACAGATGGTCGTTAACACAGGTTTGACTGTATAACATTATAAAATGATGATAGCTAAATCAATCAAACAAACAAGACCCTCGTAGTTGTCCCTGCGGTGGTGATAAGGAAATAATAAAGCATGCATAATGATACACCAGGACCACTGAAAATACTGAAAAGAATAGACACACTGTCTTCTGACACTGGCATTTACCAATGCATTCAAATAATTTTCTTCTGACAAGGTAGTTATTAAACTCTCAAGGAAAACACTTAATAGACATTTATGAATACAATACTTGGTGTTTGACTGCTTTCCTCTAGAAGATGCCAAGAAGGTATTTAAACTGGAGTTGTGTGTGTCAGTGGAAGGGTTACTATCTTTAATAATATAACAATATTACTATAATTTATTATCATAATTATCTTTACGGGATGTTTTGAACAGTACATTGTTCCTGCTCTACCCACAGGGCAGCTAACCAATAAGCTCTTCTTCTCTATTTCTCTTCATCTTCTGCATCATATTTATTAATTTTCTCCTTGATTGTAACATTTTATACAAATACTGTCCTTACGCAATCTTGTCTCCAAGGTCATCAAAGCTGCCTGGTACATACGCTCCAGCGACCCTGAGAGCTTGGTTCTTAGCACTGGACGTCTCCCTCTCACCATTGGCACAGGCTCCAGCATGACCAAACTGAACCTGTATCGGATTCAAAAAAATATAAAGAAACTTGCGTCAGTAATTATCTAGAAAAAAGGACCACCTGTTGATGTATTTCCTATGTACATGTACAATACATCTTGACATATACAGTGCGTCCCAGAAAAAAGAAACCGAGAATTATCAATTTTTATCAGAACTTAATCACGAATATTATTAATAAATGACACATATTTGTAAAGCTTAGATTCTCCTCTTTCATTTGATGCAACTCATATGATACATATTTCACGCATGAGTGATTAAAAACAATTTTTAAAAAGGGTACCAAAAAGTCATTTGGCGAACAGTGTCTGAATTTCAAAGAGAAAATCACATTTCTAGAAAGTTCATTTTCTGCCCTTTCATATGACACCTCAATCGGGGAAAATGAGCCAAGAACAACAAAGTTCTGTTTGTTTAAAGTAATGCTTGCATTTCCATAATTTTATTAAACGAATCGGTTTCACTGGCTGTCTGCCCTAGCAACAAAGAAGACGAAAGACTTCATGCATGGCTGAGCGTTAACAAAACAGAGTTTGTTGTTTGTTGCTACGACAGGCAGCCAGTGAAAACGAATTCATTTAATAAAATTATGGAAATGCAAGCATTACTCTAAACAAACAGATCTTTGTTATTCCTGGCTCATTTTTCCACAAATCAAGTACACTAAGAGTGGATTTACCATTGTAATAAATCTCAGAATGAGTGACTTACCTCTGAAGTGAACATAGTTGAGCATGTACCGATACACCAAGCTACCATGGGCTTTGTGATGCGTCCTGACTCAATGGCTGAACATACTTCATACTCCTCAGTACCACCAACCTATAGGGTATAAAGAAATACATATATTGGAGAGTTTTAGATTGTATTTCACATTTTCTTTTCGAAAATATTCCATCCCAGCACAATAACAATTTTAAGATATTTGAAATGTTAGGGTAACTTGCAGGTAATCAACTGTTGTTAAAGCCCTACTGCACTACTAATAACTACTTGCGCCCTCCAGATAGCAAACAATGGCTTATCGGTGCCTGTTGGTCCCCCATGATCCTCTTTTTCTTATGTTAATTGAGAGCTGATTTGATGAGATAACCACCTGTCAGTGACCTTACAGGGAGGTCTAATCCCCCCTAGCTATAAAACTAGTGCAGACGGCATTAAAACCCCTCTCAAGTTTTGTTTTTAATTGGACTTAAGGGCCTTGCATGTTAAATCAAATTCAAAACATATTTCAGTTCATCCCTATCTGCATCTCTTTCCAGTGCAGAACATAAACATACATGTAGATCCATTTCCTAGGAAGGAATGAATTCTAGAAGGTAACTGACCTCTCCCAACATGACCAGCATCTTAACCTCTGGGTCGTCATGGTAACGAAGGATGTGATCAAGGAAGGTTGTTCCTGGGTATCTGCAGTCAAAGGATTAACAGGAAAAAGAGTGTTTAATGACATCTTTCCACAATGAAGATTATTAAGCTATATAAAGTTCTTCCACAAGGAAAGCATTTGACCTGCAACAAAAAAACTTAAGCAACTGAAAATATTAAATTGTCTTCAGGTTATACATTACATCCCTCAATATCTATGTATTTTCTGAATAACATTCAACAAATCAAATGAATATTATGCTGTTTCTCCTCACAGTATTTTGTTTAATTTGCTTGGCACTTTTTAATAGATATACGATGCAAAGCACAGGGATGTGAGTGCAGCAAACTAAAAAAAGAGGAGATTTGCAAAGCGTAGCGAGCAGACTCATACCCAATGGCTGGGGGTCCAGGAACAAAGCCCCTAATGGGGGTCGAGGGGGCAAAGCCCCCCGAAACCAGAGGTTTTTGCATTTTAAAATGTAGAGAAAACACTATTTCATAGGGGTAAGATTATAATTTTACAATGTTTTAAACATTTAATTTTCCATATTATTTACAATATACATAATAGAGTACATAGAGCATCATTTACTAAATTTCTTCACCATTCCATATGATACCAAATCCAGAAACATCTTCTATTATGGTCTACAATAAAAAATGATTAACGTACCTAAAGTTAAGTATTTGATGCTCTAAGTATTTCTCATTTGCTAGTTCTTTACTCCAGTCATTTTTTTTTCAGTACTTTTTTGCTACTAGAAGGTAGTTCATGCATTTCAGATTTCCTTTTCTCCACTTTCTTCATCAGTTTATGTGTGTGCTCCACCCGTGCCTTGTCAGCATCTTCAATTGCTTTCTCCTTAGTTTGTTTCTTTGAAGGACAAGCAGACTTTCTGGGTACAGTTTGTGACATTCCAGACTTGTGTTCCTTTTCCTGTACATATGACTTGTATGCTGATCTCATATTCTTGCAGAGTTTGGGATTTACCTGATCTTTCAGGTAATTTTTTCTTCTGAAATATCTGATTCCTGATTTTCCACTTGCTGTTAACTCATACTTCACTGTTTGTATGGATGAAAATGTTTCAATGTGCAAGTTGGGCCTTTCAGTGTTTAGAACATTCCCCATTATACTGAAAGATGACTCCACCTGTGGTCCATGAAAGCAACTAACCAGTGCCAGTGCCACTCTTGTCATAACTGGATATTTCTCTCGTAATGAACTCCAGAATATGTCTATTCTCTCTTCTGTATTAACAATTTCTTTGTCTGTATTATACTGCCTTGCTTCCTTCTCATATTCATGAGTTTGCACATCTTTCAGAGCAAATGCCACTAATTGTGGTAGCTGGAGTAAGCGCTGGAGTGTGATTGTGTGGCCTCTACATGCTGGATCAATAGCTGAAGCACACCTCAGCAGTTTGTTGTTCACTGGCATCTTTCTCTGTAAGGTTTGACCACATTTCAGATATGCAGTCTTTAGCTTGTTCACTAGTTCACTTGCAGCAGGTCCCTGTAAATTCTCCTTGATGTACCTGACGAGGAACACCGCATTGTCAGGTAGTATGTTCTCCTCACTCACATTTACTTTATGCAAGGCTTGTGTGTTCAAGATTTCAGGTTTAATGAAACATACAAGAAAGTCCTTCAGTAAATCCTGCTGTTTGTCATTGAGTTTGTGGACAAGTGGTGTCACAGACTGAAAATACAGGACATACTTCTTGAGCATAGGAAGAATGGAGGTGTAAATGTGGAGAAGTACTTTGGTTTTACTCGGGGTATGGAACAGCTTCTTCACAATCCTCTTCTTACGGTCTTTTCCAGCCTGGGTCATTGTTTTTGTCTTATTTGACATTTTAGACTGATGTTTACAGATTTCCTTCTTTACTGATTCACTGATTGAATGTTTTTGATACATGCTATCAACAACTGGGAGATAAGTTGAACTGTCTGATCCAGACAAAAAGGGATAGTAAAAAAGTATCAGAGCATCTAGCAATCGAGATGTATCTACACAAACATCGTATACAGAAAGCCACCTATGGGGCACATATCGCTCTGGAATTGTTGCTTTGATGCCCAGTGCATCACAGATGAAACGCAAGACCTCTTTTTGGTCACTGGACCACTTGAAATCAGTATAGATGTCATTGAGAAGTCCCTCGATGTAGTTATCAAATCCATGGCAGAAGGCTTTTGCAGCATTATGTGCGTGGTGGCATGAGTCTCCATCTATGTCAAGCAACTGAGGAGCTTTCTTACTTCTAATGCGTGTTTCAAGTCCACTTTTTGAACCGCGCATGACGGCACAAGAGTCCATCAAAATAGAAACCAAGTTCTCCCATTTAAGGGAATACTTATCAAATAGAGCTACTAAATGATTGTACAGAGTCTCGCTGTTTACGGTCACTACTTTAAAAGATGACAGATGTTTTGTGACTACTTTGTTCTCCTTCTCTGAAAAATAACTGACTAGGACAGTTACAACGCGTTGATTTGTCTCACTTGTGCATTCATCAATATTCAGTGAGAAGTGAGAGGATTTCAAATCCTCAATGAGTTCTTCATGAAATGTTTTTGATAATCCATGGGTCATCTTATACGAAGCTGTAGTTCTGTCCATTGATAAATTTTCGAGCACTTGTTTATCTTTGGCAAGTTCTTGGTTAAGATGAATAAGATCATTCACGATTGAAAATGGCAGGGAATGTTCAGCTGTAAACGCAAGTATGGTTGCTTCTGCATATGCCTGTCTGTCGGGCAATGACACATTTGGCTCAGAGAGTCCACCTTTCAACTGTTGTTCATGCTTATCCAATTGTTTTTTGAACATGGGGTGAATTCCATATGTTGATGTAGTAGTCATTGGTTGTTTTTGACCTACAAGACAAACAAAAAAAAAATATATAAATAAATGAATAAATACAAAAAAGGCAAACTCATGAACAAGGTTACATTCATATACATGCACCTGCCCAAGTATCACTGTACTCACCCCAAATTCTTTGAAAATAAGTATGTTCTGTACGAAATAATGCATGACAATATATGCCAACATTTATATGTAGAAATGAACAAATCAAATTCCTGCCCACACACACACACACACACCCATCACATGAAAATTTGGGCAGCATAACACCCCCCTAGGCACTGGCCAGCAAAATCACTGATGCCATTCAAATGACATGATTTGACACATGTAACTTGAATGTACCAGTCTTATTAATAAAACTTTCCAGTATAATTATAAAAATGCATAGGCCTACAGCACAAACAAACAACAACAAAAAACACACACACACACAAGAAAACAATTTGATCAGTTAAAGGATTTTGAGGGGTCCGCGATTCTAATTTCTAAAATACAATTGTAAACTCACCTGGAAGTAAAGTATTTGCTGCTCTCAGTTTCAAAACTTTTTGGTGTGCAACAGAGTCCAAATGATCAGTCAATGAAACTCGTCCACGAGAACCATATTTGCACTCCTTATCACACACTACGCACACGGCGTAGCCAGCTTTTTTTACAAGACGGAAAGAGTGAGAAAGTTTTTGATCTTTGTGCGTGAAGTCCATCCAAGACCATTTCCATGGATTTTTAACCAGTGGATCCCGCTTATCTTCCTCCAATGATTCCGAGTCCAATTTCGTTCCTCGCTCAATAAAATTCCGATCTCGAGTTGCCATGTTGTCTCATATTTCACAGATTTTCTTTGAAAGTAATACATATTTCCAAAAGAGAACGCCGATTCTGATTGAAATATCGTAACAAAAATCAATAGCACACTGCACGAAGACATGTGAATCAATGCAAACACCGTACCGTAGATAGTATAGCGATCGAAATGCACGGTACGCCCGGCGCACGCGGCGCGCTGAGCTAGCAATACTCGATGCAGGCGCTGTACTATCTTTGAAGCAGGCGCGCGCGCGCGCTTTTGCTTTTGTATTAGTCTCGCATTCGCAGACCCTTAAAGTAATAAGTTGTCTTGGGGCAAAACGCGGATTTTTTCAATGGAGAAAATAAAAACGCGACGGGGCGATCTAAAAACGCGGAAATTCGCGGAAACGCGGAACTCTCACATCCCTGAAAGCAGTTAGAGTGGGTTGCATACTTGACCTATAACACCCCTGATTTGTATTTAAAGGTAATACATGTATGTAGCTTTGCCTCTGATTCTAAACAAAATCCTGGAGTTAGCTCATGTTGCAATCATAAATATAAAAACAAATCCCTTGACTTTTAAAAGCCAATCACATGTTTGATTATCAAAAAATTTAAAATGTCAAAAAACTGTTTCCAAACGTTTTTTTATAAGATTTTTACTTTTCAGAAGCACTTCATGATCATTTTGAAGCGCAATTTTTCTAGGGCTTCAATATTACACCATATCACAGTCACTGAGAACACGTAGGGCCATGCATTTCAGATTTATAAAACTGGAAACATTCTTAAACAATGCCATGAAACGTGTACATGAAACATCTTTATCATTAATAACGCTGGTTATACAGTGAGCTTGCAGTTGCACCATGTGAGAGAGGAGGAGGATTGGGGAGTCCTGAAAAGGACTCTTTGTAATCTTTCTTTCTTGAGAGTGTTTATAGCGCCGGTTGGAGAGGATGGGTGGTAGGAGTGGCTCAACATTTCTAACAGGTTGACTATCCGTTGTCGGGAGTGAGATATTAAACCTCTCTCACATAGTGCAACCGCAAGCCTACTGTATATCTACATCACCATGCAAGCCGAAGCAGCATCTAAGCATGAAGTTGTTTCCTAACCTGTCTCCTCCAATGGCAACACCTTCATAGACACCATCCGCATTCCTGGAGATGATGTTGTTGAGCTCATTGGACATTCCTCCTGATCTAGAAACGTAGGACACACTGCCTGGACGGTAGAGCTTGGAGGAGAGGATGTTATCCAACATTCCACCGGTGTTACCAATCTTGAAGCAACCAGGCTTGATGCCTCCAACCTAGGATAGACAAAGACGTATTAACATGTTAATACAGATAGACTGAAGATAGGACCCAAAGGCATAGAGACAAGATACAACTGTTAGATGAAAGCAACACTGCCTGGACGGTAGAGCTTGGAGGAGAGGATGTTATCCAACATCCCACCGGTGTTACCAATCTTGAAGCAACCAGACTTGATGCCTCCAACCTAGGATAATCACAAAACAATTTATCATAAAATAATGCATATAAGCTTGTAGACCGAAGATAAGATACCCGGTAGTGAGATATAAAGAGATATTAAAACCTTTAACATTCATCTGAAGAGATTATCTCATATCAGGTCAAATATTTTCTGGTAGGTTTGATATTCAACATACAGTTCCTCTTTCAAGACTGGGTTGATATCTCTACAAACCATGGCAAAATTCCTTATCATTATTTGAGGTGATTACACTAAATTAAAGAGGACTTCCTAGTTTCTGTCATTCTGTTCTTTCAAATATTTTGATAATTTAAACACTTTAAAATGGTTAATGAAAATATGTTACTATATTATATCTATTTTACTGTGATTACTAACACACTTTTCAATGATTTATGAAAATAATGTTCATTTTTATTATATTTATTCTTGGGAGCCTACAAAAAACAAGCTATGCTTTCCAGTAGGTTCCTGTTTCATTTCATAATTTTGAAGTTACTTTGTCAACTATGTTCTTTATTGTGCAAAGAATTGAAATGAAATGGAAAAAATTTGAATCAATCAATCAATTAATCTGAATTAGAGAGAAGGTGTTGATCTTACCGTAGCAGGTCCGATGATAGTGACGCTCTTCTTGTTGGCCATGTCTATGAGGATACGAGTCTTGTTCTCAGGGATACCCTCAGCAATGATAGCTATGGTTTTGATCTATACATGAGATGAAAACACACATTACTTGTCAACGGACTGTGCATCACATAGTCTGCGGTTTGAGTCCCACTACTATACTACTACTACTTATACTGTTACTGCTTGTATTATTACTACTGCTGCTGCTGCTACTACTACTACTACTACTACAACTTATACTGTTACAATTATGACTACTGCTACTACTTCTTTTATAGCTGCTGCTGCTGCTGCTGCTGCTGCTGCTGCTGCTGCTGCTGCTGCTGCTGCTGCTGCTGCTGCTGCTGCTGCTGCTGCTGCTGCTGCTGCTGCTGCTGCTGCTGCTGCTGCTGCTGCTGCTGCTGCTGCTGCTGCTGCTGCTGCTGCTGCTGCTGCTGCTGCTGCTGCTGCTGCTGCTGCTGCTGCTGCTGCTGCTGCTGCTGCTGCTGCTGCTGCTGCTGCTGCTGCTGCTGCTGCTGCTGCTGCTGCTGCTGCTGCTGCTGCTGCTGCTGCTGCTGCTGCTGCTGCTGCTGCTGCTGCTGCTGCTGCTGCTGCTGCTGCTGCTGCTGCTGCTGCTGCTGCTGCTGCTGCTGCTGCTGCTGCTGCTGCTGCTGCTGCTGCTGCTGCTGCTGCTGCTGCTGCTGCTGCTGCTGCTGCTGCTGCTGCTGCTGCTGCTGCTGCTGCTGCTGCTGCTGCTGCTGCTGCTGCTGCTGCTGCTGCTGCTGCTGCTGCTGCTGCTGCTGCTGCTGCTGCTGCTGCTGCTGCTGCTGCTGCTGCTGCTGCTGCTGCTGCTGCTGCTGCTGCTGCTGCTGCTGCTGCTGCTGCTGCTGCTGCTGCTGCTGCTGCTGCTGCTGCTGCTGCTGCTGCTGCTGCTGCTGCTGCTGCTGCTGCTGCTGCTGCTGCTGCTGCTGCTGCTGCTGCTGCTGCTGCTGCTGCTGCTGCTGCTGCTGCTGCTGCTGCTGCTGCTGCTGCTGCTGCTGCTGCTGCTGCTGCTGCTGCTGCTGCTGCTGCTGCTGCTGCTGCTGCTGCTGCTGCTGCTGCTGCTGCTGCTGCTGCTGCTGCTGCTGCTGCTGCTGCTGCTGCTGCTGCTGCTGCTGCTGCTGCTGCTGCTGCTGCTGCTGCTGCTGCTGCTGCTGCTGCTGCTGCTGCTGCTGCTGCTGCTGCTGCTGCTGCTGCTGCTGCTGCTGCTGCTGCTGCTGCTGCTGCTGCTGCTGCTGCTGCTGCTGCTGCTGCTGCTGCTGCTGCTGCTGCTGCTGCTGCTGCTGCTGCTGCTGCTGCTGCTGCTGCTGCTGCTGCTGCTGCTGCTGCTGCTGCTGCTGCTGCTGCTGCTGCTGCTGCTGCTGCTGCTGCTGCTGCTGCTGCTGCTGCTGCTGCTGCTGCTGCTGCTGCTGCTGCTGCTGCTGCTGCTGCTGCTGCTGCTGCTGCTGCTGCTGCTGCTGCTGCTGCTGCTGCTGCTGCTGCTGCTGCTGCTGCTGCTGCTGCTGCTGCTGCTGCTGCTGCTGCTGCTGCTGCTGCTGCTGCTGCTGCTGCTGCTGCTGCTGCTGCTGCTGCTGCTGCTGCTGCTGCTGCTGCTGCTGCTGCTGCTGCTGCTGCTGCTGCTGCTGCTGCTGCTGCTGCTGCTGCTGCTGCTGCTGCTGCTGCTGCTGCTGCTGCTGCTGCTGCTGCTGCTGCTGCTGCTGCTGCTGCTGCTGCTGCTGCTGCTGCTGCTGCTGCTGCTGCTGCTGCTGCTGCTGCTGCTGCTGCTGCTGCTGCTGCTGCTGCTGCTGCTGCTGCTGCTGCTGCTGCTGCTGCTGCTGCTGCTGCTGCTGCTGCTGCTGCTGCTGCTGCTGCTGCTGCTGCTGCTGCTGCTGCTGCTGCTGCTGCTGCTGCTGCTGCTGCTGCTGCTGCTGCTGCTGCTGCTGCTGCTGCTGCTGCTGCTGCTGCTGCTGCTGCTGCTGCTGCTGCTGCTGCTGCTGCTGCTGCTGCTGCTGCTGCTGCTGCTGCTGCTGCTGCTGCTGCTGCTGCTGCTGCTGCTGCTGCTGCTGCTGCTGCTGCTGCTGCTGCTGCTGCTGCTGCTGCTGCTGCTGCTGCTGCTGCTGCTGCTGCTGCTGCTGCTGCTGCTGCTGCTGCTGCTGCTGCTGCTGCTGCTGCTGCTGCTGCTGCTGCTGCTGCTGCTGCTGCTGCTGCTGCTGCTGCTGCTGCTGCTGCTGCTGCTGCTGCTGCTGCTGCTGCTGCTGCTGCTGCTGCTGCTGCTGCTGCTGCTGCTGCTGCTGCTGCTGCTGCTGCTGCTGCTGCTGCTGCTGCTGCTGCTGCTGCTGCTGCTGCTGCTGCTGCTGCTGCTGCTGCTGCTGCTGCTGCTGCTGCTGCTGCTGCTGCTGCTGCTGCTGCTGCTGCTGCTGCTGCTGCTGCTGCTGCTGCTGCTGCTGCTGCTGCTGCTGCTGCTGCTGCTGCTGCTGCTGCTGCTGCTGCTGCTGCTGCTGCTGCTGCTGCTGCTGCTGCTGCTGCTGCTGCTGCTGCTGCTGCTGCTGCTGCTGCTGCTGCTGCTGCTGCTGCTGCTGCTGCTGCTGCTGCTGCTGCTGCTGCTGCTGCTGCTGCTGCTGCTGCTGCTGCTGCTGCTGCTGCTGCTGCTGCTGCTGCTGCTGCTGCTGCTGCTGCTGCTGCTGCTGCTGCTGCTGCTGCTGCTGCTGCTGCTGCTGCTGCTGCTGCTGCTGCTGCTGCTGCTGCTGCTGCTGCTGCTGCTGCTGCTGCTGCTGCTGCTGCTGCTGCTGCTGCTGCTGCTGCTGCTGCTGCTGCTGCTGCTGCTGCTGCTGCTGCTGCTGCTGCTGCTGCTGCTGCTGCTGCTGCTGCTGCTGCTGCTGCTGCTGCTGCTGCTGCTGCTGCTGCTGCTGCTGCTGCTGCTGCTGCTGCTGCTGCTGCTGCTGCTGCTGCTGCTGCTGCTGCTGCTGCTGCTGCTGCTGCTGCTGCTGCTGCTGCTGCTGCTGCTGCTGCTGCTGCTGCTGCTGCTGCTGCTGCTGCTGCTGCTGCTGCTGCTGCTGCTGCTGCTGCTGCTGCTGCTGCTGCTGCTGCTGCTGCTGCTGCTGCTGCTGCTGCTGCTGCTGCTGCTGCTGCTGCTGCTGCTGCTGCTGCTGCTGCTGCTGCTGCTGCTGCTGCTGCTGCTGCTGCTGCTGCTGCTGCTGCTGCTGCTGCTGCTGCTGCTGCTGCTGCTGCTGCTGCTGCTGCTGCTGCTGCTGCTGCTGCTGCTGCTGCTGCTGCTGCTGCTGCTGCTGCTGCTGCTGCTGCTGCTGCTGCTGCTGCTGCTGCTGCTGCTGCTGCTGCTGCTGCTGCTGCTGCTGCTGCTGCTGCTGCTGCTGCTGCTGCTGCTGCTGCTGCTGCTGCTGCTGCTGCTGCTGCTGCTGCTGCTGCTGCTGCTGCTGCTGCTGCTGCTGCTGCTGCTGCTGCTGCTGCTGCTGCTGCTGCTGCTGCTGCTGCTGCTGCTGCTGCTGCTGCTGCTGCTGCTGCTGCTGCTGCTGCTGCTGCTGCTGCTGCTGCTGCTGCTGCTGCTGCTGCTGCTGCTGCTGCTGCTGCTGCTGCTGCTGCTGCTGCTGCTGCTGCTGCTGCTGCTGCTGCTGCTGCTGCTGCTGCTGCTGCTGCTGCTGCTGCTGCTGCTGCTGCTGCTGCTGCTGCTGCTGCTGCTGCTGCTGCTGCTGCTGCTGCTGCTGCTGCTGCTGCTGCTGCTGCTGCTGCTGCTGCTGCTGCTGCTGCTGCTGCTGCTGCTGCTGCTGCTGCTGCTGCTGCTGCTGCTGCTGCTGCTGCTGCTGCTGCTGCTGCTGCTGCTGCTGCTGCTGCTGCTGCTGCTGCTGCTGCTGCTGCTGCTGCTGCTGCTGCTGCTGCTGCTGCTGCTGCTGCTGCTGCTGCTGCTGCTGCTGCTACTACTACTACTACTACTACTACTACTACTACTACTACTGCTACTACTTCTTTTATAACTACTGCTACTACTACTTCCTGCTTATACTGTTACTATTATGACTACTGCTACTACTTCTTTTATAACTACTGCTACTACTGCTACTATTATTTATACTACTACTACTACTACTACTACTACTACTACTACTACCCCAGCCACCACTACTACTTCCACTACCACTGTTACCTCTACTACCACATCTAGAACTACCACTAGGATACCCCCAAAATATGAGTGTAGCAGTAAAGAGAGTAAGAACAAAAAAGAGAGAAGAGACTGACCTGAGGATATGTCAAGACCTCTACAGTGCTATCGTACGCTGATCTGAGAGAAGCAAAGTTGATGACGACATCTACATCAGGGTGTGTCTTCATAGCTTTAGCCATGGACTTGTAGACTGGGATCAAGATCTCTTTGTGACCCCAGTAAAACTTCTGCTTGTGGTCACCACTAAAGAACAAAAAAAGAAAAAAGAAATGATAACAGGCAACGAGTGTCAGGCATTCTGTAAAGCAATTCTTCAAAAGAAATCAATGGTTAAATGTTTAAATATGCAAAGACCATTAAACATATTATAATCATTATAAAATAATTATTTGGCATGACCTGTGCCTGGGAGGGGGAAAAAGAACTTAATCATTGTGACCATATGGTTTCTCCTCCTGGTATGACTGATTAGGGGTGTGCAGGTGTACCACTACACCAGGGTTTACCCCCCCCCCCCCCCCCCCTCACCCAACTCTATAATCATTGACCTATTTAACACCTAACACCCGACACCTAAAATCATATGAATGTTATACAGTAGGCTTGTGACAGAGAGGGGGGGGGGGGGGGAGATGTATATCTACATCACCATGCAAGCTCACCTGAATGGATAGATCATACCAACAACGGAGGGTTCATCTCGTCTGCAGGAGTGATCAAAGTCCAACATACCCTGAACAGCTCTAGGCTGCATTCCAAAGATGAACGACTAAAGGGATAAAAAGATAGGAATATTAATATTAATGATCAATTACAAGAATTGGATAAAAGAAGTGCCTGTTTGTGAATGCTACTACTACCACAACCATAGCTAATAAAAGCATGCAAGAATTCAAAGAACTTCAGAGTGAATGTAGCCTTTGATGAAGATTGGCAAATGATAATACCCCAGCACAGTAGGATTATTCCTTTATATGCACTGTGCACTCTTTAGCCAACTTTATCTTTATCATAACGTGTTATGCGCTATACCAAGACGGATTATTATAAACAAAAATATATGTGTGCAACAAAGATCTCACACATACTCACTTATATGTGTGTCATAAGATAAAGAAAGTGAAGCGAAATATGCTTATTATTGTGCCCCAGCAGCTATTTTTACTAACCACAGCATATAAGACATGGCTGAAGAAAAGACCATTTGTCAACAGTTCTCTCTGCAGGAAGAGAGTTCTTACCTTGGTGGTGTTAGTGAAAAGTGTCCTGAAGCCAGACGCAGCTCCCGCTCCACTTACTCCTGCGAGGGGTCTAGTGACCTTGACACCATCAGTATCAGAGGCAGACTTCTCTTTACGAGCAACTACTGGTGATGCCTACAAGACAGAAAGACAATATGACACCAATCAGTCATTATACAGTGAAACCTGTCTGTAAAGACCACCCAAGGGAGACAAGAAAAGTGGTCTTTAGAGGCAGGTGGTCTTTGTAGATAGGTGCCTGCTGTACATGTTCAATGAGAAACCATTTTCAAAGGAAAACAAAAAGTGGCCTTTGGAGACCGGTGGTCACTAAAGCAGGTTTGACTGAATAATGATAATAAATGTTGTCTTGTTTAGCAAATTTAGCCTCATCAGTAATCAGTACTGTTTCTCCCTGAGGGCCGTAGAAATTTCCTTTTGCGGACTTCCAGTTCAATATTAATGTGACAAACTTTCCTTGTCTTTTTTCATCATTAATCTTTATACTACATGTAGTTGAAACCATAACAAAGTATAGAATTATATCTGTACAGAATTTTGAACTTTCTGAAACATTAACAGGAAAATTTCAAAAATTGCTTGTTTATGTATTTTAAAGGATATACATTTTGGATGCTACAAACACATCATAAAAAGATCTATTTCCAACATTAACTAAATTCATGAAAATTTTGAAGGAAACAACAATATAATATAATCAACTATGATTAACAGTTCACATAGCATACTGGGTATCATACAAATAAAAATAATTTTGTGAAAAAACTGCACATAATTCACATCATAAAAGCAAAGTTAAATATGCCAAAAAATGCAAATTGTTTTGTATATATCATGCGAATAGTAATATAAAGAAGAACAAAGATCAAAATGTTAGAGTAAAATAAATCAAGCAAATGGCAGGTAAACAATGCAAAAAGACAAGAGTAAATAAGATTGGAACAAGAAAGTGTTAAATACAAAATATGGTACACAAAAAGGTGAGTTAAAAGTCAAACAGGTATAAACAAAGTGACAGAAAGAAAATTATGTTATAGAAAAGCAAACCACATATCTTACAAAGATATGTACAATTATCAAAATCCAGAGAATTTGAAACAAATAATACATTTTTTTTCTTCTACAAAACTGCATCTAGAATTCACAAAATAGCCTACTTTAGTACTTTTCCTTACAAACAACCAGTTTAAGATAGTGAAACTAATATAAGTAGCATGAAACTTATGCATCTTGTCTCAAAAAAATTTAACACAATATGCCAGAAGTTGCACAAATGTTCATTTTCAGGTAAAAGAAGAAATTTAATAACAAAACTGAATGAAGAATAAAATATTCTAAAAACAAATTAATATAGAGATTGAACAAATTTTATTACAGGTACACAGTAGTGATTTGAATAAAAAATGAATTCTTATGAGAAATGGTACTGAAAACAAAGAGCAAATAAACAATCTGAAACTACAAATACACAATTTGATGAGGCGAAACGCAAAGCTAGGAGAGAGAGATATATAGTTTGTGTGTAAGCCAGAATTGAAATGTTGCCAGGATATCTCAACTTGTCAAACCCTTAAAAAAGTAGGACTTTCAAAATTTGTATTTAGAATAGTAAAGATTAACCTTCTCAAAGATGATGAAATAAACCATTGATTAAAACCAAGAATTTTCCAGAATTGAATACTTACATAATTATGGAAGTACTATTGAGCCAAAAGACAGATAAGATTTCCCTCATTTCCCTCTCATTGATTTCATCAAAAATTACAATTTCTGATTTTAAATGTTAGCATTGAAAATTCAGGATGGGATCTTTTCTCTTTCTTTGCACCTTCCTTCAAAATTATTTTTTGTTTGAGATTTTCTATTTATAGCTCTTGCTTTAGAGAGAGGAGATGCTATAGAAAAGACACTTGTACCCAATTTCATAATTGAAATTAAAAAATTGGGGGGGGGGGGGCTGGGGGAAGGGGCAAAAGCGGTTAATAATAGGAATACAGTACATTCAGATAACATTGTTTAACAGCAATGATAATACATCATCTATTAAACAAGTAACAAGTGGGAACTGAATAAATGTGATAACACAATAATGAAACAGCTAGAGTGATGTAAAATAAATATCTACGCCTTTTCGATTTAGGTTTTCAAATAACTCAACATGAAAAACAAAATGCAACAAGTTCAAAACAAAGAATATAAAAGCAATTCAACAACTTGAAATGGAAGACTAGACAGAACGAGTCCTCTCCCTTCCCCTTCTCCTTCTCAAATTCCCCCATTTCACAGATACTGTATGAAGTGCTCGGTTCCATAGGTACTACAGTGTACATAATCCAAGTTCTGACAAAACATGATTTTTGTAATTATCATAGTTAGCAATGTCAGTTTGGAATGATACTTTGGCTGATTATACTATTGTATGAGACAAGTATATAACCAATATTTACACAAATCTAAGTCTGCAAAAATATTTTTCATGAAGTTATGTTTTTTTAATTTCTGTGGATGTAGTACCTTTTGGAACCGAAACAGGATGTAGTACTTCTTGGAACCGAAAAATATTGCATACTGTATGCAATTTACAATGCATGACTTGTAAGAATATAGTGCCTTTTGGAACCTAACTGAATTTTAAATGCCAATTTGTACTTTTTTATGGGAAATTCAGATTTTTTTTGACGTGGCAGTGTATGAAGGCACTGGAAATGTGTACATTAATGCAAACAAAAATGTAGTACCTTTTGGAACCGAGCTCTTCATATATGTCTGATAGTTCGTTAATTTGCAAAGTACCTATGATTTTTCAACCTATCCAGTGGACTAGGATCTCCCAAATGTATTTTCATACCATGATCTTTAATTGTCTCAAGCTTGGCTATATATTTTTTTTCCTCCAAAGATTATGTATATAACTTCATCCATGGAACCATATTATACTGACAATTAGAGTAGGAGGGAGTGAGAAGTGATATTAAATGAATTTTAGAGAAAGAGAGAGAGAGAGAGAGAGAGAGAAAAAAAGAGAGAGAAAGAGAGAGAGAGAGAGAGAGAGAGAGAGCGAGAGAGAGAGAGTAAGAGGAGGAAGAGGGGAGGAGAGGAGGGAGGAGGGGGAGAAGAGGGAGGGGCTCATTCTGTCTGTAAGCTAGGTGTGGTGTGCAGGAGTGGATATCAAAATGCTTTCATTCTCTTGAAGGAGTAAAATACTGACTTTGGCGGTAGCTCCAAGCTCTGGAGCACTCTTGCTTGCCCCTGCAGGTACCTGTCATTCAAACATCAATAATTCTACAAACTTATTCAGTGAAAAATATTAAGTATTCATAAAAATGTGGTCTTTATATTAACCAAGTAGCGTGTTCTTCATGCAGGTGCAGAACTCATTATTACCCCAGCATTGCCAGGTACCCAGGTAACACACCTTGGTGAAAAGAGACAAATGTGTGATGGTGTACGCACAGAGCATGGATTGAACTCAATTAAAACTCTTAGCCGAGAGCTTGAAAAGTCAATTTCCTACTGCTTCGATGATTACATTCAGTAAAAAACAAGGACTGGTACATTTCTCACTTTTCTCAATGTATCTGTTTTTCTTTTCTTTTTTCTTTCTGGCTTCATACTATGACCTTCTTCATGTCAGGTCACAGGCGCAGACATGTACAGGTGCACGTACAGGTCCATGTGTGGTTGGTGCATACCTTGTTTTATACATCACTAAAAATATTTTTTTTTACTTTCACAAGTAGTATTCATAGTTCTCAATACACATGTCCTTTCTATATAAGTTGGTGAACAAATTACTATGAACTCTATACAATAATTTGCTAAAATGTTGTACTATTAAATCGAATGCATCTCTACTTGCATGATTTTATTCCATTAATATCATACTTAATATACTTTGAAGCTACAATAAAAGAGCTATACTACTGGATGAATTCAGAAATACGTGTAGATAGGTCAACTAACTGACAGGACTGATGTAATAAACTAAGCACTACTGGTATTCTAAAACAGATGGATGCAAGTTTTGAAACATTACAGGTATGTTTCCTGTGTATAATCCTTAAAACTGTTTCATAGACATTCAAAACAACTTGTACTCTTTAAAAGAATAATAATCTGCTTTACAAAGTACAGATGAATTGATGTCTAAGGTATACTACATAAAAGAAAAGATAACTAGTTGGTGAATAACATAGGAATATAAAAAGAGTCATACTAGGTCACTTTTCTGAGATGAAAATACAATATACTCAACAGTGCAATGTTTAGTTATTATGAGGCATGTGAAAATCTACAGTACAATATAATGACCTAGAATATTTACACCAGTGGTCTTTAAACAAATTATGTGACTCACAAATTTCATATCTAAAGTATAACATATATATTGAATAAACAGGAATTGGTGAATTACATAAAGATAAATATGTTTTATATGCTTTTTCAAGATTAACATGGAGAAACATGTGAAGATACAATGTGATGACCTACAGTGTGTAACTGTGTACATGAAGTAGACCTCATGCAATGGCATATACTGATAAACTAGAAAATTCATGTGCATGATATAGTGGCAAATTTTATAGAAATTTCAAGCACGCAAAATGTCATGCCGCGAAATAAATCAAACCAACTGACAAATAAAACACCAACTTTTATGCATCGTCTGGTGAATGTTTCATGTCATTAACATTTCTGGAATTACAGCACACGACGATTGAAAATGACAAATGTAATAATGCTATGTGATACTGGATTCCTTTTCTAATAAAAGTAGCTGGGAGCAAAGAAAACTTCTTAGGTTTATTGATTAATCAGAGTAATAAGTTTAGCACTTCAGACACATAATTGCCACATAGTATGACAAATTGGAAAAGTTAATTGTTAATTTCAAAAGTTTTGCCAAGTAGATATTACTGAAAGATAGGAAGCAGAGTTATCAGAATCAGAAAGACAGAGGGCGTGTACACAAATTTAGGAAAAAAAGAAGAGCCTTTCTATAGCCTATAGCCTACATGTGTAATACCAGGAGTTAATTGAGAATTCAGAGAGAGAGAGAGAGAGAGAGAGGAATATAAAGCGTTTAGAGATCAGTATACCACAGTGCTAGCTACATGTAGCTATGTGTGTTTCTATCTACTTACACCCTGGGTTTCTGCTGGTTGGGGTAAAAACTGTTGAAGAAAAGATGGGACTTACAGAGGTAAATAATCAAACAATAGGGATATTTACTGATATACCGTTTTCAATCTTTGTGAAGTGAATTTTTGTTATTCTGTCTGTGCTCTGAGGTGTTCACTTGAAACCATCAGCATCACAAAAATATATTGATTGGTGGTTTGTTGTTTGGTGGTTTGTGTTTGCCTGGCTGCTACCTTAGCATGTGTATGCTAGTAAGTAAGCAACCAGGGGACTGATGGTTTTAAGTCCTCTCCTAGGTTCTTGGTAATGGGAATTAATGCATCACCAAAGGGCACTAACGCATTGACTTTGGACCTCCTAGTTATGAGACCACTGCTCTACCACTGAGCCAATGTGTATTGTAATTCAATAAATAAATCCTAATGAGTATGAAGTACATAGGGCTATATCATGGCTTATGCACACATGCATTCAGATGAGCACAGCTCAAACAATGCAATCAATGTAAGTGTAATCATGTAAGACAGTGAAAAATCAATGACTGATTATGCCTTTTAAAATACTCCTTTAATTTATGTGAAAGTTACCAGAAAATATTTATATATGTTTAAATGTACAAAATGTTTGTATATAGTTGTGAAAAAGTGATGAATTCATAACAATGTGTAGATATGTATATATATATATATATATATATATATATATATATATATTGAGTGCGTTTCCATTGTGTGATCCAAGGGTATATCTCGTTCACTTTGACAATAGGGACTTTTAGATTTGCGTGGACTGATACGTGTGACTTCCATTCAAGGCAGTGCATTAAAAGGACGTCGATCGTAGCAATCCACATTGTCTTCGTGGAAATCTAAAAGTCCCTATTATTGCACTCGTCTACATCTCATGTGGTGTGCATCAACTTGTGCGATATACCCAAGTATTCCGATCAAAGATTATTCAATATCATATACAGTATAACACTTTGTCTCACCTCTGGAAAAACCTGTAGTTTAAATAGGAAATCAATGGGGGTTTATCATTTCTAAAGAGTATTATAACAGCAAATTTTTTTTTTTTTATCAATTTGGATTTGCCCAAACTGATCAGCCTAATTACATGTTTACACAAACATTGTCATTGTGATCCAAGAAATGGAAAGATGCTTAGGGATGAAAGCTACACAATGTAAACTCTCTGTTCATATCATGAATTAATTAACCTTATATGGACATTGCATTGTGTTCTTTTTTCACATGAGGCATGGTAAAACAAATATTAAATGACACTTTAGTGACTAAACTTTATTGGAGCATTTAATTGTTTTTATTTTTAAACATGATGTGCCACGTATCATGAGCTGCAAATTTAACTCAATGGAAATTTTGTAGACATAATGTTTGTTATCACAAAATGATTAAAACCAATCTCTTGAATCACTTTAATCATCTGCACTATATCATCCTATTTTTTGATAGAAAGTTATAAGCTGAGCCTCATGAAAAAGCTGTTAAAGTAATGAATCTCGAAGATGTTAATGCATAATCCAAGCATCTGGATTAATTAAAAAAATTATGTTTATATTCATGCAAAAGAATACAGCATCTATCCTTACAAAATGAATTAAAAAACCTTCTACGCTATCTAATGCAACCGTGTTACAGCAACGCTTACGCCTGTCCATATCTAGTTAAAATGTGTACTAAGCTTTAAGAAAATAAGGTACTAATGTCTAACAACCACAAATATCATAAAAAACCTTAAGGCTGCAAATAGCAAGTGCCTGTTAGAGCTTGTTAGAGAATGATCCTATCTGTTTGGATTAAATTCAATTAAGTTTGAATTTGAATTTGAATATAGGCCAGTATTACTGTAAAGTACTAGAACTCTTGCAAAAGAAACTTCACCAACCTCTTATCATCAAGAAAGTTTTAGAAACTTTATAAAGAATTGGACTTTGCAACAGACTAAAGCTGTGCTTAAAAATTCATCAAGTCAAAGCTCATCAGTATCTGTATGATCTTAAGTTGCAATCGAGGCAGACTGGCAAGAAATCAAGGTTACCTAGAAAGGATTTGAGGTGATTAATGGCACCTACGTAATAATGATAATAATAGTGCGAACTTATAGGCCCGAATTCACAAAGCAAGGTTTGAGCTCAAACCTCCTTTTGTTACGCCAAACCTCCTTTTGTTATTTACAAACCAGGTTTGTAAATAACAAAAGGAGGTTTGGCGTAACAAAAGGAGGTTTGAGCTCAAACCTTGCTTTGTGAATTTGGGCCATAGAGCGTGAAGAGAGGACATTCTTGGTGTGAAAGTAAGCAGTCTTGCACTGGAATTTTGGATGGATCGCAGTCTGTCTTGCTGCTGTTTGGTGAGTCCAATTAGAATAGAATTACAAAAGTCTAAGCGAGATGAGATTAATGCATGGATTAATTGTTCACATGCTTGTTGAGTCAAAGATTTTCATATGAACCCAAGGTTCAGCAGTTGATATCTCACAGACTTTGATATGCTGTCAGTTTGGGCCCTGATTTCTACAATTCATTAGTCCTCCTATAGAATAAAACTTGATTAATTGTGTTCTTACCGCACTTCCGGAGAGCAGGAAGCTGGCTGTGGTGGAGTCTGTAGGAGGTGTTTCAGGGACTTCCCTCTTACCTAGAGCCATGCCTACAATGGCTGTCATGTGAGTCTCAGTACCAAACACATACATGGGAACACCAAGGTTTCCACCTGTGACAAGAAACACAATATAGATTTAAAACATTAATTTACATCATGGAACTGATAGGGAGTGTTTCAGAGCCTTCCTGCCGCCTTCCCCGAGTCATACTAAAAATTGGCTGTCATGTGAGTCTCCATCTCTGACAAAAGAATACAATATATTTGAATCTTATGAAGTAGAAAGAGCATTTCAGATGTTTCTTTCTTTCAAAGAGCAACATCCAGACTGGCTGCCACCTAGAGAAGGACAATCCATCAATCCATCCATTTATGTGTATTACTTAACATTTGCTAAATCACACAAGCAAAGACAATATAAATGGATGAATTCAAATAAATATCTTAAATTAAAAAGTATTCTACTTTAATTTGAAATCAAATAGTAAATAACAAACTTGGAAGCCGTATTTCTTAGAAGAATACTTCACTGGGCAACCGTTTCCTTGCTTTCTATACCACTTTAGATTGATTTGACTCCAGGGCCCGTTGCACAAAACTTACCATTGAGGGTAACTTTGCCATCAATGGTAACTACCATGGAAACCTTGATTTTGATTGGCTGTTGAGCCCTGTTACCATGGTAGTTGCCATTGATGACAAAGTTACCATCATTGGTAAGTTTTATACAATAGGCCAAGATTGTATGATCTGGGGGGTGTTTCATAAAGAGTTTGTAAAGTCATGTGTAACTTTACGAACAGCTTTATGAAACACCCCCGTGTAAGGTGACTACCGGTATGTTATATCTTACCCAGCTCTCTCATGACTCGTAGACCCTCTTGGTAGTTAGGCCCTCCTCGTCTCACATAGATAGACACCCTGAACTCAATCAGCTTCTCACGGAACTGCTTTAGAGCTTTCACAATGCCCTAAAGAATCAATCAACAAGATATACATTCATGAATCACATCAAAGCAATTTACACCAGGGGAAAGTTTCACAAAGACTACGATCAACTGGCAGGAATCGATTCCTTGAAATGCTAGAGCGCTGAAATGGCCGCCTTGCTAAAGCCAGGGTAATAATCTGGCAGCGCCAGGAGCATCACAACATGTGAAGATCTTTACATGTATATGGCACAGATGAGCTGTACACATTAAAGGAATCGTTTAACAATGTTAAATCCGAGATACACGGCCCAACGTGTTATCAGTGTCTGTGATATGGTGTAATATTGAAGCCCTAAAAACAATTCCCGTTTCAAAATGATCAAGAAGTGCCTCAAAAAAGTAAAAATCTTTGAGTGACCGGTTTTACCATACTCTATTCCCCAAAAGACTGTAGTGTTCTGAAAACCGTTTGGTAAACGGTTTTCAAATTTTGTAATTCCAATCATAAATATCTTGATAATCAGACAGGCGATCGGCTTGTAAAAAGAGTTCCTGACTGACCTAAAGGTTTATAATTATCATTGCAGCATGAGCCAAATCCAGAATTTTGTTTCAGAATCTGAGACAAAGTTACCAGATCCCTTTAAGACGCATACAACTTAACAGGAGCTTGGAACTGTGAATGTAGATGTTTGCCACATCGGCGAAGAGAATTGAACTTGGACTGAGGGCCTAATTAAGGAATAATAATATAGTCAAATCTGTCTTAGTGGCCACCTCTCTTTAGTGGCCACATATTTTGTCTCCATCAAGAAAGAAATGTGTGGTAGAACCTGTCTAGAAAGGCCACCTGTCTACCTTGCAAGGTCACTGACAGGTGGTTATCTCATCAAATCAGCTCTCAATAAACACAAGAAAAAGAGAATCATGGGGAACCAACAGGTACCGCTTAGGCATTGTTTGCTATATAGAGGGCGCAAGTAGCTATAAGCAGTGCAGTAGCGCTTTAAAGGGAGTCCTTCGTCAGTTTCCATGTGCAGAAGGCAATAATTCGCTGACGGAAAAGTGAGATAATGACTTTACCATGTGGGGGAATGGGTGAAAAACGCAGTACGTTACATAAGACCTGCTGATCATGAAACTGAAGGCTAATCCTGGTGATTGACAGCACCTCTTATTGGGTGAACACCCAAACGGTGTTGAATTCCCTATGAGAGCTAAGTACTGAGTGTCTTTAATAGACAGGTTTGACTGTACTAGGGATTACTCACCTTGAATGTAGATGCGACATTGGTGAAGTTAGCAATCCCTCCTCCGATGATAAGCACCTTGCCGTCAGGGTGCTGCTCTCTGGTCATCAGACCGAGGATCGTCTTGGCGTACTCGTACGTCTGACCCTCACTGGGGGCGCCAGAGTACTCACCGTAGTTTGCTAGCTCTGCTGCTCCACCAAGGTCACATATGGTGTCACTAGATGGAGAGAGATATACCAAATGGTAAAGTGGCTGCTAGCATGGGGGTTTGAGAAACAAACAGCATTGAAAGTAAAGATACTAATGGGGCATTGCAAGAAAGTTGCAAAATGTGCAACTGATATTTGCAATTAATCACAAGACTTATGCTTGATTTTGGGGATTTGCAATTGACTGCAACTTTCTTGCAAAGCCCAATAAGTGTTTGAAGATAATTAGAAGCTTGAGAGTATTTTCTATAAAAAAAGGAAGATATTTCTTTGAAGTGTCATGGATTAACCAATAATGAATGTAAAAATGTATCTGTATACCAATAAACAGGAAGGTTAGTTTGACAAATACCAATAATTTTACTAGAGTAATAAGATGATTCTTTTGGTTCCATATCAAATCCTTGAAATGCTAGAGCGCCATAATGGCAGACATGCTAAAGCCACGGTAATGATTTCCAAAGCTCTTTGGAAGCGCACAGAGACGTTATAATTTGATATGCGCTATATACAAGAACCGAAGATTATTATCATTATTATTATTATTCCACCTAATGCCATGATTTCATTAGGAAATTTTGCTGAAAACAAGATGTCATATTCATGTTGTGCACTGGTCAAAACCAGATTCAACCGGTATAAACCGATTCAAACCAACCTGTAGATGACTGAAGCACCTCCTCCTGCCACCATAGTCCAGATACGACCGACTGGATTCAAGATGGTCAGCTTCAGGGATGCACCACTCTTAGCATCAAGGTCTGCAATGTATGCTTCCTACAAACCAAGAAAAAAAATGATTGGGAATGTCAAATTGAAAACAATAAAGAGATTGACTGATTCATACAGCATTTGTGGAAATAGAGTTAACAAAATTGCTTTCGATGATTAATTGACTCTGTTCACATTGATATATATTTCATATGTATTGTAACTTGTAGGTTTATTTGCATTTTCTTTTTGTTTTGTTTCATATATAATTGTTTATCATTGTATTTTGTTCGTTATAGCGCTTAGAGACTTTGGTGGAAAGCGCTTTATAAGCACTGTTTTTAATTACCATTATTATTAAAACAAGAAATAGAAATAACAAAACAATTCACATTGCAGCTCTCCAGTCAGTCTTTATTCACTTGGCTTGCCACTGTCATCAGTGTCATTGTAATGATTCACAGCAATAAACTGTTTTTCACAAGAGCTGCCAGGAAAGAAGATACCGGCTTCTTTTTCTTTTGAGTAGATAAGCATCAACTTAACTGTAACTCCATTAGATTCACAACAATTTGTAGACGTCTAAACACATCATGCTAAGTGCACATGAAAATTCAAACGACTTCATGTCCATCATATGATTTACAACAGGATAAGAGAAACAGCTTTAGGGTCCTCTCCGACTGCCTCTCTTTCCAAAATGGCTATCCTTTAATTCTGTTAAGAAGAAGCTTAAAGGTTGTTATGAAGATGAGCAGGTTCTTTCTATCTTTCTACAAACTTTGATGTATTACTTGATAAACAGAGACATGTGCAACTGATGTAACAAAGTTTGTTTTACCGATATGTCACAACATGTACTTTGTTTTTGCTCAAGAATAATTGAATAAAATTTCTTTGAAAAAAACAAACAAACAAAAAAAACAGAAATAGATTACTCACCTCAGGGAATGCTTCCCTTCCGAATGGAGGAGGGAATTCCAGGTCTCCCCATTGAACCTTGCACAGGTACTCGGCAGTAGCATCAATCTTAGCAGCAAGGTCCAATACATAGACCTTATCAGTCACAACTAGATAGGAGAAGAAAGCAGACAGAATAATAATAATAACAATCTGGATTTTTATAACGCTTAATACGGAATACCGTCTCTAATCGCTTTACAGATATTATTACCACGTTTATCGATTCATTCCAGACAATGTGCATCATCTCCAATTCCTACCATATGGTCACAGTGAAGGCATAGGAAATTACTATCACAAAGGCTTTTGTCATCCTAGCGGGTTCCCATTTCTCTCTTGGGTATTGCGTGGCAAATGTAGATTAATGATTGGTTAACGTAAAGGTTCTCATGCATGAATCACAAGGAACTATAAACTACAACCCTACTTTATCTTTCTGAGCAATTTTTGAAGCTGTAGACCTAACAAATTCTAATATGCATTTTGACCTACAGGTAACCTGAATATTTATTATTGGTGAGTGTGAGCAGAAGTTTGGCACTAAGTACACATATGGGAATACAGTGGCGTCATAATGCCTGTGTAGGGGTGTCACACCTATTTGTCTTTGGAACTCTCTCCCCACTACCTTCTGAACCATCACAGACTTAACTTTCTTTAAATCACAACGGAAACCTTACTTGACAACTTGTTTAAAAACACTTTCTGATGTCATTTAAACTGCATTATTGTATTTCATCAAAATTTAATTACATGACTGTACTTTATCATAATTTGCTTTCATTTCACTGTAATTGATTGATGAAAATGATTGATTATGATTAATCCTGTCCTTATTTTGATTTCTTTAGTTCATGAATAATTAGTTTTGTGTAATTTTGTTGTTTTATTATTGTAAAGCGTGTTGTTATTTTCTCTGAAGATGAAATGCGCTATATAGAAGCCTAGGTTTTTATTATCATATTATTATTCATTCAGACTCACCCAGTGGGTTGATCTCCAGGTATGTGAAGTACAGGTCACGGAACCGCTGATACAGGTCTAACACAAAACCAGCCACCATCCTGGAAAAAGGTAAGCATTGATTGATAAATAAAATTGTCTATAAAAAGAACATATTTTCCTATACCAGGTACATAAATAAAGAATGAGAAAACCTTTTTCAATCTACATTTTAGAAATCTATTGGAAAATAACATTTAAAAATGGAGTAAGAAAATAAGTTATTGACAAATTGTACATTACACCTGTGCATCTGTACATGGCCATGTCAGATGTCATGTACTCAAATCTATTGCACCTGTGTAAATCTGTGCACACTAACAAAGTGTGAATTCAAATATTGCCATTAAGTCATTGTGCTTCTCACATCACATCAATGAAGCAATGAGCTATACTAGGATATGCTGAAACTGAATACAGGATATGTACTTGAGAGAGCATTTTTTTTTTTTAAGAATCGAATTACTTTCGAGAATATTGAAGAAGTTTGCCTTCACTTGCAGGGTAAATTTCTACATACACCCTGTATGGTGCTGTCAAATTATCCATATTTTCTGATATGGTATTGCCCATAATTGATGATTGGTATGAGAAAGAGAATGATTCATGATGCAACTGTGCAGCTTTTAATTCAAAGGAGAATTCTTGATTTTCTTTTAAATCCCCACTGCACTACTTATAGCTACTTGCGCCCTCTACAGTATATAGACAACAATGCCTAATCGAAGCCTGTTGGTCCCCATGGTCCCCTTTTTCTTATTTTAATTGAGAGCTGATTTGATGAGAAAACCACCTGTCAGTGACCTTGCAGGGAGGTCAAATCCCCCTGGCCAAACTAGTACAGACGGGCTTTAAATCTCTTTGGGCAACTAACGATTCTTTTCAAGATAATCTCTCCTATTTTCAGCCTAATCGGTGCCTGTTGGTCCCCCATGATCCCCTTTTTCTTATTTTAATTGAGAGCTGATTTGATGAGATAACCAATTGTCAGTGACCTAGCAGGGAGGTCTAATCACCTTGGCCAAACTAGTACAGACAGGCTTTAAATCTCTTTGGGCAACTAACAATTCTTTTCATGATGATATCTCCTATTCTCAGAAGTGATTTGAATGATAATATTCTCAGAACCTGGACGTAAGGTTGAGTATTTACATGTAGACTTTTAATCACAATGACAATTAAGATAGCACCACAATACTGGTATCTGATTCTGAGCAGTCCATGTTGGTTCTATACAGTTAGGTTTCAAAAATATTTTAAAAATACAAGTAAACTTTAAAACGATTTCAATGCATTTGGTTTTGATATCAATTTTTAAATCTTTTTTTTTGCAAGTATCACAAGAAGTTATCAATAAAATGTACTGAGAAAATTATGTGTTTGTACTCTCTCTTTATAAAATAAAATTTGAGAAGTAAATCATTCATCAATTTTAAGTAATTCACAACAATGATTACAATGCTGAACCATTTATTTTTTGTTGAATGAATTAAGCTACTCATAATGTAGAGGAAGATCTATACAAATATATTTACTGTAAGATAAAAGTACGTAGAAAGGTGAAAAAGACAACTGGAGGGAGGCAGAACAGAACTCAATATAAGCACTGCAGAAGTATGACTGAGATGATTTGAAATAGAATGGGACAAACAAAAATAAGGAGTAGATGGAGAGAAGAGAATTGGTTTGCTGTTTTTGCTGTTTGCTTGTTTCACTTTGTAAATTATCTTATGTAAGGCCTTCTTGCCCACCTATTATTAATGTTACATCCTTCACCATTGCAACCATTTCAATCAAATGTTAGTTTTATTAGGGGGAACCTATAATCTACAAGCTGAGCTTTTAAAAAGGTTCCTCATATTTCACCCTGTATAACCTACTATTCAATACTATTCATTTGGACGTCTTTACAAAGAATTGATTATATAATGTGATAATTTGAGTATATTTCATATCATGTATGTTCTAATTTGGTCAATTATGTGAATTTTTTTTGGTGAAATGTGAAACAAAATAAACTTAAAACTTGAACTTGAAGGTGAAATAAGCGCACATATAGCAGTTTAGCACGAGCATCACAATGCAATAAATGCATTCTTGAGCGTACCAGCCATAATGCAATATTACAGCACTATGCTGATAGCACATATTTGCCCAGCACTACACACCTTCCTAACCAAGCCAAGCCAACTGCACTCTAAGCAGAAATACATATCTGGAAGTGTAAATTTACACAGCGATTGTGGATGTTTGCTGACTAAGCAAACGGCACGTTGCGTATGACACGATAATGGGCTCAAGGGGACAGCCATAGGCCTGTCTACATCAGCTCGAGATTGCCAAATATCCGGCTATTTGAACTATCCAGATCGCAAAATATCCAGTTAATTTGCGCTCCCCATCTGCCAGAAGTTGCAATTAGCGGGGTATTTGGTCGAGATAATCATCCCAAGATATCTTGGGCTAGTTTGCAAAATATCCCACTAGTTGGCAAAATATTCTTCTATTTGTCCCGTGCGTCTGCAGCCCGAACACTTGCACTATGCGCGAACGCTGAGCAAAATATCTCGAGCTATTTTCTCGAGCTTGAGTTTCAAGTTTCGAGGTCAAGTCTTGAGCTGATGAAGACGTGATTTGTAACTTCGAGATTATTTCCCAAATCAGAAATAACGAGCTATTTGGCAATCTTGAGCTGATGAAGACAGGCCTATCGAGTCTCCTTGCACGATGGGTCAAAGGTTGTATCAAGGGCTATTTCAGGACAATGTCTCACCTGGCTTTGAGTCATTTCTTAATCTCTCTTAATTTCTATCAGAAATCTATTGTCCTGGGCCTTGTATGCTATTGATATATGCTCTATTCGTACTACTGTCTATTTTGATTATGAAATAAATGCTGACTTCACTATATTCATCTTCATTGTGCATGCCAAATAGCATTGATGATCATGTATCCTACATACATGTACATGTACATGTATCTCTGTTGTTGCAAATATATTATATCCTGTTTTTATCTTATTCTTTTGTTATTCTTTGTCCCCAAATACATACCTATATTTTTATCTTGTGTTTGTAGGTATTTTTTTCAAAGAATATTCTACTGTTATTTAAATTTTTTCATTTTTTTTTGCAGGGTGCCTGAGGGCAATTCCAATTTCATTTAGGGAGTGAGCAAATACCATAACCAATCATAACAAGGAATGCCAGATGCACCTTTTCACCTTCTGTAGGACTGAAGAGAAACAAAGTTTTATGGCCTTAAATATAAATTGGAAAATGAACTTACTCCTTCTTCCCAGCAGTTACATTGGAGAGAAGCGCAGTCTTGATTCCCTCAGCTGTTATCTCTTCTTGCAGGCCAACCTCCATCTTAACAGCCTGTAGAAACATTCAAAAATATCTCACAATCATACTCATATTCATAATACAGTCAAACGTATAGAGAAAGTTTACTCATATGAGACAAGAACAGCGGTCTCTATAGAAAAGTGGTCTTTTTGTACAGGAGGGGTGTTTCATAAAGCTGTTTGTAAAGTTACGCGTAACTTTACAAACGACCTTAATATGAAGTGCCAGATAGGATGCCCAAAGTTTTTTCTGATGTATAACAAATTGTGACTATATTTCCACTAACCTCTATTAAATTATGACAAAAAATATACTTTGCATTAAGAATGTTAATCTACATCTGCACAGTTGAACTTTAGTTGATGCAGTTAAAAATGATTGAGCATCCCATTTGGTTTTTCATATTTAAGTCATTTGTAAAGTCGTACGTAACTTTACGAACAGCTTTATGAAACACCCCCAGGTTTAATACATGTTTCAATAAGAAAGACTATTCTGAGCAAAACACAAAATGAGGTCTTTATAGACAGGTGGCTGTTAAAGCAAGTTTCACTTTATTAAGGGATAGATTAAAAAGACACGATGGGATACACATTCATTCATTCGATTTATATTAACCTTCTCTTCTTAATTCTAATCAACCTTTGAATGGCGCATCACACAACATTTCTAAGCCTACAGTACTAAGTACTTGAAACAAAATGTAGCTTTAACCAGAAAGATCAAACATATCTTGAAGAAAATATGTTCTTTTACTATTTTATTTATTCTATTCTATTTAATGATCACTTGCTCACTGGCTGAAATGAATGAAAGCAACAATACAGTAATAATGATAACCTATGTAAACATATAAAGTATATTTATGTACCTGTTTATTCTTGGTAATCATTTGTACAAGTAGATAAGATTGTATATACCAACAACTGAACTATTGCACTTTAGATTAAATACTGTACAGGATCAAATGGGTAAGCCAGGTAATTTTTTATAGGTAATCTACATGTAATCAGATGGGTGTCTATTATTAAGTTACTCAAAATTACTTTTATTGCTATTTATATCATAATGCATTTATCATGCTTCTATTTTCAGGACAGTGAAGTGATATACTGTATGTAAACATTTCCTATATTTATCATGTTATCATTAACCATGCCTATTTTAAAACTAGTCAATAAAACTTGTTTGAATGGTCTGAAGATTAATTCTAGTAATACCAATGCAGTACAAGTGAGGGTGTCTACTATTAAGTTATCTTTTAAGTCAACATTGCTTTATTGGGTAAGCCAGGTATTTTTTTATAGGTAATCTAATCAAATGGGTGTCTATTATTAAGTTATCAAAACTACTTTTATTGCTATTTATATCATAATGCATTTATTATGCTTCTATTTTCAGGACATTGAAATACTTTTTTTTATATTTATCCATTTTCTATAGTTATCATGTTATCATTAATTACGCCTATTTTTAAACTAGTTAATAAATTGTGTTTGTAGTGTCTATATAAAGAATTGTCTAAAGTTTCATTTTAGTAATACCTTAGGATACATGTACCAACGTACAAATTTGCAAGACTTCTCTTGGACTGCAAATCAATTTCAGACAAAGCTCTTTACTAACCCCTCATTTGTGTGCGTTTCCTTAGATTAAGATAGTTAATTAGTTATGTAAAGTTCCTTAATTAAATTTAATTAAGTTAAGTTCTTCCATCGCCTTATGACTACGATCACCGTCTCATTAACAAGGGCCAGGTCTTCATCTGTGCAACCCGTTCCACCGCACTGCAAAATGTGGTCCATCTAACCCCTGATCACCAATTATTCAATTCATCAGCTACGTTCTGTCTCATTACATCTCTGTGGATACAGTCCATCTTGCATACATTGTATGTTGCTATGTTGGGTAAGCATCAGACAAACTTAAAGAATTTACAACACACTTTGTCGAACAAATATACAGTCAAACCTGCTTTAGTGACCACCTGTCTATAAAGACCACATTTTTTGTTTCACTTGAAAATGGTTTCACAGTGAAACCTGCACTTACGAAACCTGTACATAAAGACCACCTGTCTATAAAGACCACTTTTCTTTCTCCCTTGAGACGTCTTTATACACAGTACAGGTTTCACTATACATGTACCTAAAATACATGAAATATAAAGGTAAAGACCAGTTTAGGAAACGCCCCCCTCTCAAAAAAAAAATGGAAGCTCTTATTACCAATCCGTGATGATACAAATTTTGCTGGGAAACCGCCTACTAATTGATATATTTGGTAAATTATCATATCTATCCGGCCTGGATAAATATCACGTTGTCCCATATACATCTTTCTGTGTACAGTGCTTGCAACTTTACCAAGACTGGGCCGAATTTCTTATCATTTTGATGATTCCAGAACCTTACAGTACACATCAATACTTACATGCTAGATGATCAACATTTTCTGATCAATTCCACAACGTTTCTTTTACAATGCAATCGCATGACCATAACTGATCTTTATCTTTAAACCTGGGCCCGTTTCACAAAACTTGTCATCAGTGACAAATAACAGTTTTTGTAATAAGCTACTGAAATCCTTGCTTCTATTTGGTTATAAGCAGATTCGTCACTGATTTTTGTTATTTGTCATTGCAAAAAGGCTTTGTGAAACGGGTCCCTGATATAAAACTTGATAAAGTGATGTATGGTGGTTCCTACCTTGGCGTCGACATCACCGACGTCAACACCGCCCTCGTGTGTGAAGAGAATGACATCACTGGCTCGCTGGCAGTAGATACAGACATAGAACTCATCCTCTGGTTTGTGAGCAACAAACGGCTCGATCAGGAAGTTCTTCAGTTTGCCGTTAGCAGCTCCAACCTGTAGAGATCATCAAGAAAATATCTCATGTCCACTTCAAAGCTTTGCTCAAGGCTCACATCTTCCTTCAGACATTTAAATGCTAACTTTATTGGAGGAGCTCACGCCTTTGAATGTTTTTTTAAACAGATATACGGTGCCATACGAAATGCTGTGAATCATCATCATCGTCATCATGAATTATAAAAAAACTAGATGGAATTTTGACTGCGCGCAGTCGAAAATGATGCCTCCGCAATAGAGCAATTTAAACAAGTTTGGAGTTTAAATCTCCAGTGGTTCTTGAGATATCATGATAACAATCTCAATGTATGGAATTTCATAAGTTGACCTCTGTGACCCTTGACCTTTGACCTACGTGCTCCAAAATCTAATCAGATTGTCTTCCTATGGTGATACACACTATCATTAAGTTTGAAGTTTAAATCTCTAGTGGTTCTTGAGATATTATGATAACAATCTCAATGTATGGAATTTCATAAGTTGACCTCTGTGACCCTTGACCTTTGACCTACGTGCTCCAAAATCTAATCAGATTGTTTTCCTATAGTGATACACACTATCACTAAGTTTGAAGTATAAATCTCCAGTGGTTCTTGAGATATCATGATAACAATCTCAATGTATGGAATTTCATAAGTTGACCTCTGTGACCCTTGACCTTTGACATACGTGCTCCAAAATCTAATCAGATTGTTTTCCTATAGTGATACATACTATCACTAAGTTTGAAGTTTAAATCTCCAGTGGTTCTTGAGATATCATGATAACAATCTCAATGTATGGAATTTCATAAGTTGACCTCTGTGACCCTTGACCTTTGACATACGTGCTCCAAAATCTAATCAGATCGTCTTCCTATGGTGATACATACTATCCTTAAGTTTGAAGTTTAAATCTCAAATGGTTCTTGAGATATCGCGCTAACAAACTCAATACAAGGAATTTCATAAGTTGACCTCTGTGACCTGTGACCTTTGACCTACGTACTCCAAAATCTAATCAGATCGTCTTCCTATGGTGATAAATACTATTCCTGAGTCTTAAGTTTAAATCTTAAATGGTTCTTGAGATATTGTGATAACGGTCAAACGGGACGGACGGACGGACGTACGGACGGACGGACGGACGTACGGACGTACGGACGTACGGACGGACAACCCGAAAACATGATGCCTCCGGCACCACCTTCGGTGGCGGAGGCATAAATATCCTCAATACTAAAGCAATCCTACAGGAATGATATGTAAATATAAATGATAAACATCAATAAGTTTTGTTATCCATTTCCATAAAAAAAATCAAAAAATCAATTGAAATGTCAATTGGCTTTAATTATCAATACAATAATGGGTATTGGGTGAAAGACCTGCATGTATGTTATATGGGATACATCACTGAATCTCCCATTAAGCATAATAGTTCCACACGTTATAAAAAGGGGTTGATTAATGGTGGTACTATGGAAATTGTTGAAAGTGCTAGTACCAGTATTAATAATCCACAAAACATTACATTTTCATATGGTTAATTTTGTAAAGTTTCTATGGGAACAACATACGTTGAGAGGCATATAGTAGCGCCATATGAACAAATAATGGCAGTCAAGAACAATATATGCAAAAAATGATGGATGATATTGTGTCCTACCTCAATATTCTGTCCTAGTCTGGTAGAAAGCCAGTCTTTGACACCTTGTAGATCAGCATTGACTTTGATGAGACCAAGTTTGCCACGACGTTTGATTAGCTGGTCAGGCTTCACAACCAGACGCTGTCAGGAGATAGAGGGAGGGATAATATATTTAATGCTTTTCTTTGAAGTTGATACATCTCACATGAAAACATCTTTAGTGTTAGGATCCTTTATCAATTCTAATGGCACTTACATGTACATACATGTATGTTTACATCAGGATGACCAGGTAATAGATATAAAACAAGAGAATATATAGATCTACAAAGATACATGTGCATTTGGGGAAAAAAGGAAAATAGTGTAGCAAAATCTTACAACATAAAAGCATGAACAAGGACAGGAGAGAGACAGACAGAAAAGGATAGAAGAAAGAGAGAGGAGGGGGGGTGGTTGGGCTTATTATAATAACACATAAACACTCAAATATCCCTCAGCAGCAATAAATTGAACTTCAATTTATCAACATTTCTTATCCACTTTGTTCTCTGCAAACACACATCTACATGTATCTCTTCCTCTCTCTATATCTTTCTCTCTCTCCCTCTCTCTTTCTCTTCCCCCCTCTCTCTCTCTTTCTCTTCTGGATTCTCTCATTGGCAACAGCTAGGTGGAAGTGATCCTTTCACTCAGGCAGGGATGGCTGTAAATTGCCATTCCTATGGGGAGTGACAGCTTCTAAATTAGATTATCAGTGATAAATCAATCATCGCCAATCAATATCATTATCAGTAGGACCTTCATAGGGACCTTGCTCTGGGGAATATACACTGTGCAGTGTGTACACATGGATGTCAGACATGAATTATGTCTAGACTGTTGCTACAATACCTTTGTCCGTCTGTCTGTGTGTAGTGTATGTACAGTTTACCGTCCAATTCTTCAACATCTTCACTAGATAGTAAACAATTCTTTCCTTATAAGAAACAGACTATTTTCTAATGTCACATTTGTTGCAATCATTATCCTTATCACAATGAAAAATGTATATCTAAATCATTATTACAGATATACATTTACATCCACAGCACAATATTTTCTGATCAAGTTCTATTGTTGGAAATTTGTATGGTTCAGTTCAGTTCATTTTATTTCCATTTCTCGTTTAAAAAATACATGTACTGTATGGTATGAGTCCTAATTGATGTGTAATCAAATGTCAATGCTGTTTCAATTCATGCATGCAATTTTAATAAACAGAGCATACTGTTCATTTACATACATGTATGCAGTAAATAATGCCTTTAAATGAAGTAATAATGAATACAGCAAGGATGTGATCGTGGGAGTACTGGCAAGGTTAAATCCAACCTGAACAGGAATGCATCAACATGTTGATTTGTAAATTACTGTACATTTCCATTTTACATTTCCAATCCTTACAAGATGTTATTATAATATTATTCATTATTTGCTGAATAGTATGCTACAGTTTTATGCTTTTATGCTCAAAAGTTGAAGAAAATAAATAATTTTTAAAAAATGGTTGCAAGATTGTTTTAAACTGTTAAGTTTATCTCTATTCTCTCTCCCTAAATGTCTATTAATTTGATAATTTTACCATGCTCATTTCTTTACCCCTATCTTAAATGTCAAAGATTCACATATTCTAGAGTAGAAATTACCTTCAGACTCGGTCAAATACCAGTATATGCATCTATAACCGACAGACATTTCATAGGCAGGCAGGCAGGAAGGAAGCGAATTTGATACCAGCATTTCTATGAATGGCATTCACACATCCTGTCTTTGAAGGCCCAGGATAATTGCAGGCCCCCTCTAATCTTAAGAGCAATGCAATGGATTCATTACATCATAAGCATTTCTTTGGTACTAAAAATTCTAAAAAATTGTCTGTAGACTGTAGGGCTATATTGTATCCTTTTTTTCAGTAAAAGTTAAGAGTTGCATCATGTGTATCTGGACAAGTGATAGAAGAAAAGCTGTCAAGTTTGCCAATGGATTATTACGAAATGGATAAAGTATTACACCAACTATGATTAATATTTGTCTTCATATTGCCAATGTGGTGCTCCATGGTTTGCTAAATTTACAGTAACAATTTCCCTGGGCTATATTTAATCAAAAGTAAAAGTAAAAGGCTAGGGTTGCAATTGGGTTTTAGATTAAATTTAGGTTTAGGATTAGGATTAGGTATACTGTAGTGTTGGGCTGAGGGTTTCTTATTTGAGAATGATCGGTTCTAATAATTGTCCAAAAACACAATAGGGTACATACCATGCCTAAATAACTGCATGCATGCTATGCCTACATGATATTGGGTCAATTTTCAAAGTGTGAACATGATTTCAGATTAACATTTTTACAAATATTTGTAATGAGTGATCCAACTCATTTTTGAAAAATGTGACCTGCAACTTTATTAAACATTTTGCTGGTCCTACTGTATCTATCATTAAATATATTTATCTATCTACTACTGGGATTCAGAGTTGCACTTGACAGTTTCTCCCTAAATGCATTTTTCATTATCAGACATAAGGCCTTTAAAGCATTATCATAAAAAACTTCAAGCAAACAACCTGTTATGTTTGGGACCTGCGAGCACTTAGAGTTTCAGATACCTTATCCAGTCTGCACTTGCTCTCCTCGTATCGCATTCCCAATATAAACATCCAAAATGTCAAACAGTACTTGGCAAAATCAATTAGGTTTTCTAACGAGATTGCCACGGCAGGCTCTGCGGCTAACGTGACTTGCTAGGGAATTGAATTCATCAATACAATTTGGGAGGGTTGTACTATGCGCATACCTAAGCACGTATGAGTTTGGGTTAAAAAGTAGTCAAGAAATCTTCCGGGAAAAACCATGCTTTGATTACATGTATTCCAATATTCAGCACTCAGCAATGAGAGAGAAACACTGACCTCTATTTTCTAGATACAGTTTATTCTGTCTTGTTTTTGCAACTCTTTTCCATGTAATATTTTTCTCACATTTCATCATATATTGTGTAAACAGTTAACAGTCATAGTATGATCTTAAAATCAATCAATCTGGACAGAATTTACATAAATTTGCCTTTGAATAGAGAAATTCAAAAGAACAACAATTAAAGCTGCATGTTCTTTTAGAATCCTTTACATACATATTTTAGTAATCTAGTTGATAATAACAAAGCCATAAAATGGCACAAAAATACATAAAAACATACATGTACAGATTAGATTAAACAAGGAACATTTCTTCCATGGAGGAGTGCTTTGTGATTAACCCAAGTACATCAGACTCGAAGGTTTCTTGTCTAAAAAAGCCAAGACATACTAAATGTGCATGAGTGAGAGGTATCTCGTGTAGCAGTCCTTAATTTTAAAAGGAAATTCAAAGACACTACTCATGATACCCTTACATACAAATGTACATGTACAAGATGTTGTTAAAAGATCCTTTGTAAATAAGAAGTATTCTTGGTTTCTTCCCAGTGGCAATGCAGTGCTCACTTGAAATTGAAGTGCCCTGTACTTGTACATCTCATTTCATGCTTCTCCCCCCCCCCCCTTTCCTACTTTTCTAGTTTCACACATTGTACATGTTCTTTTTAGGCATGCACAATTGCTTTGTGAAGTACATGTACATGTACATGTATTTATCTTGCTGTTTTGAAAATTTTGGCTCAAAATTTTGGGCAATGTCCAGCTCACAAAAACAGACACATAATAAATTCATTACCGGTAACCAAAATTTAGAAATACCACCATCACCACCAGCAAAAAGGAGAAGCATAGAGTACATTCTTACATGTAAGATGATATCAATTGGATTTTCTCAAAACATCATTGAAGAAGAGAACATACACGTACATGTATCAACAATATTCTAGCAGTTCCTTACGTGAATGAGCTAATCATTCCCTTTAAGGTACAGTACATGTAGATGTGTAAAACCTGCACACAATGATTAAATAAACAATCCCTTCAAGCATGTAATATCCTTGATTGGATATCACACCTCACCTATCAATATAACTTAGTAGTAACAGACCGTACCACAGGGGAAATAAATTACCCATGTCAGATGTCTAGCATGGACTGCTTGGAAGTGATTTTTTGCTTTAAAAAAAAATATATTGTACCCTTTCATTCTCTTTGTGTCAATGTTAGACATGCTACATGTATCATATTTTTGAAATATATGTGAAGAGGGTGGGAGAGGGAGAGGGGAGCAAAGTGATAGAACAGAAGGGGAGGGGAGAGAAAGAGGAGGAAGGGCGAGAGTGATACAAGAAGAGAAAAGAGAGGTACAGGAGTGAGGGAAAGTGAGTGAGGGAAAGTGAGTGAGAGAGAGAGAGAGAGAGACCAAGAGACCAAGAGACATGGAGAGAAAGAAGGGGGGTGGAAGAGACAGATTTATAGAGAGGAGAAATAAATGGAAAGAAAAGGAGGAATATATAGAAGAGAGAGAGAGAGAGAGAGTGAGTGAAAGAGGGGGAGGGGGAGAAAGGGAGGGAGGGGCACTCATCTTACTCATTCAAGATGCCCCCTTAAATATCTACTATTCTAAATTATGTGGTCTTAGTCATTTGTTTTAAAAATCCACTGTTTTTCTATTCTTTGCTGGTCACTTCTCGATAGATCTACTACTTTATACAAATCTATACTGTCTAAATTATCATTTGGTTTTGATTTGATTTCGTTTTTTCTCCCCACTTTACATATTTCTCTTCTTTCTTTTTTTTTCGGGGGGGGGGGGGGATGGGGGAGGGTAGATACCGTTTTAACTTTCCAAAGATAACTCTTCTTCCTCCATCATGAAAAAAAATAATGTATGGCACATTCACATACACTGACATCACAACACACACACACACCAAAAAAAACAAGCATCCCTAATTTTGTGTTTTATTTCTCACCTCTGTCAGAAGCCAAGGGTTTGCATTGACGAGTTCATCCCAGTTAACCTCCTCTGTTACCGTGGCGCCACGGTACGGTGCGACCGATGCTGATTTGAGATGCCTTCCCAGAAGGGCTTTACCTCCTGCTTCTCGGATTGCTTTCGCTGACATCCTGAGATGGGTTGAGTTACTCACAGATGGGTTTCAGTAGGAAAGAGAAAAGGATGTGACTTGATCTGGAAATATAATTTGAGAAAAATAGGAGAAAGGACATTTCAAATAATTCTGCGGCAGCTTTATAGCAAAATTGGAATCGCAATAAATGCAGACTGACATACTAAAGCTTTTCATCTTGAATCCATCAGAGTAAATTATAAGAATGAATGAACAGAAAGTAGAGTACTGGAAATGGAAAAAGAAAGTGAAATTAATTTCACGTTACAGCATAAAATTGTAATTCCAAGGATTAGTATTAACAGCTTTCCCAAGTTTATTTGGAATTGTGACTGAAAACTAGAGTTTAAATGTACAGGTAAAGTCATGTAGACAGATCCTTCTCTGCCTGATTATTTCCAACCAATATTCTACAACTAGATGAAGCACTGATCAGTCATATTTTAAATATGTTATTTGTAGACTGTAGCAGGCCTTATAAATGTATATCTAATAAATTCCTTTGAATAGTACTAAATCATTGCCTCAACAATATACAGTGTGTATAACTGGTGAGGATTTGTCGGTATTTCTAATATTGTCTGTACACAAATCAATGAGAAAGTATACATTTTCAGTGATGACATACAGTGTACATAAACTAATGTGAAAGTACTTTAAGAGCGGCGGTTTTAGTAACGCTTGGTCCAAATATTCATCAATTCAAACAACAGCACATACAACTTTTATACCTGTGATTGCACTGTAGTCACCAAGAAGTAATATTCCCAATCTTCAGCTACATGTACATGTATGAGGTAGAGGTGGCAATGAATGAATCAATGTGCTATGAAGCTATTTTAGCATGTAAGAGCAGTGTGTCTACTTGTGGGAGTACCCTCAAATAAAAGTTGATGTTTGAAAGTAACACCAGCAACTATTTTTGGCTGGTAGTGTGTGTATTTTAAAAGAGAGTCATGGTATTCTCTCCATTGCATTTATAGGTACATACCTGTGCTTACATGTACATGTACATTCTGATACACACCTCACAACCAATTTTTATATTAAAGATAAGTATGTACCTGTAGGTTTAAATTACAAAAGAGTTCCCAAATCTATCCAAAACCATCCTCATGAAATCAACAATTTTATTCATCTTTAGAATTAGAAGCTTTAAAATTTACTCAAAATAGTGAATATTACATATTAGTTGAATATCTGTGGAAGTGGTCCCCGAAGTCTCAGACCATGACTGTCCTATCGTGGAGTTGGATATGCGACCTCCTAGACAACCGCAAGTGCGTAGAAAGATTCTGATGTACAGTACTCTAAGGCTAACTGGGACAAGGCAGACAGTGGAACTATCAATGATCTGTGGACTGCCTTCAAGACTGGAATAAAAAGAGGGGTACAGTTGCACATCTTGCAGTCTTGCAGCAGCAATTCCTTTCTTCCATGAATTACCAACAAGATAATCTTGACAGCTCATCAAGAAAAGAGACAGGCTGAGCAAGAGCATTAATGACTTGCCAGTCAAGATGTCTTCGACTGTCAGGCTCTTTGCTGATGATGCTATCATGTATCTGACCATCCAGACACAACAAGATGCAAATGCTAGGAAGATCTGAATGCACTCTAGGCAACTGGGCTTCAGACTGAAAGATGCAACTTAACACCCTGAAATGCAAGGTCATTACTGTCCATAGGAAAGAACTTGCATCAATCAGCCACCAGTACTCGTTGAATGGTGTTGCTCTGGACTCTGTGACACACCCACCAAGTACCTTGGCATCACCATCACACAGGACCTGAAGTGGAATCAGTACATGGCCGGCACCTGCCAGAAAGCAAACACCAGCCTTGCTTTCCTCAAGAGAAATCTGAAGATAAAACTCTCCTGCAATAAAGACCCTGGCGTACAAGGCCCTTGTTCGTCCATTAATGGAGTTTGGAAGTGCAGTATGGGACCCTTCTGCCCAAAGATCTGTTGACCAGTTGGCAATAGTCCAAAGACCATTGATATTCAGAGCCTGAAGCTTTCAGAAAGTTAGAACAAATCTATGCCCCCAAAAATAGTATGGTAGTGTGACCGTAAATGTACTCTGCACATGACCCAAGATTGCGCACAGATCCATACTTTAGCTTGTAAAAATCTAGTGCCAACATTTTCTTTAAAATTTGGTGAGAAATTATAAAATTATTGACTAAAGATCAACAAATTTTGCAGTCTTTTGCATCCATTTAGATAAAAATGGAATTTAGATAAAAATGGAATTTATCATCATTGACAAGGAATCTTTACTTGATATCATCCAAGTGATAACAACTGATTGGATAATATTTTGCCTTAAAATCTACTGTATGCAATTATCTTGCCTTCAAATTTGATGGATAGCTAAATCTATCAGCTGTACATGTAAGCTCTCATGCATGAATTAAGGACTTGCTGTTATTATGACCCCGATCTGACATCAAATTTTGAGATTGCAATATCGCCAGAATTCTTGTTTACACATTTTCTGGTTGAACTCATTTCCAGTCAGAGTCTACAAATTTTGCTGTCATTTGGTTGTAATTGATGATACAAATTTGTGGAGAATAAGAAAAATCATGTATCGAATATCACATTCTCAAATCTTAACTTTTTTTTAATGTGGACAAACTTTAAACACCCCTGCCCGGCCCAGCTACTCAGGTAATATACAGTAAATTATCAGCCCTACCATAATAACCTTACCGGTGGGAAAAGAAAGACCATGGCCCAGGCCCAGGGCATGGGCTTGGCAATGCAAATAGTATTAATATCAATAATGCTTGTGATGCCATGAAGCACTGCCATGCCACTACTCAGCTCTGTCCACCAACACTGCAATGTCAATGTGTGGAGTGAACGATGGTTTCCTATTTCACGATAATGCTGATATAACTGACTTTACATTCATGACCTAGAGAGTCGATGTTAATAGACAACAAGCTTAAATAATCTAAATAATGCCATTAATTGCGCCATCAATGGCAGTGCCAGTGAAACAGCTGAGCTGAGCTGAGCTGCGGATGAGCTACCAGAAACTGAGAGCCTGCACACGGTTGAGCTCTGGGGGGTTGGTATGTGCACATTACGCACAAATCATTCAACAAAGCATCGACAAAGTACCACAAATTCACGTCTTGGTTCACTCCATTATAAACGCCGATGCATATAAATGCCCTTAGAATATACCAAATAAATAAAATGTTTTCTCTATACTCACTGAATATCTGGATTTGCAGTAAAAACAAGGTTTTTAACGTAACACTCGGGATCCTCAGACCACATCCAGCGAAGCTTCTAGCAGAAGACACGCGGTCATCACGCGAGCTAAGCGTGTGTATTATATGCATCATGATCGAATGATCGGTGACCTTACTTAGTCTTTAATGAAGACCCTGAGTTACTTATTTTCAACTTTTGACAAAATACACAACAAGTAAACAACATAAACAGGCGCGGATCCAGGATTTCCCAATAGGGGGGGCCGGAAATTTGAAAATTGCGCAGACAGTTTTTCAACTCAACATACCAATACTAACAAGGTCATATTAGAAGCACCATACCGGTAATTTTTTTTTGACATTTTCATCGGGGGGGGGGGGGGGGGGGGGGCTGAAGCCTCTTGCCCGAAAAAGTAATTTTCTGGTTTCACAATTCGGCTAGTGAGCGAAGCGAGCGAGCAAAAATTTGAGGATAATATCTATTTTGTGAAAGTGTTATTTATCACCAAAATACACGAGAAAAGATATAACAAATTCACATTCAGGCAGCTCGCTGTCCCCTCCCCCCCCCCCCCCATTACGCGCGAAGCGCAGAAGCTTTAATGTTCATGAAATTATTAGAGAAAGAAGAGGATTCGTTGTACCGTTCTCGGTTGTTAATCATTGTCTGAATTCAGTTTCACTACCCCCTCCCGCGCGAAGCGCGGAAGCTTTGACGTTTCATTAAATTATTAGAGAAAGAAGACGATTCGTTGTACCGTTCTCGGTTGTTAATCATTGTCTGAATTCAGTTTCCATACCCCCTCCCGCGCGAAGCGCGGAAGCTTTGACGTTTCATTAAATCATTAGAGAAAGAGTACCGTTCTCGACTCTTAATCCTTGTATGAATTGAGTCCCCCCCCCCCCCCCCTTCCCTCTCCCGCGCGAAGCGCGGAAGCTTAGACGTTTCTTTAAATTATTAGAGAAAGAAGACGATTCGTTGTACCGTTCTCGATTCTTAATCATTGTCTGAATTCAGTTTCCATACCCCCTCCCGCGCGAAGCGCGGAAGCATTGACGTTTCATTAAATCATTAGAGAAAGAGTACCGTTCTCGACTCTTAATCCTTGTCTAAACTGAGTTCCCCCCTCTCCCGCGTGAAGCGCGGAAGCTTTGACGTTTCATTAAATTATTAGAGAAAGAAGACGATTCGTTGTACCGTTCTCGATTCTTAATCATTGTCTGAATTTAATTTCCATACCCCCTCCCGCGCGAAGCGCGAAAGCTTTGACGTTTCATTAAATCATTAAAGAAAGAGTACCGTTCTCGACTCTTAATCCTTGTTTGAATTGAGTTCCCCCCTCTCCCGCGTGAAGCGCAAAAGCTTAACGTTTCATGAAATTATTATAGAAAGAAGAGGATTCGTTGTACCGTTCTCGGTTGTTAATCATTGTCTGAATTCAGTTTCCATACCCCCTCCCGCGCGAAGTGCGAAAGCTTTGACGTTTCATTAAATCATTAAAGAAGAGTACCGTTCTCGACTCTTAATCCTTGTCTGAATTGAGTTCCCCCCTCTCCCGCGTGAAGCGCAGAAGCTTTGACGTTTCATTAAATTATTAGAGAAAGAAAACGATTCGTTGTTCCGTTCTTTGTTCTTAATCATTGTCTGAACTCAGTTTCCCCTCTCCCCGCGCGAAGCGCGGAAGCTTTGACGTTTCATTGAATTATTAGAGAAAGAAGATGATTCGTTGTTTCATTCTCGACTCTAAATCCTTGTCTGAATTCAGTTTTCCTCCTCCCGCGCGTAGCGCGTAAGCTTCTGACGCTTCATTAAATTATGAGAGAAAGAAGATGATTCTTTGTCTCATTATCGATTCTTAATCCTTGTTTGAATTCATTTTCCACCTTCCGCGCGAGGCGCGGAAGCTCTGACCTTTCATAGTTTAATGAAATTATTAGAGAAAGAAGATAATTCGTTGTTCCATTCCCGACCCTCAATCCTTCTCTGATTCAGATTACCCCCTCCAGCGCAAAGCGCAGAAGCTTAACGTTTCATTAAATTATTAGAGAAAGAAGACGATTCGTTGTACCGTTCTCGATTCTTAATCATTGTCTGAATTCAGTTTCCATAATCCCCTCCCGCGCGAAGCACGGAAGCTTTGACGTTTCATTAAATCATTAGAGAAAGAGTACCGTTCTCGACTCTTAATCCTTGTCTGAATTGAGTCCCCCCCCCCCCCTCTCTCCCCGCGCGAAGCGCGGAAGCTTTGACGTTTCATTGAATTATTAGAGAAAGAAGATGATTCGTTGTTTCATTCTTGACTCAAATCCTTGTCTGAATTCAGTTTTCCTTCTCCCGCGCGTAGCGCGTAAGCTTCTGACGCTTCATTAAATTATGAGAGAAAGAAGATGATTCTTTGTCTCATTCTCGATTCTTAATCCTTGATTTGTTGTCCCGTTTTAGACTTGTCAAAAATGTTTCTTTGTCTGCTCCTTTTTTCGTCCTATAAGTCCTCTTATACTGCCCCTACCGCCCCTAGCTACGCATGCTTTAAAGAGAAAATGAAACAATCATGATTGTGATAGCATACAATTAGGTCAGTAGAAATGAAAGGGGAAAAAAGATCTATGTATACACCAACCATGAAATAATCGCGACCGGGAGCGTCATATATCTTAGTTTTGTGTTATCGGGCGAGGGCCGGAGCGGAGCGACCAAGCGAGATTTTGCAATGTAGAATGCTGAAATTATGCATTCTAGAAAATCCTTTAGTCCAATATGTACGTTCTTTCAGTTACATGTATATTTCTTTCTAGCTATATATCTAAATTTCCGGGGACGTGTCCCTCTATCGGGCCCAGGATCGCCGCCGCTGTCCATTATCACTACCTACATGAGTTCAAATATAAGCACAAGCGAGTTGGTATGAGCTGAATCCAAATGAAGGGCAAAATAAGAATTGTGAAGCGGCCCTACCGTTAATTTAAAATTTGACTGTGAATATACCTTCTATTTGAAAGACATCCAAAACATTGTGCCCTTTTCAATTTTTTTTAAAAGCAGGGGCTGTTTGTAACGTTTAACTTTGAATCCGTGGCTCGAGATTTTATGCGGCCGGCCCGGCCCCCTCTATTCAATAACGTTTCCCAAGCCTTCTGGAATGACCCCAAATCTCCCGATTACAGTTTTTCCCTTATTCGTCGTTACTGTCACTTAGCGCCATTTCCTTGTCTTCCCCCCTTTCTCACCCGACTTTTCTCTTCCCCTTCCCAGCCCCCCCCCCCCCCCCCCCCCCACCACGCTCAGTGTTATCTAGGGTATGCGCATGTATGTTCCCTCTCTTAGTTTGAAAGCACCCCTTTATCTTCGGTGTGTAGAGTCAGTGCGGGCCGGATTTGTGTGTATTACGGGCCGGACTTTGTTGCGTGAAAAGTAACCCTTCATCGGAAATTTTGGGAACACAATTAAAATCGGTCCCTCCGACCCCGGAGTGGGAGTGAGGTGGGGGGGGGGGGGGGGGAGGGTCTTCTTCTTTTTTTTTCTTTCTCTCTCTCTCTCTCTTCTTTCTTTTCTCTTCTCTTTTCTTTTCTCTTCTCCTTTCTTTTCTCTTCTCCTTCTTTTCTTCTCTTCTCCTTTCTTTTTTTTTTCTCTTTTTTTTGCGCCGCCAATAGGGGGGGCCGCGGCCGTTTCGGCCCCCCCCTGGATCCGCCACTGCATAAAGTTGTTGATTTTGATTTTGAGAGAAACAGTTATTGAAACGAGATAAAATAGAACGTATGCATAGGTAATTTTGATATACATATTTGAACTTCACACTATCATCAATTTTATGACTCGTCGCAGTGTAAAATGGGTCCGTCGGTGTAGACTAAAAAATTAAAACGGTACTCGGACTGTCCATCCATCCACCATCCAGGGCGTGGTCCAGAGAGGTGAAGGGGTGCGGTGACACCCCTCCCGAAACTCATGTCAGACCCCCAAAACAGCAGGACGAACTTTTTAAATGTCTTTTGTAAAACTTTTGCAATTTGCTTTCATTTTCATTTCTGCTGCTGTTGTATAGTCTGGGAAGTTTGGTCAGGAGTTGTTTTTTGTTTAAGTAAAAGAAATAAATTTTGTTGGTTTCTTTTTTGTTTTCCGGTTTGTTTTCTTGTCACAATTATTTCTTCTTCGGATGTGTGCCCCCCCCCCCCCCCTCGCCTGCAGCAAGAGTATGGATCCGCAAATGAAATTGCTATGGAGCATGAAGGTCTTTATAGGGGGAAAGATAGTACGCAACATTTAGGCTATTAATTAAGCTCCTCTCCTATTTGCTTTATACAGTGTAGGCCTATACATACATTTCATAAACTTTCATTTTCTTCGTATTTGATGACGGAATATATTTGTTTCCATACAGGGGTTGGGAAGAAAAATATTTGCAATAATTACATTGATGTTGCATGTATGGTCGAACATTTTCTTGAGGGAAATGTTTTAATTGTGTTTTAGTACAGAGCAAAATGGGAGCGGAATTCGCAATATACGTGACAGAGTTCCCTGGAAATTTGTTTTTGATTGATCGCAACTTTAAAACTCAAAGCTTTCTTACTTTAAATCAGAATTTGCTCAAACTCTCACTGGCCTGTTCCTCTCATTTTTCAGCTCCTTTTAAATAGCAAAAACGAACTTAACATCAGGATGGGACTGCCCAGATCCCGCCGGGGACGGATCTAGCTTTTTGCCAAGGAAGGGGGGAGGGGGTTGACGCAGTGGCGGATCCAGGTTTTTCCAAAAAGTCGCGCCGTTTTACTGTTTTACTTTTCTTCTCCTTTTTCCCCCCTTTTTTTTTCTTCTCCCCCCCCCCCCCTCGTTTATTCAGACCATAATTCTTTCACTATGCCGTCTATTTGCACGACACGTTTAAGATCTTTTGCAGCCAACATCAAATTCTATAGAACTTTGCAGGAATTTTGAATAAGTCATATATATAATCGCAGTGTCCTAGTATTCAACTAATGCTAGGAAACCCGTTTACTTTCTAGACTTCACTGTCAAACCCTTAGGTTTTGAGGAAGTTCTTAATAAGTATTGTCTTTCAAATGCCGTTTGAATTCAACCTTTTCATTTTTTGACCTGCAAATGGAACTTTCTGAGGACATAAACCGATGAGCAAGCATATAGTTGAACAGCGCCACCTTTCTGACTATCCCTTTTGACCACCATGCAGGGTGTACAGAGTCATTGCGTAGTGAACTTTACTGGCTCATAATTATGTTTCTTTTATCTTTCCCCTTTTTTTTTATTTTTATTCATTTGGATTGGTCACTATATCCGTCCTCCATTCATTACCATAATTATTTCACCGGGGCCTACAGCTTGACAAGCTTGTTTTCACGTATTTCTCTCAGTTAAATCAGTACTCTATTGACCACTTATCTTTGTTATTTATTTTGTATTATTGATTGTTATTTTATCACACACCAAAAAACAAACTTGTACTTTATTTTGAAATGTATATGTAACATGAGAAATATGAAAATAAATGAAATGAAAATTAAAAATGAAAAGATATAGGTTTTCATGGGAAATTTGACAATATTGACACCATTCGGGTGTTCACCCAATAACAGACTGCTGTTGTCACTCATCCACCGTGCCAGGAGTGGACTTTAATTTTCCGACAAAAATGTCATGTATAGTGGACTCTGCTCTAGCCTACAGCCATAAGAAATTCTTATCACTCAAATTTCCCTCACCCTCGAGATAGGTATGAAGACAAAAATTCATGTTAAACAGTATTTCTGGTGGGACCACGGGTCCCCTTTCTACGTAATCGTCCCAGTAATAATGATGATAATGAACTTGCCGAAATCATTTCTATTATGTATAGTTGTCAGGGACAACAATATTTGATCCACTTTTATTTACCCCCCCCCCCCCCCACAAAAAAAAAACCCGCATGAAAGTGTTAGGGGTTATGTTTATAAAGGTCTAGATACTAGGGCTTTTTACTTGTAATATTTTTTTCCGTTGACTATACTGAGGAAGATCCTGTCAGATTGAAAATTGTATAGGTACGTCAAATTGTTTAACCTCAGTTATTTAGAACATGGCGTCATAATTATTGTGAATCATCAACTTCTAAGAATACCGCTATTTATCAACTATAATTATCTTGTTATTATTAATGACACGTGATAAACCATGTAGAAAAAATAATTATCACCACAATCACTTATTGCCTATAGGCAATGGTCAAAGGGTCAAGAAGTCTAGGACTTTCACATTTGTACGAATAAATACAGTTTAAGACTGAAATTCAATAATAGAAAAGGACTGTAGATTATTATTATTAAAAAAACAATCCCAATCTGGTCAAGATAAATGCCGTGATGACAAGTTACCAGTGGCGGATCCAGGGGGGGGGGCCCGGGGGGCCCGGGCCCCCCCCCTTGAGAAAAAATCATGTAAAATCACGTGATTTTTACCTTTTTTGGGGGTTGGGCCCCCCCCCTGGCGCTCAAGGGGGGGGTGCAAATTGAAATTTTTTTTGAGGATCAAAAAAAAAATGTGTGCTCACTACCCCCCCCCCCCCCCCCCCCCCCCCCCCCCCCCCCCCCCCCCCCCCCCCCTGAGCGAATTTTTGGCCGGCGCGTTTTTCAAATTTTCGGGAGCAAAAAAAAAAAAAAAAAAAAAAAAAATTGTGCTCTGTACCCCCCCCCCCCCCCCCCCCCCCCCCCCCCCCCCCCCCCCCCCCCCACTGAGCGACTTTTCGGCCGGCGCGATTTTCAAATTTTCGGGAGCAAAAAAAAAAAAAGTTGGGCCCCCTCCCCTAAGAAATCCTGGATCCGCGCCTGCAAGTTACGATAGACATTTACGTACACCATACACGATTTTGAAGAGCGCCATCTAAAACAAACAGACACTAATCATTGACAACAAACAAGGATTGAGCCTGCTGAGCTGATCCTCGGAGGATATCTAGGAGGACCAACCAAGTCAGTTTCTTTCTCGGGAGCTGAGAAGTACCAATTTCGAAAATTGACAGTCATAATGGCTGCTGAAACATCTTGGATTTGGAGTGAATGGTTTTGGCTACCGTCTAATGTTTCATGGTCAGACCTTAAAAACACTGACAAGGCCGTTTATCCTCAGATTAATGATCTCTCTGTAATTTTTCCGTTAGCCGTTGCACTTCTTCTCATCCGCACTGCTTTCGAACGGTAAGTGGCTCTTATTTTGCTTTTCGGTGGGTGTTTAGGCCTACACCGCCGCGTGGAGTTACCATGGCGTAACGAACCAGACCAGGGCGCGCCGCACCGGGTCGGTAATTCATGAATAATTAGACTGTCACTTATATTCAATTAACTGTAGTGTTACTGTTTGATAAATGTTCACCAATAACATGGGTTTAGTCTGCATGGATAAGGTTTAATAGCCCTAACCCTTAAACAAGGTCGGGTATTTTGAGGGTTTCTAAGACTAATCAGGGGCGCTGGGGGGGGGGGGGGGCATCATGATCATGACACCCCCCCCCCCCCCCCCTTAGGCTAAGATCTTGGCTATGGTTGGTGATATGAAGATGAAATTTGGTACACATATTGAAAAGCCAAAGGGGAATACTGAACAACATGACAACAATATTTGTTTCAATATTTTGCTTTATTTTTTTATAATTAATTTATTTCTTAAACTTATGTAATAACTACCGGTAGGTCTAGCTAATATAAAATGCATTTTGGGGTCAAAATGTCCAAAACATACTTGTAGACCTACTTCTTTTGCAGTTACTTTTACATTATAAAATAGTTGGAAAATTAGTTTGGTGAGAAGTTCAACTTCATAGATACATATTAGTAGGCCCCAGTACAAACAAAATGTTAGTTCATATTTTATTTGTATTTCTTTGTTTACTTTTAATTCCTTAGTTTTCTATCGACATAATATGGTTTGACCATTAATAATAATAATGATAATAATAATTAAACATTTTTATATAGCGCATAACACATAGGCAAAATTGCATGTCTCTATGCACTTTAAGAAAAGAAAAGAAAAATGCACTGAGTTCATGATTCTGATTATTTATGAAGTGGTGAAGAGATATGTTTTCAGAGAATTGATAAAGGTTTTATAGGATCCTATGCTTTTCAGATGTTTAGGCAACTTGTTCCACATTCTAGGATATTCAAGAAAATATGTGAGAATGAACAATAACAATAATGTAAAAAAATATAATGCATATAAACTATACCGTACATTATTTTTAATTTTCTTTGTTTTTCATCGTTTAAAAAAAAAGTTTTCTATTTTTTAAATATATTTTATTTTTCTATTGCTGGATGAACCTAAGATAGCTACATGTAGGTCTCACTTAGTGTTTTTTTTTTCTCGAGAGGGGAGGGGGGGGGGGGAGGGGTTGATTTAAAAAAGTGGTGCTTCATACCACCCCCCCCCCTCTCTAGTTTGCAATGATAGATCCGACTGAAATGAGAAGGCACACGGTATACACAGAAACAATTTTTTTTGGAACCACCAATTTGATACTTAAATATGATAATAGTAATTAGTGTAAAAAGGCACACGCGCAGGGCAAATTGGCAATGCAAAAAAAATCTGAATCTGAACAGTGAACGTTTAACTTCAGCGTTGAACTGTCTGTCTAGACACCCGCCCTTATACGTTAACTACCTGGTCCATGCAGGTGAAGACTTACCATTACCGTTACATCTTATCAAATATCAAATTTGTATTAGCCCATAGGAAAGAAATGAGCCTGCCGCATACTCCTGCGGCAGACTTGCCGCAGATCTGCGGCAGACCTGCCGCAGACAGTCATCTTTTTCACATGCAAATTAGTTTTGCCGCAGACTTGCCGCAGACTTGCCGCATACTCTTTCAGTATGATGAAGAGTCTGCGGCAGGTCTGCCGCAGACTTGCCGCATACTCTTTCAGTATGATGAAGAGTCTGCGGCAGACCTGCCGCAGACTTGCTGCAGACCTGCCGCATACTCTTTCAGTATGATGAAGAGTCTGCGGCAGGTCTGCCGCAGACTTGCCGCATACTCTTTCAGCATGATGAAGAGTCTGCGGCAGACCTGCCGCAGACTTGCTGCAGACCTGCCGCATACTCTTTCAGTATGATGAAGAGTCTGCGGCAGGTCTGCCGCAGACTTGCCGCATACTCTTTCAGTATGATGAAGAGTCTGCGGCAAGTCTGCCGCAGACTTGCTGCAGACTTGCCGCATACTCTTTCAGTATGATGAAGAGTCTGCGGCAGACCTGCCGCAGACTTGCTGCAGACCTGCCGCATACTCTTTCAGTATGATGAAGAGTCTGCGGCAAGTCTGCCGCAGACTTGCTGCAGACTTGCCGCATACTCTTTCAGTATGATGAAGAGTCTGCGGCAGGTCTACCGCAGACTTGCTGCAGACTTGCCGCATACTCTTTCAGTATGATGAAGAGTCTGCGGCAGACCTGCCGCAGACTCTTCATCATACTGAAAGAGTATGCGGCAAGTCTGCGGCAAGTCTGCGGCAAAACTAATTTGCATGTGAAAAAGATGACTGTCTGCGGCAGGTCTGCCGCAGACTTGCTGCAGACTTGCCGCATACTCTTTCAGTATGATGAAGAGACCTGCTGCAGACCTGCCGCATACTCTTTTATATCCAGTACGTGGCAATAAAGTATGCATGTAGAAGAACCAGTGATAAACTGATTGATACTTCATAATCAATATTGGCAATATCGATATTACCAATTAGGTAATACCAATATATATCGATATTACCAATTAGGTATATTCTATTCTCAATTGTATTAACTTCATCACATTGATCATTTGAAGTGTATTCAAGAGTAACATTTAAAGTGACACAGGCTCGTACACATATATATACTAAATATGTATATTGTTTCTTGGTTAGTAATCATAGTTTCTTGGTTAGTAATCAATATATCTATTGCTTAAACATGAATGTAATTGTAACATGATCAGAAAAAATAATCTATTGGTTAATAATGGCAAAAGGAAAATAGAAATCACAAAAATGATGTGCATTGTCTTAATTTGCTTAACAAATCATGATAAATGTATTTTTCTGTCACACGTGTAAAGTAATAATGAATATGCATGAGATGATTGGTTTCAATTGGCCCTATTAGACTTTAATGGGATTTCCTGTGGCAGACCTGCCGCAGACTGTTCCTGTGGCGTACTGGTATGCGGCAAGTCTGGAGCAAAGTTTCGCCCTGCCGCAGATCTGCTGCAGACTGTTCCTGTGGCATACTAGTATGCGGCAAGTCTGGAGCAAAGTTTCATCCTGCCGCAGATCTGCCGCAGACTGTTCCTGTGGCATACTAGTATGCGGCAAGTCTGGAGCAAAGTTTCATCCTGCCGCAGATCTGCCGCAGACTGTTCCTGTGGCATACTAGTATGCGGCAAGTCTGCAGCAAAATTTCATCCTGCCGCAGATCTGCCGCAGACTGTTCCTGTGGCATACTGGTATGCGGCAAGTCTGCAGCAAAATTTCTTTCTGCCGCATACTTCGGCATACTCTTTGCCGCAGACTAAAAGTCTGCGGCAGGTCTGCGGCAGATCTGCGGCAGGTCTGCGGCAGGTCTGCGGCATACTTTTCACTTTCCTATGGGAGGTCCTTAGGAAGATAATGAGCAAGATAATTCTATTGTTTTTTGAGATGTTGCCAGCTTTGAGATAAATGGGTTGATTACTTGATTTGAGAGTTGTAAAAGGTGTTTTACAGTGAATGCAATCATGTGTTTTCTGTTTTTCTACCTGTCATCAATGTTCAACTAAACCTGACCCTGGGTATCAGATTATTTTTAACAAGGGTAAGACATAATCCCAAGACTCAAGAGGTTAAATATTAGTACTCAGGGGAAAAAATACACAGGGGCACTAGGGCACAAGGCGAAATAGCCCCTGAAATGCCAAAAAGAGCCCCTGAAAGTCATAAAAGAGCCCAAAAAAACTTGAATAGAGTTCAATGCAAAACAAATTGAAGAGTGTTATTTTCATGCACGCAAGCTTGTAAAGTAGCCCCCAAAATTTTTAAAGCATTTTTCCCTGATTAGTAGCATAATGACCAGTGTCAATATTTGCACACACACATGTATGATGATACGTGCGACTAAACTACTATCTTTCAAATTATCAGATTATTTTGAACAAGGGGAAAACTTAATCCCAACTTCTCAAGATAGTAATATGACCAGTATCAATATTTGCACATAGATATATGATGATACGTGCATCTATGTGAGCTTTTGAAGCCTACTATCTGTTGATTATTAATTAGGACAGAGTACGGTCGTTAGTTATAAAACTCATATGTACCTGTTACTCTAATACATGGTGTTATTGTGGTATATTTCCTGATACCAAAGCAAATATTATATCATTTGAGACAATCCTTTTTGCTCCAATATAACAAAACAAAGTATACTGAATGAGATTTTCCTGTTCATCATTTGGTGTTTTAGTAAAGAAGGGAACTTTTCAGATTCGACTATACCAGTAGTAACCTTAGTATATTAGTAAACAGAAAGGGGTGGCCTCCAGTTATATTAGAACTTTAGAAGCATAGTATGTGAGCCTTTAACAAAAACTACAAACCAGTGGGGAAAATTATGCAAGGCCAATTGGGGCAATTGGTCACTGACATAAATTTTTGAAATCTTGTTACCCAATTAATTACCAAGGATAAGCAAATAATCCTGATTGAACAAAACAAACTTTCTTATTGTATAGCCTGTGCATGTGCAAGCATGCCTCCAGGGCATTGAAGTCAAGCGTTAAAAATTGATGTAATATTGATTTACGGTAACTGATTTTTATTTCTTCTCAATATGTAGGATATACCCCTAACCTCCTGTTCAGGTAAAAATAACATGTAGAATTGTAGATACATTTACTTTTATATACAAAAGTAATTGAATCAACTTAGAAAGTTATAATTAAGTAATGAGCATTCTTCTAGTTTCAGTTTGCTGGGTTTGCCAGTGTTGTTGTGCGAACGCCATGTACACGTATGTATTTGTACTTTTTATAAGAATAGTATTTAACCACCGACTTCCCTGCCAAACAAATGTCATTATCTTCCATGCCCTTTGTATGCCCATCACTATGTGCTTATTGTCTGTGTTTCTATTGTGGGTTCTATTGTGTGACGGTTCATTGAAGGTGGTTATAGCTAGTATGCAAGGACCAGGCATAGACCAAGCTTAGAAAAGTTTGTTCACCTCCGTAGATCAATAATCAATATGGTGTCACATAACAGTTGATTTAAACAAAATGCATTGATCCCCGATTGGCTTTTGAGTTTCTATCAACCAAAGACATGCATAGACCTTGTCTACAGAAGCTCCTGTTTGGATGTTTCTTAGAATAGGAACACGGTTGGAGCGGTTTCGGTAATCTTTCACCCCCATCCACGTTACCCGCCCCCCCCCCCCACTCCGGGGTCGGAATGACCGCATGCGTGTTACCAAAATGTCCGGTAAAGGGGTACTTTTCGTGCGACAAAGTCCGGCCCGAGAATTGTAAAAAAAGGGGTGTATTTGACTTTTCACCCGGAGATTTCTTTAAAAAGGGGGTGTTTTTCTTTTTTCTCTCATCTCTTTGGACTCCAGAGAAATTATTCTGAATTCAAGTTATCGATCTCCGTACAAATAATTATAAATAATTCTTCTGATGATTCAATATTCACTTCAAAATGCTGATTATATTCAGAAGATTTCATTTTTGGGGGCCTGCTAATGGGCCACCCTGCCTATAAATAATGTTCCAACCTCAATTTTTCATCATATCGAATTGCGTAATGCAGGCGAGACCGCTGAGAGCGTTTCCCTTGTTGTGTTTTCTTTTTTATATAGTTTTGTATTTGTTTACTTGTTGAGTTCAATTATTGTTCACGGCCTTGCTGTAAAGCAGATCCTAGCTGATAGCAGGCTTTTTAGCCGTGATGAAATAAATTTAACAAAAAATAAAAACACAACATTATTTCTGAGATTCCCATGAAACTACGGTCAAACCTGCATTAGCAATCACCTGTTTAGAAAGACCACCTGACTATAAAGATCACATTTTTCATTTCCCTTGAATATGGTTTCTCATTGAAAACTAGCTCCACTAAAGGAACCTGTTAATAAAAACCAGTGCCACCTGCAATCCTGCATATAAAGACCACTTTTAATGTTTCCCTTGAGCATTCTTTATACAGGTTTCACTGAATTACAGTGTATGAACTTACTATCTGCTTCTGTTTTCTGTGAAACCAGAACCCTTTGCTAAATTTTACAAATAAAATGTTTGTGAATTTCCCAAATGGTTTAGATTCTTCAAAGTTATCTCCCACAAACTAATCATATCACTATTCAACAATTTTACACAGGGGGTCTAGATTGAAATTTGGTAGGAGTTGTGTCCATTGGAGATGATGGGATCCTTGTGAAATTTATTATCATAATTTGCTTATTAATTAGAAATATTACTTGGGCAAGTTTGGGGGTTGCAGTTCGAAACGAGGGGCCCTTGTTTACTGGGCTGATGTTTATTTGTAAGTGTCACTACAGGTACAGGTAGTATTATACATGTATGTTCCATGAAACTTTGTAGGCCTGAAAACACTGTAGGAATTTAGGGTACAATGTGGAGCTCTATACCTTGTTGGCTCCTCAAAGGGCCAAACCAACAGTTGTTGTAGGTCTACAGGTACAAGGACTCTTTGGTGTCTTGTCCTGCATTGTATGTCTTAGGGCTTCTGTACCTGTGCCACCATGTTAAATGGATGGAACCTCTTCAAGTCTTCACAAATACAAACAATCTGTTTACTAACCCTCATTGGCATGTACTGTACGTGCCTTGTAAAGGCTGGATTACAATACAAAGACAAACATGTTGCACTGAATCAGGATATCTCATACAGATTTTATATCACTGGCTGCCTGCAAGAAGGCCATAAGGCTTAGGCTACATGTATGCAGGGCTCACCTACTAAAAAAATAATTATTGGGGGACCGCGGACTTGAATTTTGAAATATGAAGATGAGGAATGGAGGCATGGATGAAGGCTCCTTAACTGCCAGCCCTGCGTCCAAACCCCAATCTTTCCTTTCTTGGGCGGTAAACATTGATGACAGGTTGCTATGTATTCAAGCCCCAGTCCTTGTTTGCTTCCTTACTATATTGTACACAATGAGTAAAGCTGTGTACATCATTGCCTTTTCTCTCCTACTCAGAGTGTCAATGAGTAAAGTCAACCGTACTCCGGCATTTGATTAAGTTGTGAATACCCTATTGACTGATGTTTGTTTCAGGGTTACTAAAGAAAACCTTTATTGCATGTATGCTGTACATCATGTATGGCCTGTCAAATAGGACTGCTGTATGTCTGAATTATTTTGTTCAGTTTGGTTTTGGTACAAACTTGCAAATTGTATAGGACAGCCTTCAAGGGAGAGGGGGAGGGGAAGGCAGTAATAGATCATCAGAATAGCCCCTCTAGGCCTTCAAAGAGCAAATTAATAAATACATTTATTTTTTTATTTATAGTGCCCTGTGTGTGATGCTGTGCATTGCCTAATTTATATGATGTTTTTTTTTATTTAATACCGGTAATGTTTTGGTATCCAATGACAGGTAAATGTGGACAGCTTAAAGTTTTAGAAGTTTGCTGACCAGTATATAACAAGAGTTTAAAATCTATGCATTGATATATCTGGAGGCAGTTTGCCATATTGAACAGCAACAGTGCATTATGATATAGGTCAATAACTGGGAATTAAGTCTGTCTACTTTACCACTCCCTTTGAATTTTTGCCAGTTCCTGCATACCTCAGATCTACAGGTGGTATAATTCCGTTCTGGGGCCATCCATCGTCTTTTTGTTCTTGTCTTTTGTTCACATCAAAATAGTATCCTGTCCTGCTGCAGTTCAGTCATGCTTTGATACCAATGAATGTAAATCTTTCTGATCTTTAACAATAGACTCACAACTGACCATGGGGCAGATGAAGAAAATTACCATTTTATTCATAGCACTACTATGCTATAAAATCCATGAACCTCTTTGAAGCAACGCCGACCATCACCATCTGATTGAGAAGGTTTACAAGTCGATCTCGAAGAATCAGACAATCTGTTGAAAAATTCATTTCTTCTTTTTTTTCAGATGTATTGCCATACCTTTTAGTCACAAACAGTACCGGTAGTTGGAATAAAAAACAAGAACTATTATGAAGCAACAACAATCGCAATTCTTTAGAAAATTAACAAGCAAGTCTCCAAGAAGTTAAAGAACCCTGACAATATCTTAGAACTTTCATTTTCTTGTCTCTTTCTGTCTCTGATGTGTTACCACACCTCAAAACCTCCATAAAGCAATACCCATCACCATCTTGAGAAGGTTTATAAGTCAATCTCCAAGATCATTAGCATCAATGTTTTATCCGACCCAATGCAAGTCACGTGTGGAGTACCTCAGGGCTCAATTTTAGGTCCTCTTTTATTTGTATTGTACATAAATGATTTAAATCAATCATTTCTATTCTTTTTATTTTTGTCAGTTGTATCGCCACACCTCTTGGGCTCTTAGCTGGAATAAAATCCAAGAACCATTATGACGCGACACCCAGCACCATCCTTGAGAAGGTTTACAAGTCGATCTCCAAGATCATTAGCAATCATTCTTATCATTTCTATTCTCTTTATTTTTGTCAGATGTATCGCCACACCCCTTGGGCTCCTAGCTGGAATAAAATCCAAGAACCATTATGACGCGACACCCAGCACCATCCTTGAGAAGGTTTACCGTACAAGTCGATTTCCAAGATCATTACTCATTAGCAATCTTTCTTATCATTTTTATTCTCTTTATTTTTGTCAGATGTATCGCCAAACCCCTTGGGCTCCTAGCTGGAATAAAATCCAAGAACCATTATGATGCAACACCCAGCACCATCCTTGAGAAGGTTTACAAGTCGATCTCCAAAATCATTAGCAATCATTCTTATCATTTCTATTCTCTTTATTTTTGTCAGATGTATCGCCACACCCCTTGGGCTCCTAGCTGGAATAAAATCCAAGAACCATTATGACGCGACACCCAGCACCATCCTTGAGAAGGTTTACCGTACAAGTCGATTTCCAAGATCATTACTCATTAGCAATCTTTCTTATCATTTCTATTCTCTTTATTTTTGTCAGATGTATCGCCAAACCCCTTGGGCTCCTAGCTGGAATAAAATCCAAGAACCATTATGATGCAACACCCAGCACCATCCTTGAGAAGGTTTACAAGTCGATCTCCAAAATCATTAGCAATCATTCTTATCATTTCTATTCTCTTTATTTTTGTCAGATGTATCGCCACACCCCTTGGGCTCCTAGCTGGAATAAAATCCAAGAACCATTATGACGCGACACCCAGCACCATCCTAGAGAAGGTGTACAAGACAGTCTCCAAGTGCCCAGACAGGAAGCGTCTTGAGGGTCTGGCCAAACAGCTCGACTGGTCAGTTAGAACGATAGAAAGATGGTTCAGACGGAGACGAAACCAGGACAGACCCAGCATGCTTGTTAAATTCACAGAGACAAGGTAAGATCTTTGCAGATATTCCCCAGGGACGGAGAGTTTCCTTACTGGTATTCTTTTTTGGCTGATTAAAGTCCTGTCTTGTCCCAGAACCAGGACAGACCCAGCATGCTTGTTAAATTCACAGAGACAAGGTAAGATCTTTGCAGATATTCCCCAGGGACGGAGAGTTTCCTTACTGGTATTCTTTTTTGGCTGATTAAAGTCCTGTCTTGTCCCAGAACCAGGACAGACCCAGCATGCTTGTGAAATTCACAGAGACAAGGTAAGATCTTTGCAGATATTCCCGGGGATGGAGAGTTTCCTTACTGGTATCCTTTTTTGGCTGATTAAAGTCCTGTCTTGTCCCAGAACCAGGACAGACCCAGCATGCTTGTTAAATTCACAGAGACAAGGTAAGATCTTTGCAGATATTCCCGGGGAGGGAGAGTTTCCTTATCGGCTTACTGGTATTCTTTTTTGGCTGATTAAAGTCCTGTCTTGTCCCAGAACCAGGACAGACCCAGCATGCTTGTGAAATTTACAGAGACAAGGTAAGATCTTTGCAGATATTCCCGGGGATGGAGAGTTTCCTTACTGGTATTCTTTTTTGGCTGATTAAAGTCCTGTCTTGTCCCAGAACCAGGACAGACCCAGCATGCTTGTTAAATTCACAGAGACAAGGTAAGATCTTTGCAGATATTCCCGGGGAGGGAGAGTTTCCTTACTGGTATTCTTTTTTGGCTGATTAAAGTCCTGTCTTGTCCCGGAACTAGGATGGACAGAGCATGCTTTCCAAATTCACAGAGATGATGTAAGATACTTTCAGATATTCCTGGAGACCGAGAGTTTCCTTATTCATTTTCCCCCTTTTTTCCTTACACGAATATATGCTGTTGTACCTGGATATATTGTACCTCGATATGAATGTTGTACCATATGAGATGGGGTGATGTGTTATTTCTCATTAATGAACCCCAAAATAATGAGTATACTCTCGAAATACTCTCTTCCCTCTTAAACAGTAGTCCTCATCATCATTATCATCTCTCCCTGTTTCTCTCTCTCTCTCTCTCTCTCTCCTTCTCTTTCAATTGTCTTGTGTGTTTTCTCTTATTTCACCTTCATGTGCATTTATTTCTCTTTCTCTCTTTCTACATTGTTTTTTAAGTTCCTTCTGTCCCACTCTTTTACAATCTCCAATGTATTCCCTTGGCATCAGTCAGTCTGGCTCTTCTCTTTATACCTCTCTCCCATTCTTCTTGCTGTCTCTGTCTGCCTCTTGCTGTCTTTATGCCGCTGTCTTTTTGCCGCTGTCTTTTTGCCTCTCTCTTTCTCTCCATCTCTCTCTCTCTCTCTCTCTCTATCTCCTCTCCTCTCTTTCTCTCCCTTTCTCCTCTCTCCTCTCTTTTTTCTCTCTCTCTCCCCCTCTCTCCCTCTCTCTCTCAGTCCCTCTCCCTCCTCCTTTTTATCACTTCTTCTCACCTTTATTCACTCATCAGTCATCTGATTTAATTGATCGAAACCCTTTCTTTGATTAATTACTCTCCACCACAGTTGGAGGAGTGTGTTTTACATCGCATCATTCAGCTATGGTATGTACATCGTACCCACTCAACCATGGTTCTGGGACCTTAGACTATGCTGGCAGCATTTTCCATTCCATGTAAGTTTCTTTATGGTTCAACATAGAGTTAAAGGGAAATCCAACCCAAATAGACAACTACTCTAAATGAAAGCAGAACAATCAGAGAATCAAAGATGAAAGTTTCAATTAAATCCGACTAAATATGAGAAAGTTATGAATTTGAAGGTTGTAATCACTATATGTATCCATGGGTAATTTAAATTGGCTGAAGCGGTAATGTCAATGTGATGTAGTGCCGGACTACTTTCCCATCTGTTCCAACATGTAGAATATAAAAATATAGTTCATTGCTCAGGAGGGTCTATTCTTTTTAGAGGACTTATAATAATATGCTATCTATAATATATTTTGAGTAGTGCCTTAAGGGAGAAGGAAGTTATGAGAAAAAAGAAATTAATGATATTTTTGTACACGGCCAATGGGAGATCTATAACTTCCTTACTATTGGTCCGATTCATATCAAACTCTGCCACCTTTCTGTTATTTTTCTACTTTCATACAAATTAATTTATTAAGGGTTGGATTGCCCTTTAGCAATTAAGTTATTCATAACCCTTTTAAATGTAATGTTTTTGTGTTTTTTCTTGACTCAAGAATGAAAGGTGGACTGGTTGAATTAGGGCATTTATTGAATACTTTTAGATGTAAGCAGTGCATATGAAAAAAAAGTGTACCTAACTTTGGTAGCTTCGAACTAAAAAGTTGTAATCTGTACTTGAATTATATTTTATGTAAAAGGGTGACTAATAACCTGTCTAATGATACCATATTCATAATAGTGCTGCCACAGATAAATGAGCAGGTCAAAATCCTCTTGTACCAAGTATGGGCTGAAGCAATGAATGAGGGTCAAAAGCCATTATGCATGTGGGTTATCACTTATCTCATTCCAATATAAACAATTGCTCACTTATTAATATTGACTATTAGGGAGTTGATGATAAATGGTGTTAATGGTCAAGGAAGTACTTATTACTTACAAAAATGAGTGAAAAAATGGATAAAACTAATTTGGGATAATATGAAAGTCTACTGTTAATTTCTTTAATACTTAATTACTTTAATATCATCATATGTGTTCTGTCCTGCATTTGGGTTTAGTAACCTTTGAGTTATCATTTGCTATTCTATATAAACACCTTATGCTCCTTACGTGTATGATATGGTGCAGCGGACAAGTGAGAGAGAGAACTATATCATGAAACCAGAAGTTGGTAGGCAGTTCAAAATAATGAAAGATTATCCTAGGAAATTAAACAAGGGAAGGCCTAGATACATTGCATCATTTTAAACAATGAAGCACGGAAGCACAAGGCATAATTTTAACTTTTAAAAGACCAAAGAAGGACATGCATATGGCCTGACCCATAAGGCGAATTCGACCAAACTTTTTAAAGACCCTAGTGCTCAGTCACCCATGGCAAAAATATTATGAATAGGGTATCATTAGATAGAAAACAAGTGACTCTTCATGCTGAAATAAATTTCAAAATCATATTGGTTATCAGTTTTTAATTAGGAGCTACCAAGTTTGGGTACACCTTTTTTAACATAATTTATATATCACATTTCTCAAGAAACATATATCGTGACAAATCAATTTTTTACATTAAAAAGATCAATCAAACTGAATGTTGTTTTGTATTGTGAAATCTTAATGAGGAAATTTAGTGCATTGGATTATTTTTAGTTGTTGAAGTTGTTGGTATTTGAATTTCCAAATGGACCAATAAAATTAATCTGAATGTGAATTATTGTTTATAAATATGGTTTATGTTTGCCATGTTTAGCAAAAGCACAGATACATGTTCAGTTCTAGAATTCTGCTAAATATTTATAATATTTGTTGTAAAATGCTTCCTGCTTGACATGATTCCAACGTTGCATGAATTATGATTTAACATAACTAAATATTTTCAAACTACATGAGGAATTTTTTAGAAAATGTTGTCATAATATTTCCCCTTTATTTATTTTTCTTGCAGCCTGTGACAACGGAGATCTACAACTACTACATGATCGAGATGTCTTTCTATCTCTCTCTCATTCTATCTCTCTTTACCGACGTCAGGAGAAAAGTAAGTATGATATGGTTGTGACATCATAATGAAAGTTATTTATAGAGAAGGTATACATGTATGTATCTGAATGTGTTGTGAAAATTAAAAACAATATGTTTTATTGATTAGAGTCAACAATCAAATATAACGTATGGAGGAAAATGAACATTACAATTCTTTAATGCGCATGATTTTAACTTATGTTACAGTCAAAAGAAGGTAGATGTGCATGAATTTATTCAATTTGAAAGTAAAAATGAAAGTTATTAAAATATATGCATAAATTTTATTAATCCTTAATAGTGAAATTGAAAGTTGCAAAAATCACATGATTTGCATTACATCACATGGTATTGATAATGAAACAAGTATATATTATGATGGAATGTTTATGGTTTTCAATCTCATCAATAGCCCAGTTTGCTTTACCATACAGAATTCTTTTCAAATGATATATTCACAATAGGAAGTGGTATTATGAATGCCAACCCATGTGAGAAAAACTTGCCTATAGTATAAGAAATTTGAAATAAAAACTTAACTTTTGTTCAAAAGGTATGCAAAGAATTAGTAAACAAGTCTATTAAACAAGTCTATAGATTTGATGACCAGGGTTATGATACACTACGAAGTGCATTGATTAGTTACTTAATTGGAAATGCATGAACAAGGCATTCAATGAATTTCTTCCAACCCAATACCCATTTACCTCACCTGGATGGAGAGTAGCAAATGTAGATTATAATGTCCTGTCAAAGGACGTTAGTGCTGTGGCAAGGATTTGAACCATGCACCTTGTGATCCACAGACCAGTGACTTGACCACTAGACCACAACATCTCTATTTATTTGTATAAGAATGTGTCTCTCTACAGCTGTAGGATGCGGTACGCTGCAAAAGTTTTATGTGGTTAGATGAGCAAGTTTGCGTTTGTAAAAATGACGCCTGGCCGGAATGCTCCCCAGGGAGTGGGGAATGTGCATAAATTGTGCGCTGAATCCAATGACCGGGGTGATAATATATCTGTTAAGCGCTTAGACACATTGTTGATGTATTAAGCGTTACATAAAAGCTGAATATTATTATAAGTAATTGTTTTGTCTGATTTTTTTTCTTTTTCATTCAGGATTTTGTTCAACAGTTAATACATCATTTTACGACTATCTTCCTGATGGGATTCTCCTGGACGTGTAACTTCACCAGGGTTGGATGTATCGTCTTGGTAACGCATGATGTAGCAGACATCTTCCTAGAGGTAAGGATAGTCTGCACACTCAGACTCTAATTTGACACCTAAACACCATTCCGTAAAGTCTTGAACAGAGCCTAACTCTGTCAGTCTCTGAAGCCCCTCTAAAGTGTTGGGAGCCTCCAAATTGGCATCAATTCGATGGCAAAATTTCACTTAATTTGTATCTTAATGTGAAAGAGGATGTCATTTAAGACACATTTCTGCAAAGATTTTCAAAACGAATGTGTTTGAAATAGAATATTGATGAAAGAATACAAAATTAGTTTCGGTATACGATACCCTTTAAAAAAAAAAGTGTTCACCCCTTCTACTATACAATGATTCTTTATAAATGTTGTGGATAATTTTCATCTGGTCTGCACAGGCTCGTGAGTGTTCCGCTGATTTCGAAATTTCAAGACCATTTGCTTCTTTTTTGTAATTAAACAAATATTATTTATTTCAATTTTTTTTTCTTACCCTTACCCTAATCCCGTACCCCCATATAACTTCCTCCTTTTGGGAATTTCTCATTCTCACCCCTGATAATACTACCCATTGTTCTCATAAAGTGCTTTTACAGATTACTGGTCAGAGTGCAGATACAAAAAAAAATACACACAAAAATGTATTTTGAATAATACCTTAGATAGCACTTAGCACGTACCAGTAAATGTTGTAATTACCAATATACAAATATTGGGCGTGGTATTCATATCAATATTGTAAAAGATAAGGACATAACAATAGCAATTGCTTTAGACTTGTACATGTATATCACCTGTCAGACCTGTTAAGAGCCAGATAGGTGTTAATAATTAAACACTCAGTTAACACAGCACTGACTTGCAGTAGCAATATGAACTTGATTTGGTTCTATATGATTTATTATTTTCTTATCTCAACCCGTTGGGGATTTGCCCTTGATAGGCCTTTGGCCTGTGCTAGTCCCTCCGCATTATTCGATCTCAATTGTCATGTTATGTATTGTTCTTTACTGCATGTTTTTCTTTCTAATGTCATTTTTTATTTTTTATTTCCTGCATTGATTTACACATTTTACTGTTTTTATGACTTTTGTTGATATAAATAAATAAATGAAATGAATGGAATTGAATTAAATTACGATATGGAAAGAGTTGGGTTTTTAGTTCCTTTTTGAGAGTTTCTTCTGTAGTACAGCAGTACAATACAACCCTTATTCTATTGTCAGTTGAATGCCAGAATGGTATTAACCTATTTTTATTTTACACAGGGTCAATACCCATCTGACTCCTTGCAGATGCTATAGATTTATGAGCAATGAAGCAAGAAAAAGAATATTGAAACAGGATTATGTTTTTTACTCTTCCATTGAATTCAAACCACAATGTTCACAAGTACTACATCGAAAGTCAGAATTCAAGAATTCAACGTCATGAAAGATTTATTGTGATGAGACTTCTGTGAATAAAAGGGTTCATGGTTTATGATCATGAGTGCATACCTACTTGTACTAAGTATTGGAATTATAGATCATACCTGCAAAAGTGCAAAGCAATCATGGAAAAAAGATGTCATTCGATGATACAGGGCAGAGAATACATTTAACATAACATAACATACCATAACATAAACATAGTATATCTGTAAAGTGCTTAGAGACATTATAGATGTATTAAGCGCTATGTAAAAGCAGAATATTATTATTATAACATGATCACCAAATATCACAGTTGTTTTGCACAATGGAAGAATGTACTTTAAAGGTAGGGGAAAAGTTTTTTTTAAAGGTAGTAAGCAGTACAATGTACGTTTATATCTAGAAAGCTTGAAAACCATGATTTAGTTTAAACGTAAATGTTCATCTTAAAGGGATCCGGTAACTTTGTCTTCAAATCCTTGATTTAGCTCATGCTGCAATGATGATTATAAACCTTTAAGTCAGTCAGGAACCCCATGAGTTTTACAAGTCGATCGCCTGTCTGGTTATCAAGGTATTTATGATTGAAAATCAAAATCAAATTTTGCGTTTGCCAAACGGTTTTCATAACACTACAGTCTATTTGGGAAAACGAATATGGTAAAACCGGTCACTCAAAGGTTTTTAGCTCATCCGGCCCGATGAGCTTATGCCATGGCGTGGCGTCCGTCGTCCGTTCGTCCGCCCTTCCGTCCTGGCATCCACAGTTTTCAAAATGCTTCTTCTTCGTTATTTTTCAACCGATTTTGATTCTGATTGTTTCATATGATAGGGCCAGGAGGAGGATGTGAAACTTCTACACAGAATCGTGAAATTCATTATATATGCTAATTTATGCAAATTTAAGGACATAACAATAGCAATTGCTTTAGACTTGTACATGTATATCACCTGTCAGACCTGTTAAGAGCCAGATAGGTGTTAATAATTAAACACTCAGTTAACACAGCACTGACTTGCAGTAGCTATATGAACTTGATTTGGTTCTAAGTGATTGTATACTTTATTAGCTTTATCATTTTCTTATCTCTACCTCACTGGGTATTAGCCCTTGATAGGCCTCCCGCCTTTGCTAGTCCCTCCATATTATACTCAGTTATAGTGTTATGTATTGTTCTTTACTGCATCTTTTTATGCCTCCGTTACGAAGTAGCCGGAGGCATTATGTTTTCGGGTTGTCCGTCCGTCCGTCCGTACGTCCGTACGTCCGTCCGTCCGTCCGTACGTCCCGTTCTCGTGATCGCGTTATCTGAAGAACCGATTGATGGATTCCTGCCAAACTTTGGTCATGTATGTATCTTGCAGAGCCGATGAACTGATTAGATTTTGGGGTCACGAGTTCAAAGGTCAAAGGTCACAGGGCTCATTATGTATGCAAAAACAGCTTGTGATCGCGTTATCTGAAGAACCGATTGATGGATTCCTGCCAAACTTTGGTCATGTATGTATCTTGCAGAGCTGATGAACTGATTAGATTATGGGGTCACGAGTTTAAAGGTCAAAGGTCACAGGGCTCATTATGTATGCAAAAACAGCTCGTGATCGCGTTATCTGAAGAACCGATTGATGGATTCCTGCCAAAATTAGGTCATGTATGTTACTTGCAGAGCCGATGAACTGATTAGATTTTGGGGTCATAAGGTCAAGGTCAAAGGTCATGCGGCTCATTATGTATGCAAAAATAGCTCGTGAACGCATTCTCATTAGAACTGACAAATGGATTACTATTTAACTCGGGACATCTTGTAGAGCCAATGAACTGAGTAGATGTTAGGGTCATGAGGTCAAAGATCAAAGGGTCATATATGTATATGAGAAATTGCTTGTAATCACGATATTCTGAGAAACTGTTAATGGATTACAATTGAACTTGAATTTGAAAAATTTCTTCTGTTTTTGTTTGTAAAATTGCTCTATGACGGAGGCATCATTTCGACTGCGCGCAGTTGAAGTTCCATCTAGTTATTTCTAATGTAATATTTCGATTTAAAAAAAAAAAAATTTCCTTCTGCATTATTTTACACATTTTACTGATCTTTATGAGTTTTGTTGAAATAAATGAATTGAATTGAATTAAACTACGACATGGGATTATTAAGAGTTGGTTTTTAGTTTCTTTTTGAAAGTTTCTTCTGTTGTACAATAGTACAATAGAACCCTCATTCTATTGTCTGTTGAATACCATTTTACACAGAGTAAAAGCCTATCTGACTCTTGGCAGATGATCAATTTATGAGCAATGAAGTGAGAACAAACAAATTGAAACAGGATTATGTTTTTGTTTCTCTTCCATTGAATTCAAACCACAGTATTCATCACAAGTACTTTTTGTAAATCAGAATTCAAGAATTCAACGTCATGAAAGATTTATTGTGATGAGACTTCTGTGAATAAAAGGGTTCATGGTTTATGATCATGAGTGCATATTAAGTATTGGAATTGCAATAATAGATCATACCTGCAAAAGTGCAAAGCAATCATGGAAAAACCAATAATGTATTGTGTGAGATTTCGTTTGATGATACAGGTTAGAGAGAGTAATGCAATGAATACATTTAACACAACACAACCATAACATAACCATAACATAACCGTAGTATTATCTGTAAAGCGCTTAGAGACATCGTAGGTGTATTAAGTGCAATATAAAAGCAGAATATTATTATTAAAATATGACTACCAAATTTTACGGTTGTTTTGCACGGTGGAAGTACTTTTAAGATAGTAAGCAGTACAATGTTACATCTAGAACGCTTGAAAACCATAATTTAGTTAGACTTAAATGTTCATCTTAAAGCGGGACTGCACTACGTGTAGCTACTTGCGCCTCTATATAACCAACAATGCCTACATGTAAGCAGTATCTGTTGGTCCCCAATGGTCCCTTTTTTCTCCATGTCAATTGAGAGCTGAATTGATGAGATAACTACCTGCCAGTGACCACACAGAGAGGTCTAATCCCTCCTGTCCAAACTAGTGCAGATAGGCTTTAAATGTCTGAATTATTTTGACTTTGATTGTTGATGATAAAGAGGGCCCTGAGTAGGCCTAGTTATGAGTCTACCTTGTTACAAGTTATAATCATATTTATCATGAACAGGTACAGGTATATTTATGACTAATTTTAATTTTCTCCCCACAGTTTGCCAAAATATGTGTTTACGCCGCCCGGCATTCGGCAGCTGATGCCCTATTTGGAGTTTTTAGCATTGTATTTTTTGTTTCTCGGATATTATTCTTCCCATGCGGGTAAGTTAGAGTTATAGGGATAATAGACATGCTTATATGATATTCTCTTTCACTACTCTTTTTTATATCTTTTGTTTTCTCCCTCTCTTTTCCTCCCTTCCATCCCCTCTCTTACTTTCTCTTTCTCTCTCTCTTTCTCTCTTACATTCTTCCTTTCTTCTCTTCCTGTACTCTATATTCAACTCACTTCCACCTCTCTCTCTCTCCCTTTCTCTCTGTCTCTCCCCATCTGTCTGTCTCTCTCTCTCTCTGTCTCTCTCACTCTTCCACTTTATATCTCTATCTCTCCCCTCCCCCTCTCTCTCTCCCCTCCCCCTCTCTCTCTGTCTCTATGTCACTCTTTCTCTGTCTCTCTCTCTGTCTCTATTCCTCACTCTCTACCCCTCTCTGTCTCTCTCACCCTCGCACTTTCCCTATCCCTCCCCTTCTCTCTCCATCTCCCCCTCTGTCTCTCTCTGTCTGTCTCTCTCTCTCCCCTCCCACTCGCTCTGTTTGTGTGTGTGTGTGTGTCTCTCTCTCTCTCTCTCTCTCTCTCTCCCCTCTCTCTCTCTCTCTCTATCTCTCTTTCTCTGCCCTTTCCTTTCTATGCTTATTGCATAATGTACAGACGGGGAAGATGTTTAAATATGCCCAGTTTGAGGCTGGTGCTAACTCCATGTTCGGTGTGTTTACTGCTGCCTTCTTTCTGTCACGTATGCTCTTTTTCCCGCTCTGGTAAGTTCGCTTACTGATCGACTTCAGAGGCACTCACTCTACATGTCTAGATTATATCGTCGCCTGGCTGGCAGAAGGTCAATAATGAAACTTTAAGCAGAAGGGCGTTAGCACTAAATCGCCTCAAACTTTTATAAAACTTACCTATTTCCATGTTCTACTACAACATTTCTATTCGTCTTTTATGTTTTAAACCAATTTTCGGGATGGAAAGCAGTTTAAATATAAACCAAATCTTTAAATTTGAAAAGTAGTTTTTGAGCCGCTATAAACGCCCTTCTGCCACCCGGGCGACGATATATATATATTTGTCATTTGTATCACTGACCATTATTAACCCACATATCGTCACATTCATGAGATAATTGCCTTCATCGTTTTGTACCTCTAGAAGAAAAAAATAGAAAAAGAATTTCTGTCATTTTTGTTGCAATTGATATAGGCAGTTAAGTTCTGGTTAATATAAACAAAGTTTGAGGCTCAAAATTGACTTACGGCCTTATAAGATTTAGGGCTAAATATTAGTTTGGTCAAAAAATGACTTAAGCAGTAATTCTAATATTTAGCATAACTATCTTTGTTAAAAGTTGTTATACTATACAAATATATGCTGTCATTTTAGGCTCTGGTTAAAAACTTCATAATAGTAAACATTGACTAGATTTTGTCCTTTTTAGACTACTGGATTTTGTTTTTTGATTATTTGGTGTAAGGTGTGAATTATAATCAGGTAGACAACCCGCCTTGCACGATTATTGTCTTGTTTGATTAGATGTTCTGCTGCATGAAAGTATTTACATAACTTATCTTGCTATTAATGTACCTAAACCTGTATTAGATGTGTTGTCAGCTTCTTATTCAAACATTAAGTATGAAGTCATCAATATAAAATTGAATTTATGGGCATGATTACACAGAACATTTTTAAACTGTTTATTTTCAAAGTCCAACTCTCATTTGATCTAATATTTAGAGAACAAATGTTGGTTTAACACTTGTGCAAGATCATATATGTTGTATGATTGATATGGCCTGTGAAATGTTATTGAATTGCGTGTATGCTTCAGATTCATAATGATCTGGAAAGAATTTCAAAGTGTGAAGAAGTAATTGGTTTTAGATGATGAACTTGAACAAAGCATGTTTTCAGATTCTTTTTTTATTTTGGAACCCCCCCAAATGTCAGTAATTGGATTTTTAGAGATGTTATGCCCCCTCCCATCCCCAATTCCTCACTCAGGATCTCATTGATGGAATGACAGATCGATGCAAAATAAAAGACACACATACAAAATCATTTTCCTCTGGTTCTTGCTCTCTCTCTCACACAATTTCTGTCTCTTTGCTTAAATTTTTCTCCTTTTATTTTGCCACCCCCATCTTAACCCTATCTATCAATGGTCTTTTTCTTTTTTTCTTGATCTGTCTTCATTTCTCTCTTTTCTCCGCTCTCCATCTCAATCTTACTATTCTCCTTTTCTGTCTCTCCCTTCTCCTCTTTATATATATCTGTCTATCTATCTATCTTTCTGTACATTTAGCTTGCTTCTTGTTTTGTTTTATATCGTTCTAACAAAAATGATAACCCATATATATCAGGATTGAATTTTGATGAATTATTTGAATTTTGAATTTCATACTTCCTACAGGATCATCTACAGTGCTATTTTTCATTCCCTGGAGATCATTGGACCTTTCCCTGCGTACTACGTCTTCAATGGACTCCTGATCATTCTCCAGATCCTCAATAGTTCCTGGTTCTCTCTCTCTCTCTCTCTCTCTCTCTAATTATATACATGTTTATATTTATGTATAGGTATATATATATCCCTCTCATGTTTCTGTCTCTCTGCTCCCCTTCTTTATACCTTCTTTTTTCACCAACCCCCATTTCTATTCCCTATCTGCCTATCTATCTCTTTTCTCTTTCCTTTTCTTAAGTTCTTCTTCATTTTCTTCTTCTTCTTGTTCTTGTTCTTTCTTCATTACAGTTTTCCCTGCTCACCATCTCTCTCTCCACCTCTCTTTCCATCTCAATCTTACTATTCCCCTCTTTTAATTTGTCTCTCCCTGCCCCTCCCCTCTTTGTATCTACATGTATCTGTCTATATATCTATCTTCCTTTATATTTTGCTTGCTTCTTGTTTTGTTTAGTTTTTTATGATAATCCTTTTATATCAGGATGTTGTTTAATTAAGTTAATTTGATGAATTATTTGAATTTGAATTTCCTACTATCTACAGGATCATCTACAGTGCTGTCTTTCATTCCCTTGAGATCATCGGCCCGTTCCCTGCGTACTACCTCTTCAATGGACTCCTGATTATTCTCCAGATCCTAAATAGTTTCTGGTTCTTCCTCATCGCGTGCATGGTGTATAGGGCCCTCGCTCATGGACAGGTAACTAGAGCTATGTTTGTTTGTTTTATTTATTCACCGTGTAAAATAATTGGTTACAGATAACAAAATTTGGTGGGTTACATCGAGATATTATACATAGTAGGAACAGTGCATAAACAAAAAAAATTTGAAGCGCAACTTCCCTAAGATAACATAGATGATAATTATTATGTTTAGATAGAACATGGCTTAAAATAAGACATTCTGTCGTTACAAAAATAAAACAAAATACAAAATCATGCCCCTTAACGTATTTGAATAACAAGCAAAAACAAGGAAATACACATTACCTCTTCTTGACAAAAAATAGCACTGTTAACAAAAATTCCTCAAAAGTTAACAAGCATATTTTGAGAGAAATAATTCCTTCAGTTTCTTTTAAAAAACAAAAGGTTATTACAAGTTCGTATTTCAGGTGGCAAAGCATTTCAAATGACAGGACCTATCTAATTAATCTGTGGGCTAAGGAATTCTGTGTGCACATGGATCCCTGGTATTTTAAACTTTTAAGTTTGCGAAACCTCAGAGTTATAACAACGATCCACTGACAATGACAAGGGTTCACACAGGACTGACACAACAAGTTTCAAAGATTCAAGATTCAAGATATTTTATTTAACCATAACAATGAAAAAATGTACAAACAATAATACAAAATACAGTATGGAATATGGACAGGACCAAAAGAAAAACAACTGCTTGAGTGGAAAGGCCCTGAAAGAGAGAGAAAAAGACAACAAAACAAATGCTAATTAGAATCAAATTGAAAGAGGAAAAATAAATGAATTGAATCGAAATTGAATTAATCAATAATAGAAACTAAATTACACAAATAAACACACAATAGGCACACTAGCTCATGTACCAATCCTAAGTAGCCATGATATGTGATAAATTATTCAATAAATTACTACGACATTGCTCTTTAAACCTAGATAAAGTTGAGCTGATCTAATTTGTTCACCTAATTGATTCCAAAGTTTTTATCCAGTATATGTTAATGAGTTTAGGGACGATATTAATTCCACTTTAGGTAAATGAAACTGTTCCCTTTAACTATTAGCGACCCCCAACACCCACTAATTGCTCATGGTTTTCGCGCGTTCACCTTACATCTAAGATCTGTTGTGTTTTGTAAATATTTGAGTAAATTTAAAGTTTTGTAACCAAAAGTGCTTCCAAACAGTCCCCAACTATAAGATAACAACCTAAACTTAAAGTTCACGGATCACCCTGTGAACCTCACAATTGTCAATTCAATAATTGTTGTTATGATTACCATTGTTAGTACCAATTATTATTATTAAGTAAATAACGCCAAAACGCCTTGGGAGAATGGGGGAGCGAAACAAACTGAATCACTATATAAAGCCTCGCATCTCCCTTCCCAATAGAACTGATTTGGGATGTGCAGGTGAACCACTACACCAGGGCTTCCCCTCTTATACAAATATTCAAATAGTGCAGGGGATTCATAATATGCAACATCCTATCTGAGGGACAAAGTTTTTCAACTGTTTACCTAGCCTGAATATATACAATGTATGGAACGAGATGGGCATACAACGCAGGCTTCAATCATCCGCCTTGGTTGGATTCGGTCTCATGATCTTTGGTTCAACAACAGAAACTATACCAACTATGCCAACTGTTTAATCCAAAATATCAATGTACAATGTATCCAGTTTTGTTATGAATGATTTACAATATGTATTTGATATGAGAGAAAATAATAAAAAAATATCTTAAAAAAGCAAAAACATTGGCCTTACTCACCTCCTGGTATTTATGATTACGATATAGATATTGCATGCTCTGTGGTTCTATCATCTATGTAACACAATATGTGATCTAACAAAAGTCACTATATTTCTCCTCTTTGGTTTCACAGGTTACAAAGGATGCAAGGAGCGACGTGGAGGAGAGTGGCTCGGAAAGTGAAGAGAAGGAAGAGACTAATGGGAAAATGAATCACAACCACAACTACACCAATCACATCAATTCCAATTCCAACTACAAAGCAGTAGCCAATCCCCACTGAGCATCGTTTGAATTCATCCAATCAGGATGGGGCATCTGGGTGAAAGCAATCTCAACATGCTAATTTTTTACTCCACAGAGGGGATCGATGTAGAAGCCTTCAGCCAATCCGATCACCATTCAGCATCATTTGAATGCGTCTAATCAGGATAATTTCTTGATTATGTTTAAAACAATGATTTAGTTTGAAGTGGAGATTATTAAATGTGTTATCAATATTTAAATATGAATATCATTGATTGGATTGGTTGTTCAATATCTTCTGCAGAAAGTCAGGGGGATTTGAAGATACAGAAGTTGATGTGAATAATAACTCATGTGCAGACTTTTAAAAGAATACTGAGGTTACCGGTACTCTTTTTAATAGAGAGGACTGAAAACGCACGAACCACTTGTGCTTTTTATGGCTAAATAACCACATTTTTTCTAACAGAACCAGATGCCTCTGACAGCAGAGGTATTTGTTTCACTTTTCTGGTTGAATGTTTAATACCCATTAAGATGTCATGTCCATCTACAGTGAAACCTGTCTATAAAGATTACCCACATGAGACAAGAAAGGGGTTTTTATAGGCAGGTGTTCTTTAAGTACAGTTACCTATAGTACATGTTTTAATGAGAAACCGTTTTCAAGGGAAACAAAAAATGTGGTCTTTGGAGACAGGTGGTCACTGAAGCAGGTTTGCAACTATAGTAACACATTCATTCATCCATCTTCTTTGAAGGAAGGTGGATATGGTTAGATGATGTAAACAACTTTATGCAAACTGATCTTCTTGCTACAGTACAGTCCCCCGTCCTGTGTATTCTCTACTGTTCATGAAATAAGTAATGTATTCAAATATTTGATCAGTCTTTCGTGGGTATAGGGTGTAAATTTTATTTATTTTGTGAGAATTTTTTGTACTATTACATATTTTATTGTAATTTGGTGGATAAATGTTTCTGGATTGAAATAGGGTTGTCTTGTATAATAATATGCCTTAATTTGAAAAGTGCTTGCAGTTGGAAAAGTTTTGTGGGATTCTCATAAATGTAGAAATGAAATGCTTATTATACTGACAAAATGTGATTACTGAAACAAAAAATGACAATTTCTTTGAAATTTGAATCGGTAGAGAATATTTTGGTTGGTTTATTTGCAGAAGCACTGTTCATATATTCTAGTGCAAACTTGCATAGCGCCCTCTATTTTGATTTGTAACCTGTTGGACATTGAATTCTCTCATTTCCCTAGAGTTAATAGGAAAAGGAACTACATACATGTACATGAAGTTCCCATAAGCAATGGATTAACTGATTCTGACTGGTAATTCAACTGGAAATTAAACTGGTAAATCAACTGGTAAATTAGGTCAGCATGTATTTCTTGACCCCAGAAATGATTGCAACGAATATACTGATATGTTTATTTTGATACAAGGTATTTTAACCCACCTGCATGTATATTCCATGAATGAAATGATCATCCCATACCAAGTATTATTAAAACAGAGTTGTATTTACTCACAGAGCTTTCATGATCGTAATATTGAAACCAAGGAGTTGTTACTCCTTTATGAAACAAATTTCTTGACTGCTGAAAGCAACAAGGTAATTGAATCACATTGCATTCCAAAGTTAATGCCTTTCTACATCTCATAATAATAACAATATGGGTACCGTATACATCTGTGCTTGTATCACCCTCTACATTGTAATATCGTCTACCGTATTGAGAGTTAGAGGGATGTTAAATCACATTGCATTCCAGAGGTAATGTCTTTCTGCCTCTCAGTATATCACTGATGACAGAGTTATACATCTGTGCTTGTTATAGCCCTCTCGATAATACTATCATTTATATCCCTTCTATGAATATTCATGAGTTTTCTAAATACATGATTGGTCAATTGGTGGTCACGTGATAAAATATAATTTCACTATTTGAAAGAAATCTCTGCCAGAGCTCCGAATATTTTCCACTATTTTTCATGGGCAGAACTGCGCATGTTCCATGAGATTTTCAGGTAGAAAAGCATTGTGACATCTTATCATGTTCATTAAAAAGTAATGCGCAATTAGCGCGTCTCATTAAGTGCGCGTTAATATAATTGTGCGCAGGTTAAATTGACAAATTCAAACTGATTGTAAATTTCTCCAATACCTGGCCCAATGTGGGTGACATAAGAATAAAGTTAAAACCATATGCCAGCCAATCATTAAGTCAAATGTTCGGATCGTAACGAAGTGATATAAAACAAATATACCAAGCATTTAGTTTGTAAGAATAGTGGAAGTTATATATCTTTGGAGGGACTGCAATAGTACTATTTTTCCTTGGGGCTTCGCCCCTCGAAAATATAGTACTTTGCCAGTCCCTCCTCAGATAAATAATTTCCACTATTCTTTCTCACAGCATGGTATATTTGTATACTGTTAAGAGCTAGATTATTGTTGACTCACATTACTTTCTTTCCAGAGTTAACAACCTTCTGGCTCTCATGAGATGTTACCCCCTTGTGCTTATATTTCCCTCAGCATTATGAAATATTATCACATAATACATGTATTACCCATTGATCAGTGATGTTATTTGCTGAGAACCAGATAGGCGTTAACTCTTTGTAAAACCATATGAGTTAATACCCTTCTGCTTCTGAACTGATGATATGTAAGTCATATTGTCAATGGCTAGTCTTACTGATGTCAAATGAATGTTCTAATGGTACATTGTATTAGGTTATATGTATAAAACTAAAACTAAAAGTGGACCAACTTAATCCTGTAATAATACTCTACTTTTGAGAGTATGTGTCATTGTGATTCAGGTATTCTTAGGATACCAGAAGGAATTTGAAAGTTAATGTTACTCATTCTCTTATGCTAATCATTCCAAAGCTACACCAATGTGTCTAATACATAGATTTATTTATTTATTATTGTTGCAAAGTTGTACAAACTCATTACTTTTGCCTTTCATTGCATTTTTATATCAGCATTATTCCATCCATCCATGCTTCAACTCTGTCAAATGATTATCGCTGCTGTCTTGAATCATATGCCATTGTAAATCTCACATATTCATTATATCACCATGCATACATAAAAAAGACAATTCAAATGATAATTATTCTGTACTCAGTCTCCTTCAAATATTATGATCATCAATGATTTATGAAGACTGTTTTAAAATGTCAAGAGGAAAATTAACAATCTCTTTATTTATTATGTGATTTAAAACTCTTTTCGTAGCAGGAAGGTGACTGGATTATCTTGATATTACCAACATTTTTTTTTTTTTTTTTTTTTTTTTTGGGGGGGGGGGGGGGGGGGAAGGACTGAGGTAAGGGGATATAATTATAAGATTGTGAGAGAAAATTGTCACTCCATGCCTTCATATTCACTCTGTACCTTTGTGACACATTGATTATTCTTATTCTATAGGGGGAGCTATTCTAAAATGAAATGAAGGAAGAAATGAATGAATTGTTGTATACTATAGACCCTCTCTTCTACCTCTATTTTGTCTGCATTTTCACCATGAAAACACTATACGCTATGCAAATTATTCAGACCTGCCAACCAGTACGATTAAGTCGTATTTAGTACATTTTTTAGAAGCAAATACGACAGTACGATTTTCCTTAATAAAATACGATTTAAAAAAAATAAAAAAAAAAAAAAAATAATTATTATTATTATTTTTTTTTTTTTAAAATTAATATTTTGTGTGTGCGTCCGCCATTTTCAATGGCAAAATGTCCATTCTGTCCTGTAAAGTATCCTACAAGCATCTCACATCGGCAATTTGGGGATGTTCATTGGTTCATCGAACACACCAGTCATGACGAAATCATGCATATTCAACCAATGATCAACAAAAAAAAATTCTTCCTGTAGGTAGAAACTGTAAGAGGCATTGATCAGCGTAACAATCCGTGTTTATTTTCAAGAAAAATACAACTTTTGTCTGTAAAATACAACTTTTGGGACTAAAGAATACAGTTTTTGAACTCCAGAGGTTGGCAGGTCTGATTATTATATCTGATCATTGAATATACCCAGTGTAATGATGATTTTGACATGTGATTGAATAGTCATTGCTCTATTCCGTAATGATATCTTTCTGGACTAAATGTATGAACCCTTGATGAAATCAAGGATGAATTGTCCGGAAAGATTGATGTGGAGTTGCTTTAGTGCAGGCTGTGATTGATAGTAATACTCCAGTACCGGGTTTGTGAAGTACTATATTTGTAGCATATTAATATGCATTACTTGTTGTGCTTGATGAAATGTATTTCAGTTGTTGTTATATGGCTATTTTTTTAATGAAAGGTGTGTTTTCTGTGATTCTCTTCTTTTTTATTCTCTCATCTTGCTTTAATTCTACTTCATTATATTCTGTTTGTAAAAGTAACATGTATTTAAAATGTATTTTTGATTGCTATATACCAATGGTAGTGATGGCTTCTTGGGAAAGGTTGCAAACATGTGAAACAATAATTTGCAAGCTTAAAATTATTTCCATTTACATCTCCCTTTTCTGTGCATTAGATAGATCTTGTATTTTATGCTAAATCTATATTTATTTTAGCTATGTATGTTCATTCCAAATCATTTCTCATGAATTTTCTCTTTTAAAATCTTTGATGAGACTAATCCTGTGTATAGTTATAGAAGTTATCAAATTGTTTGAAATTAGATCAATTAGATTGATTGTGTGTTTTGTTGTTTGATGATTTATATGAAATAGCTTGGTTGTAGTGTAGAACGTATAGAGTACCAAACCTGTGCCATCATAAAAATTTATTTTTGGAATTTCTTAATTTTTTTCTCCATTTTCCGAAAGAGCTCAGTGTTATATTACTCTGGCTCCTAATATTATTAACCAGAGCAATATAATACAGAGTTCCTACAGAAATCTATTTATTCAGATGGTCATATCTCAGCCCAAACTTAACATATTCAACTGGTTTTCGACATTTGGACATCATTTTTGATGCTCTTTCAGAAAATGAAGAAAAAATCGAGAAATTCAACAACAACAAAAAGATTTTTGATGACGTCACACTTCACCACTCTATAGGCATACGTTTCTGGGGGGTGGGGGGGGGGGAGCAGAGAGGGTATCAGCTCCAGTCACACAGCAAAGCCGGGCCCAGTCACACAGCAAAGCTCAGCTATCTGATAAATTGTTCTGTCTCATCTCATTTCCTGATTGCTGTTTACAACTTATGGAGTTGTAAAGCTATGTTAAGTCATGTTAGGAAATCACTATATCGTGCCTGATTTGAATGTAAAATACTTGATGAAAACCAATGCAAATTCACCTCATTCTATCGTGCTTCTAAATATATACCTTGAATTGAAATACAATTTTATATTGATCTATATGTATGTATCCGTTTTCTGTACTACAAAGAAAATATCTGATTGTGTGGGTCTTTGACTGCTATATACATCTAGCTTTCTATGTGACATTTGGTGTGTGTTTTTATGAACAAAACTTTACAATGTATTAAACTCAACTGTCATCCAAGGCAAATTAACTTGAAACACGTTAGATTGATATTTCGAAAGAAGTTACTATACCGTGTTAATATTGAGTGTCATCACCCTTTGCATGCACTTCTACGCCATTAGGACGAAGACAACAATACAAAATATCATTCCAACCAAGCTCTTTTCATCTCTCTCCTATTACGGGTCTTTGGAAGTAGATGAATTGGACAATGAACTTAATTTGTATAATATATATTACTGCTTTGTAGCTCCACATTTTCCTCGTCGATCACGTATACATGAACCGCTGATTGGGGTTTTACCAAAACAAAAAACAAAACAGCTCCACACATCTGGGATAATTTGGGGAAAGATTGGTCGACACATATACATGAATCATTGTGTTTTCGCGGATACGACCAATCTTTTTGGAGACTATTTCTGATGTGTGGTAATGTTTGGAAATTTGTAAAATTCCCCGAATGCAAGATTTTTCTCGTGATGATACCGAAGCTGTACATGGTGGTACTGACTTGTCCATCGTTAGCTCATTATGTATATGGTGTGATGTTTGATACCTTCGTTAATAAAAAATCACTTGTTTGCTTATATCATTTTGTTGTCTTGTGTACCTAAATCGAGTAAGGATTAGTTGTAGAAAAGGTAAAGGCATAGCTGTCAAACGGGTGTATTTTAGAGAGTTAAATTTCTCTCCTTTTCTGCAAATTTCAGCGTAAAAGTAGGTCCATGATAAAAGCATGCCAAATACAATATATTCCTAATGTCGTCCTGAAATGGCAGGAATTTACGAGAGAAGGTGTGTGTGTGTGTGTGTGAGAGAGAGAGAGAGAGAGAGAGAAAAGATAGAAAAGGAGAGATAGGGGAGAGACACAAATGAGCAAAAATATGAAAAGAAAGGAAGAGGGAGATAGAGGGAAGAAAACAAAAAGAAAGGAAAAGTCAAAGGGAAGGAAAAGCACCCGACCTGTACCATTATTAAATCCATCCGGATTTTCCGGTAGTTCTTGATACCGGTGTTGAAATATCCGGAACACATTTTGTGGTTAAGTCAGAAGACTGTCATTTGTTCTTCGACAATCCAATTTGGAAAGTAAAAGGCTCAAGAAAATCAATATAGAATGCAGTGTTTCGATTGTGTCTTGCAAAAATGAAATGTTGAGCTTGTAACAAGTAACTTTAGTCAGAAAAAAAAAATGATACAAGCCATTTTTAAAAGAAGCCTTGTACATGAGCCATCACAGCCCGGTTAGCTCAGTCGGTAGAGCATGGGACTCTTAATCCCAGGGTCGTGGGTTCGAGCCCCACATTGGGCGACCTCCTTTTTTCCCCGATGTCCGAATACATGCATATATCAAAGCCCAAATTGGTATGAAACGCGACCCTCATATCACCACATATTATATTGGGTGGTATTCTCGAAAGCAGACAAAGTTTAGTCCATTGTTTAATCCACCGACTAAGTATA